CGAGAACATGGATAAATCCACGTCAGACTGACCTAAATAGGCGAGAACATGGATAAATCCACGTCAGACTGACCTAAATAGGCGAGAACATGGATAAATCCACGTCAGATTGATCTAAATAGGCGAGAACATGGATAAATCCACGTCAGATTGATCTAAATAGGCGAGAACATGGATAAATCCACGTCAGACTGATCTAAATAGGCGAGAACATGGATAAATCCACGTCAGACTGACCTAAATAGGCGAGAACATGGATAAATCCACGTCAGACTGATCTAAATAGGCGAGAACATGGATAAATCCACGTCAGACTGACCTAAATAGATAAATCCACGTCAGACTGCGAGAACATGGATAAATCCACGTCAGACTGACCTAAATAGGCGAGAACATGGATAAATCCACGTCAGACTGACCTAAATAGGCGAGAACATGGATAAATCCACGTCAGACTGACCTAAATAGGCGAGAACATGGATAAATCCACGTCAGACTGACCTAAATAGGCGAGAACATGGATAAATCCACGTCAGACTGACCTAAATAGGCGAGAACATGGATAAATCCACGTCAGACTGACCTAAAGAGACGAGAACATGGAACATGGATAAATCCACGTCAGACTGACCTAAAGGCGAGAACATGGATAAATCCACGTCAGACTGACCTAAATCCACGTCAGACTGACCTAAAGAGAGAACATGGATAAATCCACGTCAGACTGACCTAAATAGGCGAGAACATGGATAAATCCACGTCAGACTGACGAGAACATGGATAAATCCTAAATAGACGAGAACATGGATAAATCCACGTCAGACTGACCTAAATAGGCGAGAACATGGATAAATCCACGTCAGACTGACCTAAATAGGCGAGAACATGGATAAATCCACGTCAGACTGACCTAAATAGGCGAGAACATGGATAAATCCACGTCAGACTGACCTAAATAGACGAGAACATGGATAAATCCACGTCAGACTGACCTAAATAGGCGAGAACATGGATAAATCCACGTCAGACTGACCTAAATAGGCGAGAACATGGATAAATCCACGTCAGACTGACCTAAAGAGACGAGAACATGGATAAATCCACGTCAGACTGACCTAAATAGGCGAGAACATGGATAAATCCACGTCAGACTGATCTAAATAGGCGAGAACATGGATAAATCCACGTCAGACTGACCTAAAGAGACGTCAGACTGACTAAAGAGCAGAACATGGATAAATCCACGTCAGACTGACCTAAATAGGCGAGAATCATGGATAAATCCACGTCAGACTGACCTAAATAGGCGAGAACATGGATAAATCCACGTCAGACTGATCTAAATAGGCGAGAACATGGATAAATCCACGTCAGACTGACCTAAATAGGCGAGAACATGGATAAATCCACGTCAGACTGAGCTAAAGAGGCGAGAACATGGATAAAACCACGTCAGACTGACCTAAATAGGCGAGAACATGGATAAATCCACGTCAGACTGACCTAAATAGGCGAGAACATGGATAAATCCACGTCAGACTGACCTAAATAGGCGAGAACATGGATAAATCCACGTCAGACTGACCTAAATAGGCGAGAACATGGATAAATCCACGTCAGACTGATCTAAATAGGCGAGAACATGGATAAATCCACGTCAGACTGATCTAAATAGGCGAGAACATGGATAAATCCACGTCAGACTGATCTAAATAGGCGAGAACATGGATAAATCCACGTCAGACTGACCTAAATAGGCGAGAACATGGATAAATCCACGTCATGGATAAATCCACGTCAGACTGACCTAAATAGGCGAACATGGATAAATCCACGTCAGACTGACCTAAATAGGCGAGAACATGGATAAATCCACGTCAGATTGATCTAAATAGGCGAGAACATGGATAAATCCACGTCAGACTGATCTAAAGAGACGAGAACATGGATAAATCCACGTCAAACTGACCTAAATAGGCGAGAACATGGATAAATCCACGTCAGACTGACCTAAATAGGCGAGAACATGGATAAATCCACGTCAGACTGACCTAAATAGGCGAGAACATGGATAAATCCACGTCAGACTGACCTAAAGAGACGAGAACATGGATAAATCCACGTCAGATTGATCTAAATAGGCGAGAACATGGATAAATCCACGTCAGACTGATCTAAAGAGACGAGAACATGGATAAATCCACGTCAGACTGACCTAAATAGGCGAGAACATGGATAAATCCACGTCAGACTGACCTAAATAGGCGAGAACATGGATAAATCCACGTCAGACTGACCTAAATAGACGAGAACATGGATAACTCCACGTCAGGCTGACCTAAATAGGCGAGAACATGGATAACTCCACGTCAGACTGACCTAAATAGGCGAGAACATGGATAAATCCACGTCAGATTGATCTAAATAGGCGAGAACATGGATAAATCCACGTCAGACTGACCTAGATAGACGAGAACATGGATAAATCCACGTCATACTGACACACACTGACGAGAAAACAGACAAATCTTCGTCATACTGACACACTGTAACGAGAACAGACAAATCTACGTCAGACTGACCTAAAGAGACGAGAACATAGACAAAGCTGCGCCAGACTGAAAAAGTGAACGACAACACAGACACATTTACGTCAGACTGACCTAAAGAGACGAGAACACAGACAAAGCTGCGCCAGACTGAAAAAGTGAACGACAACACAGACACATTTACGTCAGACTGACCTAAAGAGACGAGAACACAGACAAAGCTGCGCCAGACTGAAAAAGTGAACGACAACACAGACACATTTACGTCAGACTGACCTAAAGAGACGAGAGCATGTATAAATCTACGTCAGACTTACCTTAAGAGACGAGAAAATTAATGATTCTATGTCATACTGTCACACACTGGTGAAAACACAGACAAATCTACGTCATACTGACACACAGTGACGAGAAAACAGACCATTCTTACGTCATCATGACATATAGTGACGAGAACACTCACAAAGCTACGCCAGAATGGCACTTAGTGACGAGAACACACACAAATCCACGTCATACTGACACTTAGTGACGAGAACAGGGATAAATCTACGTCAGAATGACTTCCTTGTCCTAACATTGCCCGTTGATAGTACGTCATCATAAGGTCAACGCACAATAACGTTTATAACATAGTAGAAAATTAAACTGTGATAAATTCCTTTACGTTTGCTTAAATTTCAGTGTTATAAAATTTATTTCAATGCCAAAGAGAAAAAAAATAAACATTTTAATAATGTGAAGAATGGATTCCTGTCAGGCTATCAAATTTCTTCAGAAGATAAAACTTGTCTTGCTGTCACCACCTCCGTGTAAACCTGTTATCAAAGACACAGTCTACGTTTTATTTGTTAAATTTAGCAGCATAAGCAAATCGGGCCCAGGATAGAGTGTGTACACCACAAATACACGTGTAAATCACATACTGGAACCACAGGTTACATAGAACATGTCGTCTGAACAAGATCGAATCTGTTGTGATGTGTCCGTATAATTCACTACTCGTTGTGCTTTCTAGTTACGGAAAACTCCGGCTTTTCTCACTGGTTTTTCCTTAAGGTTATTCAAGTTATTTCGTCACATGTTTTCAGAATTGGCAACTTGGTGATTGGGAACGCAGCTAAATGGTCTGACAACATTTTTAGACTCAGAAAGGAGTTTCAGCGTTGAATTTCCCATCAAACATTGTCCATGTCATGGCTAATACAACACTTGTCAAGAAAGTTTTTTACGATTCTGTGTACAACGGGAGATAACTCTTGCATGCGTTACGGTTGCTACTGCGATATGTTGACCGCTAGTCATTTATCTGCTTCCGCTTAGTAGAATGGTTCATTTGTCCGAGAAACGCCTGTATCAAATATTTATGAAAGAAGATGTCCCAGAGTGATCGGCCACTACTTTGTAGTCTTTCTTTTGTCTTATCAGTTTGATATACATGAAGAGATCAAGTACCTTCCTATCAAAACTCTGCAATTTTAAGTATAAGCGTGTCAAAATTCCAGATGGCCTGTCGGTCATTTTTTTCTCCTTCCTAAATCTCAAAAATAGATAATGCTTAACTAGGAACTAAAGGGAGTGATCAAGTTTTAGAATTGAAAGCCAGACCGACGATTTGATCAGTTCAACATCAGTTGATGGTGGATTGGAAAGTCACGTGACAGAAAATCAAAGTTAGAGAGATGAGCTATGGACAGTTCGATATCATATTCTAAAGCAGTTAGGGTCTGGGTTATAGGAAGAGGTCAGTTTCCTCTCCTAAGTTCAGTTCTAAAACAACAGAAATGCTGAAACACTCGCATGCAATGAAAACCTTTGCCAGACATGTTTCTTAATTCCAAAGATCACACAACCCCTGTAGTAACACCAAATATGGCTTTAATTACCATGGAAGGGCTACAATGTCGAATATTTGACTGATATGTTCCTGGCATGAAGTATAGCTTTTGGAAAAGAAAATGACCTTGACAAGAGGTCAAATTAGTTAGAAATCTTCAAACGACTTCTGAGCAACCAAAAAGCCTAATATCATGACATTTTGCTGGTATGTTCCTGGACTGAAGGTAACAAAGCTTGTGAAAAAGAAATGAACATATATTTAAGTTCACAAAAGGGTTAAGAATCATAATTGGCCTCATCGATTCCTGAGATGAAGCCCAGCTTGTTTGCAAAAGGAAATGCTCTTGAGCCATACTCAATGTCAAAGTAACCAATTTTTTTAATCTTCACAATCATTATCATTAACCAATACTTTGAATGTAAATGAAATATTAATGTATTTCTTAAAAGCACATAATACCAAGTGAACAATGCAGGCCCATTCAGCCTCTTTCGATACTTCATTTGTTAATCCAAGATGTTAAATTTGTATCGATGACACAGTACTAGGGGACTTTTGTTTTTGATGTGATAAAGGACAATGAACTACAAACATTTCTTACAAGTATTGTATATGTTTTTATTTATTTTTACTTTCATGATCTACATGCTCAGAACTACATGGGGTAGAAAAATTGAAAAAAAAAAAACAACAAACAAAAACATACAGATATATGCAAGTATACATACATAAACTCACTGCTATAAAAAAACCCACTGAAGGAGAATTACTTATCACCCTGTCTCTCCACCTCACACCTAACATACAACTTATCTCTGTCATCAATTAATACACAGCTCATCTCTGTTATCAATTAACACACAACTTATCTCTGTCATCAACTAACACACTGCTCATCTCTGTCATCAACTAACACACAGCTCATCTCTCATCTAAACTAGACCTTACCTTTCACATCAACTAACACACAGCTCATCTCTCATCTAAACTAGACCTTACCTTTCACATCAACTAACACACAGCTCATCTCTCATCTAAACTAGACCTCATCTTTCACATCAACTAACAAACACCCTATTACCAGAGTAAATATACCACTAGAAACAGACTTGTAGATTTGACACATGAATAAAGAATATAAACACACAACCTACTGTGCTATATTCCAATATGCAGGGTAACATATAATCCCTCTCAAATCATTTTTATTCCGAATCAAAAACATTTATTTTTCACTTAAGAACTTTTAACTAAATAATCTCAATTATCGTCCATTCAAACGGAATGTCTCACAAAATAATGTTTTTTCATCTTTTCAAAACTAAAACTTCCATCTCTAGCATATATATCCTCACATAAAATCTCTCTCATCTGTTCAAACTTGACTAGTTCAAAGCTTCACATTTCTCTCTATATAATTCTTGTCCATTCCTTCATAAAATAAAAAATGATATATGAAACACATCTCCACCAAACTATCCTGTTAAAACCCTGGTCATATGGATTCAGGCACACCGTGTCTCCACTACTGATCACTTCACTGGATCACAGAGCTGTACCTTCAGTCTTGCATGAAGAGTTTGTGACGGGGTTAGCTGCCTTGGATTGGTTTGTTTACGTCATTCTACTTCCAGGTTGTGTCAATGAACTTCAATTTGAAACATTCGAAAGTCTGTTTTCTGTCTGATCACTCCGGTAAGAATGAACTCTGCATTGTACATAGCTGTAAGTAAAGCATACAACAATAAAAAAATAGTTTTGCGAAAAAGATGATCTTAAAATCTCAAAATGTATATAGCGTAGATCATGAAAACTGAAAACTTCAAAATCTAAGGAGGAAAAGTTTGTAACAAGTGAATGAGAATTATACACTAACAAAATATAGTATCAGTAAGGTTTGTAGGGCAAGGTATGTCATTACTTTGTAGGTACAACTGTATGCTTGAATAGTGAAAAATTATCACAATAGAGGTTCTCATTCTAAACACATTATGGAAGTAGACTGTTTTACCTATGTTCTTCGCCAGTAAATCTCGACATAAATGCATGTCGTTTTCACAGGTAATAAGTATACATTTTGGATTTCCCTGAAACAAGAAAACATTTAACATTATTCATACACAAATTCAAATAGAACAAGATATAGATTTAACTAGGGAATAAAATTTTCAAGAAATATTTCATAATTAGGAACACGTAGATTATCAACAAAATATTGACAATATTGTGTAAACTTTCAAAACTATAGCCAGATAGATGAATATCCCTACCATTACAACATCGGGCACTACACATTGCAATGTATCATACATTACTAACTTACATCTGAATCAAGTAAAGGTACACTTATTCTAATACTACTCCACTTACACCATTCACTTAAGTATAAACCCCTGTACTCGTTAAAATTTTCTAGATACGGAAAAGCGAAATAATTTGATTTGTTCCAGGAAAAAACAAGTGACCAATCACAGGCTGATACGCTCCTTTTGAAGATTATAGAGGTGTGACTTCAGAGTCATTACAATATACTGTAATGTGACCCAAGATTTGTTTGATATACATCAAATCATCAAACCAGTCTTTTCGTCTTGGCCACAAGGTGTCATACATGGAACATTAAATTTTGCCATGACATGTTCCAGGGATGTAGAGAGTGAAAGTGATCATAACCCCTACAGTATACAGTAAGTATCTGAACAGGTAAAATAGTTTACAATATCAACAAACCGACCTGCTCATCCTTCATTGAGATAAAGGTTCGTAGTCCCGGCCTCCTCTTCACTACTTTGCCTCCTGCACTCTCCACAATATTGATGAGGTCACCAACAGGAGGATTCACACTTGGTGTAATGTAGAATGTCAATCCCTGATACATATCATAGAAATATTAATAATTGAAGTTGGATGTTTTTATCTTTACAGACTAATCTGCTATATACTGTTTATACAAGGTTCACACCAGTAGTCACAAATGTCACATTTTGTGATATAAAATTAAAATTTGCAATAAAATATTGAGATGGGCAATTTTTTTGATGATAAAAATATCACTGATAATTTTGTAAAATCTTGTTGCAAGTGAGCCTGTAGTCCATTCATGTATGTAATACGGGTAATACTGGTCATCAGACTGTCTCATCAAGGCGAACCCAATTAACTAATTAGTGCCATGTCACGACCACTAATCCACTCTGTGGCAGGTTCCAGCCAACAGTGTGTATATAGCAAACAATAGACTAAGCTTTGGGGACATACTAAAGATGATTAAAAAGAGTTATCACAAGCTTTGGTCTTTATTCATGTATTAATGCCTATGTAATAAATACAACTGCAATTGAAGTAAAAAGTACATTAGTTCTTACAGTTCTAATGCAATTACTTAATAGATATTTTACCTCTATCTCCACCAATATTGTAATGCTTGACAAACAGTAAATGGGACTAGTAATATAGTACCAACTCTACATATTAAATACTATACTAATTACAGGGTATAGGAAGTATTCAGCTGAACAAAATATAGTGTTATGTAGTTTTTTCTGAGGAACTGTCACTGAATACGGTAATATCAGTATTCCCTGATAGGAGACTGTACCTGGAATAGAGGTTTGACATGAGCCCGAGCTAGAGACTCCTGTAGACTACACTGCATTTCTTTCTCCGCCTTTAAATCTCTCAGCATATAGTTTGCCTCATCTGTAACATATTGTATACAAAAATTTAGATGCCCTGTAATCAACTTCACTTTAGTTAACATTAATCTGGAATAAATTCCCTGTAAAATCTGTCAGAGAATAGCTAAAGCATTCAGTGTTCTGATAAATTGTATTCCTAACAATAGGCAGAATAAAACGATCTCACTTTCAATCTCATTCATCACAGAGAGAGATGCCAGTTACTTTACTTAGGGACAAATTTCAATCCCAAGTTAAGTGTTTTAAATATCACAATGAACTAAATGTGTCAGATTTACACAAATGTCCCTGCTAGCAACCAACGTAAAGTTTGGAACTTTTTTTTATTTTGCAATATTTCTTTGGCTGGCAAATATAGCAGTTTCAGAAATTGTCAAAGAAAAGAGTCCTTAATAAATGTCAGACAAAATTGTAGTGAGGTATAACTTTGTGAAAAGGGGAGATTACAACTAAACCTGATATAGATTATGCACAACTACAATATCTATGGATAAATTGCTGTCAAATTTTGTTGAAATCCATTCTGTAATTTAGTAGAAGCTAATTCTATGATTAAATGACCGATATACAACTACATATCAAAGAATATTTCTATATCTGTATCAGTTAAAAAAGTAAATAAGTGGAAAAAGAATTAATGACGGAAAAATAAAATAATATACGTCCCCCTCCTCACCATGAAATGGAGAGAGCATACAAAAGAAATTTTACCTAAACTAAAATATAGGATCTGTAAATTATCCTTCTAATGTACACTGATAAAGAAAAAATAAAGGCAATTTTAATTACTATCCTGCACATATAAGGGTATGCCTAGTTTACAGATAACATGTATGTCTTAAGCTCTATGAACCAAATATCTTAGATCTTCACCACATGTTGTCTCAATCCCTTGCATGGCCAGGAACGCTAGCATTAGGGTACCGAGTATAGAAATCCATGATACATATTTCAGCAATGGTCATTTTATTCGTTGGTTGCCTTTGCAGGCATATGAATTTTGAACACAAAATTATTGAAAGACAGTTCTGTTCAAAAAACAATATATCTGTCTGTTTGAGTTATATCGACTTAAAGATTTTTTTTTTCCAATAAATAAAATGAATCTAATTTTACATACCCAGGAATCGATTCTGTTCCAGACTGTCCTCAATCCAGTTGCGCGTTACCACATATTTACAAACATTGATAGCAATGAAGAACTTCAGGGTGCGGGAAAAGGCTGGGGTTACAAGATGTGTACAATAACGAGGATTCTCTGTGATATTGGCACCCAGCTGCATAGCACTCTGTAAACATCAAAAATCATGTACATAGCCCTTTTTGCATATAAATCATCAAAAACGGGAACAATGAAATTACAGAACCAGCTTTTTTGTTTTTGTCCTATAATGAGATTACCAGGTAAGTTGAACACTTTGAAATCTTGTGTAAAATGTACAGTACTTTTGGTTATTCCACAAAATTAGAGCAACAATAACCTCAACCTTTAACTTCTGGGTCTGGAACTAATCCTAGTTCAGTAAGTAAGCATTGTATGAAGTTTGAGTTTGATTGGCCTAAGGGAACCAAAGTTATTGCACAATTTTCTATTTAGGGTAACAGTAATCTGAACCATGAACCCAGTGACCTGAAAGCATTCAAAAGCAAGCCATTTTAGTAAGGAAGCATTTTATGATGTTTGAGTTTGACAAAGCAAACTGGAGTTATCGCAAGGAAACTGATTTTTCTAGTTGCAGTAACAGTGACCTTGACTTTGACCTTCAAAGCTGAAAAGCAATCAACGAGCATTGTATGAAGTTTGAGTTTGATTGGCCAAATCAAAATTTGAGTTATTGCAAGGAAACTAATTATTCTATTTATAGGAACAGCGACTTGACCTTTGATGCTGAAAAGCAATCCCATGCAAGCACTTTCAATAAGGAAGCACAGTGTGCAGTTTGAGCTTGATCGGCCCAACGAAAATCAAGTTATCACACAGAAACAAAAGTGCTGACAGACAGACAGACGGACAGACGGATGGACACCGTGATTACTATAGGACACCCTCACTTTTGTACTGGGTCATATCAAACAAAAAATATGGTGCGACAGATTCTCATACTTCCTTTTTACATTATATCTGGCTCATTAATTATTAGAAATATTTGTAGTTTGTTAGAGAAAAAAGGCTCACAGATTGTAGTCGTCTAGCAATGCCGCGAGGAAACCCTGTGAACATGACTCTCGGCCCAGGTCTGTCTAGAATGGACTGGTCCTCTTTATTTAGATCCATTCTGAAAACAAATCAGACACTTTAAATATGTCTCAAACATCCACATTTATCCAGTCATGTAGTTTCCTTTGTTTCAGAACTTTCTATACAGTAATGGTGAATTCAATCCCATAGAAACTTTACATGTATTATATGGACAGTTTAATTAAACAAAAATTAAACAATTTAGAATCGTCAGCCCAGGTAAACACTGACAGAATAAAATATGTGGGAGGCTACCAGACTACCAGGAGAAGGAGGAAATATCTGGTAACTCTGTACAAATAAATGTGCAAATAGAAATCAAATCCACTGTGCCTCTTAAAACACCGAGAACATCATCAACTCCATCATCCAACTTATCAAGTATATTCATTATTATTTTTTTCCCACTTGAATAGTGAACACTTTCCATGTATGGAAAAGCATTCTCCTTGCTTTTGTCACAAAGATAGTGCAAATTCCTCTCTAGGCATCGTCAGTTGAATCAAATCAGTAAAAAATAAAGCATGTAGACTGACAACATGAAGGAGAAAGGTAAAAATGTCTTTGAAATCCTGAAATACTCGTTAAAGTCACCCCTACTTCAGTGTATCCCAGTACACCAAACCCCAACAGTAAGATTTGAAGTGATTCAAGAAAACAATTTATATCTGACCCTGTATAATACTGTTTATTACCTGGCTTTTTTAACAGGTGGTTCAGCTGCCTCAGGCTTTGGGATATGTACATTCTCCTGGCCAGATACTGCAGCAGGGCGGGACTTTGGCAGACCAGGTAAAAATCGCTGCAGAGAAGAACAAATTATGCCAGAAAAAAATCAAACAATCACTACAATTGACAAAGCACTAACTGTAACAGCCTATAAACCTTTAAGTTAATTCCAACCATACTTCATTTCCCATGGATCCATGGCAATTTCGTCCTGTCACAATACTGAACAGCATTATTTAATTGTACAACAGTGTTATACATACCTTCCATACTTCTTTCTGAATCTTCATAGGATTCCTCCAACCAACTGTAAAAGTTCATTAATATCAATCACAGTTTTGATTATGAGTTGTACATTCATAAATTCATTATCAACATTAAAAGCATGTCCCACATTCTCCGCAAAGTTAATTTATAACTTTAGTCTGATCCCTAATTTCTACAATGTAAGCTGATCAATTAAATCTACACACATTTGTTTCTACTATTACAATCCACCTCCTTGTGTTCCATTGTTTTCTATAATGTATTGAAACCTTTCCAAACTAATTCCATGTGCCACGTCAATTGGACACAATTTTCTCTCACTCTGGTCAGGAGTATCCCTGGGTGATGCTGTGGTTGCTAGGGATGGGATTAATAGAATCTTTCACTCCTGAACTGAAACATTTTCCTCGTGGGTTGAGATCCCCCCATCTCACTACCAACATCCATAAATCTCTAGATTGGTATCAATAGCAGTATTACTCTTCTGAATCACTAAATGACTAATCCATAAACATATCAAGATTAAGTTAACGAGGATCAAATGATGGAACAGAGTACTTGTATTAGTTCTGTAGAAGATTAAGTTAACGAGGATCAAATGATGGAACAGAGTACTTGTATTAGTTCTGTAGAAGATTAAGTTAACGAGGATCAAATGATGGAACAGAGTACTTGTATTAGTTCTGTAGAAGATTAAGTTAACGAGGATCAAATGATGGAACAGAGTACTTGTATTAGTTCTGTAGAAGATTAAGTTAACGAGGATCAAATGATGGAACAGATGGAACAGAGTACTTGTATTAGTTCTGTAGAAGATTAAGTTAACGAGGATCAAATGATGGAACAGAGTACTTGTATTAGTTCTGTAGAAGATTAAGTTAACGAGGATCAAATGATGGAACAGAGTACTTGTATTAGTTCTGTAGAAGATTAAGTTAACGAGGATCAAATGATGGAACAGAGTACTTGTATTAGTTCTGTAGAAGATTAAGTTAACGAGGATCAAATGATGGAACAGAGTACTTGTATTAGTTCTGTAGAAGATTAAGTTAACGAGGATCAAATGATGGAACAGAGTACTTGTATTAGTTCTGTAGAAGATTAAGTTAACGAGGATCAAATGATGGAACAGAGTACTTGTATTAGTTCTGTTGCCCTCACATATCTCATAAGTCTATCCAAATCTTACCTAATAAATGTCCAATACGACTTGTATCCAGCTGTAGAAGATTAAGTTAACGAGGATCAAATGATGGACAGTTTGTAGAAGATAACGAGGATTGATAGGATAACGAGGATTGATAACAGAGTACTTGTATTAGTTTCAGAGCATCCAAGTTACCGAGAACTAGATCACTGAGCCACTGAGCATTCACTACAGGTAAGTGCCATTCCTTGGCTTTTTCATACTTTTCTCCTTCTGGTCTGCAAGCAATACAAGGTGCATACACTACAGTATTCAATAAATAATACTTCATAAAATATTCCATGAATTAATCGTGTAAAAAGTATCAATATACTGTGAAATCATTAATTTTGTTGGGGGGTTATTTTCCTTCTTTGTGAGTACTACTAATCAACAAAAGGCATCTACCATGAAATGTTAAAATTGGTATTAGTAGACTTATTGAGTGTAATCCATTGACGACATCAAGTGTCCATAAAAAAGTAATTTACTGAAAAACGATGAATATTGAACCTCATGGAAAGATATAATTTTACAGTTATATCTAATGTATCACTGTTTCTAATATATCAATGCGAGATCAGCTGGTTAGTGGTACCAACTGGTACAGTAACATCTAATGTATCACTGTTTCTAATATATCAATGTGAGATCAGCTGGTTAGTGGTACCAACTGGTACAGTAACATCTAATGTATCACTGTTTCTAATATATCAATGTGAGATCAGCTGGTTAGTGGTACCAGCTGGTTAGTGATACCAGCTGGTACAGTAACATCTAATGTATCACTGTTTCTAATATATCAATGCGAGATCAGCTGGTTAGTGATACCAGCTGGTACAGTAACATCTGATGTATCACTGTTTCTAATATATCAATGTGAGACCAGCTGATTAGTGGTACCAGCTGGTACAGTAATATCTAATGTATCACTGTTTCTAATATATCAATGTGAGACCAGCTGGTTAGTGGTACCAGCTGGTACAGTAACATCTAATGTATCACTGTTTCTAATATATCAATGGGAGATCAGCTGGTTAGTGATACCAGCTGGTACAGTAACATCTAATGTATCACTGTTTCTAATATATCAATGGGAGATCAGCTGGTTAGTGGTACCAGCTGGTTAGTGATACCAGCTGGTACAGTAATATCTAATGTATCACTGTTTCTAATATATCAATGTGAGATCAGCTGGTTAGTGGTACCAGCTGGTACAGTAACATCTAATGTATCACTGTTTCTAATATATCAATGTGAGATCAGCTGGTTAGTGGTACCAGCTGGTACAGTAACATCTAATGTATCACAGTTTCTAATATATCAATGTGAGATCAGCTGGTTAGTGGTACCAGCTGGTACAGTAACATCTAATGTATCACTGTTTCTAATATATCAATGTGAGATCAGCTGGTTAGTGGTACCAGCTGGTACAGTAACATCTGATGTATCACTGTTTCTAATATATCAATGTGAGATCAGCTGGTTAGTGGTACCAGCTGGTACAGTAACATCTAATGTATCACTGTTTCTAATATATCAATGCGAGATCAGCTGGTTAGTGATACCAGCTGGTACAGTAACATCTGATGTATCACTGTTTCTAATATATCAATGTGAGATCAGCTGGTTAGTGGTACCAGCTGGTTAGTGGTACCAGCTGGTTAGTGGTACCAGCTGGTTAGTGGTCATATGAAAACACGTTTTTTGGAATAATGAATACCAGTACCCAGTTCTGCACAAGTTTTTGAAGCTTAAGTGACAACAAGCATCTTGGAATCCCTGAAGTGAGTCAACATATTTAATATACCTTTCATTTTTGTGTTGATCTGTAAAACATCAATACAAAATCAGAGCAAAATGTCTACAGTTCAACACTGTCTAATTTTACTTGATTCCACCTCATTAAACAAAGTTCATACTCAAACCTTGTCAAAACCTTAATTCATGCCTGTTTATTTCTTTGCTGGGATTATTGCCCTTTGGACAGACTGGTAAATTTTTAAGGTGGGGTCTCCATGAAGTATATGGAGGCTACCTTGCTGACTAAACAATAGGCCCAGTACCTAAATCGTGAATTGACTAACCCTGCCCTTGTAATGTGATGTGTGAGTACCTGATCATACTTACCTCTTACAGACGAGTACAGAGTTTGAATGAGTCATATAACCAGTGTATTTAGCTCCGATGGCATTGATCATCTGTTTGATACGCATTCTCTCATCCCCCTCAAAGTTTGTCACACAGATAATCTGCCAAACAGATAACAATACAGTTCAAATCTTTAAACATGGATTTCACTTTCATGCGTAATGTCTGGGGAAATTACTGTTAAAAGCAGAAAGGAACATCAGATAAAAAATCACAACATTTTCTTCATGTTGGTAATGTAAACAGAATAGAAGTCCTTATAACACACCATGTAGAAGATTAGAGTGTGATGTTTTGGTGACTACACAGTCACCTTCATCTTGTAACACAACCAGTAGAAGATTAGAGTGTGATGTTTTGTTGACTACACGGTCACCTTCATCTTATAACACAACAAGTAGAAGATAGAGTGTGACGTTTTGTTGACTACACACGGTCACCTTCATCTTATAACACAACCAGTAGAAGATCAGAGTGTGACGTTTCGATGACTACACGGTCATCTTCATCTTATAACACACCCAGTAGAAGACTAGAGTGTGAGGTTTTGATGACTACAAGGTCACCTTCATCCTAAAACACACCCAGTAGAAGATTACAGAATGATGTTTCCATAACTATACATCCACTCTCAGCAGACAAATGACCAGTGTTGAGCATACTAGCACTGACAAATGTAGTGAACCAGATGGTAAGGAAATTTTTCTAGCTGTACTACAATATTTTCGACCTAAGTATTTATAGGATTACAGTATAGCTGCAAAAGTTAGTTGATTCCTTACCATCTTGTACAATACGTAAGTCAGTACTAGCACGGTTGTGTTATAAGAACTTCTATCAGATCAGTAATTTAGCCCTAAATAACTGTCACAATAAATATTAGTATAGTTAAGACAAAGGAATTTGGTATTCTGATAGGGGGATCATGTGGACTGTTGTCATTTACCTGGTTTGAGCAGGGTTTCACGTCAGCGAAGATAAGTGGAATATGCAAGGCCTGCCATGGAGGAAGCATCCTCTTACGTAGAAGTACATCATTCAGCCAGTAAGCTGTCACAACACGTCGCTGGTCCTTCAAACCCTGAACATGGCAATCAATTCATGTTAAACACTGTTAAAATATGTAAAATTTGTGTGGAGGCCAGCTTTTTGTTTTGTATATCACCACTAGTTAAATATTTCATCATTAACAAATCTTCAAAATATCCAAAATTTTCACATGGCACTGCAATGAAACATCTATTTACTATTACAAGGGTCACGTAAATTTTTAGATGTTAGGTGTTTCAAACATTCAATCTTCTCTGAAATACTGGTTTCCGACTTATTCAATTCCTCTTCTTTCTCCTGTGACCGCTTTCTCATACAATGGGATTATGTTATTAATGCTATTTGTCCACTCTCCTAAGCCTTATCTGCTAAATTATCACCTTTACTCAAAACATTTATATATGTTTTTAGTCTCATTTAAGTTCTTCTATTTCTTCTAGTACATTCTTTCTCTTGTGAGACTGTTCCACTGACATTTGTTTTTTTGTCATTCCTCATTAAGATACCTATATGTCTGCCTTGTACTCCCTGCTGTTACAATTAAGATACCTATATGTCTGCCTTGTACTCCCTGCTGTTACAATTAAGATACCTATATGTCTGTCTTCACTCCCTGCTGTTACAATTAAGATACCTTCACTCCCTGCTGTTACAATTAAGATACCTATATGTCTGTCTTCACTCCCTGCTGTTACAATTAAGATACCTATATGTCTGTCTTGCACTCTCTGCTGTTACAATTAAGATACCTATATGTCTGTTTTGTACTCCCTGCTGTTACAATTAAGATACCTATATGTCTGCCTTGTACTCCCTGCTGTTACAATTAAGATACCTATATGTCTGTCTTGCACTCTCTGCTGTTACAATTAAGATACCTATATGTCTGTCTTCACTCCCTGCTGTTACAATTAAGATACCTATATGTCTGTCTTCACTCCCTGCTGTTACAATTAAGATACCTATATGTCTGCCTTGTACTCCCTGCTGTTACAATTAAGATACCTATATGTCTGCCTTGCACTCTCTGCTGTTACAATTAAGATACCTATATGTCTGTTTTGCACTCTCTGCTGTTACAATTAAGATACCTATATGTCTGCCTTGTACTCCCTGCTGCTACAATTAAGATACCTATATGTCTGCCTTGTACTCCCTGCTGCTACAATTAAGATACCTATATGTCTGCCTTGCACTCCCTGCTGCTACTATTAAGATACCTATATGTCTGCCTTGCACTCCCTACTGCTACTATTAAGATACCTATATGTCTGTTTTGTACTCCCTGCTGCTACAATTAAGATACCTATATGTCTGTTTTGCACTCCCTGCTGCTACAATTAAGATACCTATATGTCTGCCTTGCACTCCCTGCTGCTACTATTAAGATACCTATATGTCTGCCTTGCACTCCCTGCTGTTACAATTAAGATACATATATGTCTGTCTTGCACTCTCTGCTGCTACTATTAAGATACCTATATGTCTGTCTTGCACTCCCTGCTGCTACAATTAAGATACCTATATGTCTGCCTTGCACTCCCTGCTGCTATATATGTCTGCCTTGCACTCCCTACTGCTACTATTAAGATACCTATATGTCTGTTTTGTACTCCCTGCTGCTACAATTAAGATACCTATATGTCTGTTTTGTACTCCCTGCTGCTACAATTAAGATACCTATATGTCTGCCTTGCACTCCCTGCTGCTACTATTAAGATACCTATATGTCTGCCTTGCACTCCCTGCTGTTACAATTAAGATACATATATGTCTGTCTTGCACTCTCTGCTGCTACAATAAAGATACCTATATGTCTGCCTTGCACTCCCTGCTGTTACAATTAAGATACCTATATGTCTGTTTTGCACTCCCTGCTGCTACAATTAAGATACCTATATGTCTGTCTTGCACTCTCTGCTGCTACAATAAAGATACCTATATGTCTGTCTTCACTCCCTATTGTTACAATTGAGATACCTATATGTCTGTCTTCACTCCCTGCTGTTACAATTAAGATACCTATATGTCTGTTTTGCACTCCCTGCTGTTACAATTGAGATACCTATATGTCTGTCTTCACTCCCTATTGTTACAATTAAGATACCTATATGTCTGTCTTCACTCCCTATTGTTACAATTGAGATACTATATGTCTGTCTTCACTCCCTATTGTTACAATTAAGATACCCATATGTCTGCCTTACACTCCCTACAGCTACTATTAAGATACCTATATGTCTGTCTTGCACTCCCTGCTGTTACAATTAAGATACCTATATGTCTGTTTTGTACTCCCTGCTGTTACAATTAAGATACCTATATGTCTGTTTTGTACTCCCTGCTGTTACAATTAAGATACCTATATGTCTGTTTTGTACTCCCTGCTGTTACAATTAAGATACCTATATGTCTGTTTTGTACTCCCTGCTGTTACAATTAAGATACCTATATGTCTGCCTTGCACTCCCTATTGTTACAATTAAGATACCTATATGTCTGCCTTGCACTCTCTGCTGTTACAATTAAGATACCTATATGTCTGCCTTGCACTCCCTGCTGTTACAATTAACTTATGTGTAATAGGAATATTCATAATTCCTCCACAGCATGTCACATAACCATAGATTATGCATTGTACTACCAGGTTCCTTTGTGTCAGAACAGTACTTTCCACTTCTTTATTTAAAGATAAACCTCATTCAACAGTAACTTGACCATGCAATATGATGCAGCATTTTCACAACAGATAACACTCCATCATATTTAAAATCAGATATATAATAAAAAGTCTGTCATTTTGTTTACTGAATTTTTCTAGCTTCTCTCTAGACACAGTGTTTCACTTCACTTTCTTTTTTTCTATATTCGTACTTATAACTGTTTATTTAAATAAAAAGGTGTTGTTAATGTATAAAAATATAAATATTTCTGTTTAACTGTCATGCCATGCTGAGACATGTATCCAGTTAACAACCAACGACAATAGGGTCAATCTTCCATGCACAATGTCTTTGTTCATAGAAATACAGTTGAGTATTTCATTTGATCCCATCGACTTCAACTTTGAGTCAGATGACTAAACCTTTGCTCTATTTCCCCTCGAATGAGTCCCTCCTATCCCAAGGAGCATAAACCCATCATTCATACAAAACTGATTTCGTTTCACCAATGAAGGATCACACCAAATTTGGGCAAAATTCAATCATTCCTACAGAAGATATTGAATTTCCTCTATTCTAAATAAGGTCAATATCCCATCAGTTGTTCACAACTAGTAGTGGTAGAAAAAGTCCTTTAGACCAGGTGAGCTAAAAACCTGCTTACACTGAAGAAAACTCCATGATAAGAATACAGTATAAAATAACTACAATTTAAGGGCTTTTCAAGAACTTTCATTCACTTTCAAGGTTTTTTTTATGCTCAGTCATCTTCAAGAGTTTTTGAAAACAGATATCAAATTCAAGGGTTTTTGAAGACCCCTGTATTATCATAATTTGCTACAATCACTCACCAGTGCAAACACGTCACTGTGTTGGTTGGCACACAAGATATGAGTCACACGATTGGAATAAGCCGGATCCACCTGGCCACCATGCTGTCCAATCACCTGTCATCACAGAATCACAATTTAAAATTGATAATGAACTTTGATACCTAGAAATATTATGCATTAAATTTAAATTGAAACAAAAAAAAAAATCCCAGCATATCTAATAGGAGAATGGACATCAAAAATTGATGGACTGCAGTTGAAGATGAGTCTTAAACAAGATGGCAACCAAATCAATCTACCAGTGTAACCTCCCATTGGATGCCAGTTCAAAATATTTACAATAATGTCGGTCCCTACATTAAGTTTTATGAGGATAACATACATCATAATGTCTGAATATATCAGACTTTTCTGGTGGGTATATTTGATATCAGATTCAGTACAATCATTTAAAGTTTAAATGCTAGTGATCATTCGGGTAATGTTTGATGAAGATGAGCAATTTCTGTCAAAACATAGAAAACTTCACAGCAAAATCCTGTAACAATACTGTAGACATGGTTATTTTCACAGTGAAGATATTTCACTTTTCCTCAGTAAAATTTCAGGACACATTCTCTAGTCAATGTCATATTCATGACATATGAAATTTGGTTTTTCAGATTCACTGTACATTGAATGTAAGTGCACAGATTACAAACCTTTTTCCAGTTGTCAATCTGATCTGGACCCACAATCTTTTGGTAATCAGTTATGTAGAAGATACATCCCAGCAAACACATGTCGGCAGGCACTACAATATAAGTGGTTACACTAATATTATATTCACAAGGATGTAAGGATATTTTATCCACAGTATGACAGAATTATAAATTGCCCGATTTAAGACAGTAACGTTTTCTAAATGTACATTACCATTGTCTGTAGGGTCATGACCCCAATATGTTGGCATCAGTGGTGACTGGGATGGGTGTTGACCTTTCTGTGACCCTGTGGCTGATCCATATCGTGGAGGAGGATGACGGTGTGGCACATTCATATTCAGGCCAAGAATTTGATTAATCTATCAACATAGAAAATTCAAAATTTAATTTCATTATTTGAACTTAAACTTATTTCTTGTTTTATTTTTTAGGATTTTGTTAACAAGTCCATTACATACCACAATTTAGTTTACAATATCTCTAGTACCTCTGGGGAATCAATTATCCTGAATAAGTCTTTTGGTGACACATAATTTGCTTTTACTAACTACTATTGTTTAAATTAACTATATTTTTCAGGAAGAAACCTGATTGTAGACCTACCTTGTTTGTGTTTGGACGTGGTCCAGGTGATGGGTGTTGTGGGCCTGCATTGGTGATGTTTCGTAACGTTCGCTGTGGTTGATTCTGTTGGAGTAAAAAAATTGCTATGTTTACGATGCCTGATCACATTTTTTTTCAGAATTTAAAGTATAAATTTGGTTTTGCAACTCAGACAAAAGGGCTGTTTTAAATGACTACACATTATGGGAGAGAGGTAATTTAAATGGCTAGTACATGGCTTTCAGATCATGCTAAATACTGATATCAACTTTCCAGCATGGAGAAACTATTTATTGATCCAACAAGGAACACAATGATGGATGTAACAAGGTGACAATAGTTTATCCTGTCCCTTCCAGTCAGATGACCTAACCATCCGCAAGATTTTTAACTACATAATGGTCCTCATATCAAAATAGAGTGTTTCTGAAATCTCACCCCTTGTTGATTCTGCATCCCCATGGGGTCATGCCCAGGGAAGGGAGACAACCCTGGGCCTGGCATGCCTACATAACTGCCCAATCCTGCCTGTTGCATTTGGTGAGGAGAAGGCATGCTTATACCACCAGGCATGGCAGGGTGTGGCTTCCCTGGAGATTTAGGAGAGTGAATGGCTCGTGGTTGTCCTCCAGCCTGTGTCAATATATGTTTGTTATAATGAATATCATGGATTACATATATACACAGGGGAACACACCATGCTCATACTTCTACAGCAGGGGAATTTTCATGCTCAACTATTAGTTAACTTTAGCATTCAGTCTGGTCTTATATATCAGGTTTCAAAATAACTCAAAATTAACTTCAAATAATATGTCTCATTCTGTATAATTGGTCTGAAAATTCTACAGTAACAAGTAATTTTTACAAAACTTAAATTTATGTTGCAATGTAAACAAATATATATGTAATTCTGATGGAAATATTGCAGTGGTGAGATGTTACATAAAGCAGATTTTACACTTTTTACTGACAGATAAATACTGACTTACTGATACATAGTTTTGTCTTTAATAGCATACATATAAGGACAAAATAACACTAAATTATTAATGGGCAGTATTGAGGAGTTTCAATGGATAAAACCAAATTATCCCAGTTACCAAACAACGTAACAAAAATCATTATATTCATTATGAGATAATGTAAAGTTCTTTCAGAGGATGTCTGGCTCCATGGTCAACAGGTGGAGAAAATGGTGATAATATTAAAATACACATTCAGTCTTGTGACAACTACCTCCTCTGCCGGTCTAATCTCACCATAGAGAGTAAAGGCCTGAACACAGGGTTGATAATATCTGACCAATATGGTCATGATTACTACTGTATAGCATGGATTATAGAATACAGATTAGGCAATGGAAGAGCTATTCCATTCAAATATATCCCTCCACTAAATGGGAATTTGTATTTTTTAAAGAAATAGCTCTCACATCTGATCTATATAACTGGTGAGATAAGTTTTGACAAATTGTCTGAAATCCAAGCAGAGGAGATTAGTTAACAGGACTGGCATACAACAACCATAAATTGAAGGTCACAAAGAAAATCATCAAAGTGTTCACACAAAAACTTTAAAGTGAAATAATTTATTTTAATTAAGATTTAACAAGGCATGTTATCATTATTTGAAAGTTTAATTTAGCATTCATCTCAAATAAGTATTAACAATACGTGTTATCAGCATTTTAAATTTTATTGTTTAGTAAATATTATCTTCAGAAATGAACTAGCTGAAATACCAGCAATTAAGGCTTTGATATAATTATTGTGTTTGAAAATTTCGGTAAATTTGATTAGAAAAAGCTGATGATTGTTGCAGATCTGTGAAAACATGCATATACTGATGTTCTGAGTGAAGGACGTAAATATGAGTGTACAAATGATTATTATGGTACACTTTTGTTAAAAGTCATTCTTACTACGTATGTCTGATAGAGCTAGTAACAAAAACACCACTCACAGATAGTATGATAGCAGTTCATGTTTGGAATCACTTCAAAACATTCTAAAAGCTTCCATCATATCTGCTATGAGACCCCATATTATTATTTTTTTTGTGTCATCTTATGATATCTGTTATCTGAATGTACTGTTACATTAGATATGGAAAATTGAAAGATACACACACACAATACAGAAAAAAATCTAGAAAACAAGTCATAATTTAGCACAATACTTCAAGTGTGAAAAATGCTAAATATGTTTACACGATGTAACTAGCCTTTGATATCATAACTGGCAAAAATACAGTAGTCTACAACATTTATCTCTTACAGCAGTCTTTCACTGGTATAAGAAGCAAATGTATTTTTATGTCCTATTACAGATTTCACTACTAGACTATAAAAACATTGGGGTTATCGAAGGGATCATCCGTCGTTTATTGTGGAATATACATACTTGGCATTAAGCCTGTTCTTAAACAATATATGGCAGAAATCAGGCTTGGATGATTATTCTAGAGGTAAGAACTTGCTTATTACACTGATGTTATTTCTACATCAGTTTGATTTTACCCATTACGTCCAATAAAATTTTCTGTTATAAAAGCATGTTTGATGTGTATAAATACTTTCAATAACAGCATTAGTACTTGACTTTCTTTAGATTCAATTACTGGGACTTTCATTAGATTCAATTACTGGGACTTTCATATCAACAAAATGGTTGAGACTTTTAAAGAAAAAAAATTGAATCAAAATGTTCAAAATCTTCACAATGGCTAAACAATTAAGAGCCCGGTCAATTTTTGTTTCATTACAAACCATGCTAGCTAGGAATATCTGGTTAAAGAAACAACTGTTTACATCTGTTTAAAAATACACGTAATAATAATTTCAGCATGTGTGTTTGAAGGAGACAGTGAACAGATTGTAAGTTCAATCAATTGAAATTTGATAAAAAGGCAGTTGAAATACTGATTGCAGTTGACACACTGGTAGAGAAAAGGATTACTATCAGGAAATACTACAGATTACAGAGTCCGCCACCAAGAAGCTGCCTGCACCAGAAAGCCAAGGTTGTTTTAATGTGAGCTAAACATATTGTTTAATATTCTTGGAGGTAAAGGTTTGTTGTATATGCTATTTTAAACAGTTATTTTGCATTCTTTCGCTGTAATACGATTTCTGTATGTTTATGATAAAAACCATTTGAAATAACAAGAAGTTACTAATTCTAATTGAAAAATGAAAGACTTACTGAATATCTTTAAAAGATGTGCACACATTCCTGTCAAGCTGCCAGATATTAGACAGGCCTGACTTAAGTGCAGATATTCTTTGTGGAATAAATGTTTATATACAAACACATACATGTTTTGTGTGCATTAGTGAGGACGTTTTGTGAAGAAATATTATTGAGAATAAATAAAAAGTACTTTTAATATTGATAATGTGTTATTAAAATGCATTCTGATGAAAGTAAAAATAAATCTTGTCAAATATTATTATGACCACACACTTACCTCACTGTTGTATGTTAGGTAATCAACCTTGTACAAGTTATACTGAAGGCTCAAGTTTTCAGATTAAAAGACAATCATTTATTTCTATCTGAGAGAGACATGGTTTCAAATCTTTAATAAACTGATAACATGAACAGTATTTTTGAGACATTGAAGAGAATGATTATTTAGTCAACAGGATATTGCAGTAAAAAGCAGGCTAATTTCTAAATGTTACCACTTTACCTAGTACCTCAGTACACATCCTATTAGCAGAAAAAGTGATGCTAGAAAGACTTTGAAACAGAAAGAATACTAAAGCTGACTTAAAACAATGTTTGACATATATTTCTGATTAAATTCTATTAAATAAAAGCTTTTTCATAGTTAGTATATTATATATGTCATAAAAAGAAACAAGAAGTTTAGTCTGAAAGAAAGCAATTAAAGAGATTTATACATTGGCACTCAGCCATATAGCTGTTAAATGATATTGGAATATAGTATAGATAAGATGGAAGTTTAAAATCAGATCAGAACAGATTTAATTTTAAAATCAGAACATCTAAAACTTAAGTTTAAAGTCACTGTGAGATTTAGTAGCACTTCTATATCACTTATTTTATCATAATGAGAATTTAGATTTTGATTAAATCATTGCTTTCATGTATACATATGATGGAATCAAACAGCTTCTAAAATGAGTTGAATAATTTGCAGGTTTGACATCCTAACAATGTATTGTTCAAGTTGACCCTGTATTTGATTATGAAGCATGCAATGTGCAAGCAGAGAAGCTGCAAGCAAGCAAACCTGTATGCGATTGTTGACCATGCGAGCCAATGCCTCTTTAGCACTAGGTGTAGGTGGCCTTGACCCTGCTCCTGACTCCTCCCCTGACACGCGTCGCTCTAAAGCAGCCATGGCGGACTGCTGGAAGGGGGTGTTCACCTGATTTCCGGGCGACCGTGCAGTCATCTCCCCACGTTGCCGAGGATGGTTCCCATGGTTACCCATCATGTGTAGATACTGATTTTGCATCATCTGGTCATTGATATCCATGGCCTCAGGAAACATGACTGGTGGTGGGGAAGGCTCCCGTGGGGGTGGAGGAGGTGGCGTTGGGGACTTTGGGCGTGGATACTCAATTAATTCCGGGTCATAAATCGTCTCATCAAGCCTCTCTCCCTTGCTGATGCTATCAGTGACCCAGTCAGGAGTGACAATCTTCATATCAGATACATGCAAGGAGGCAGCTCGGTACTTTTCCTAAGGAAAAAATATAACAGCAACATCAAAATGTTTTTGTATTCTATTGTTAAAACAAGATATTACATTCACAACATTCCTTAACATCAAGTTTTCAATTTTACAAAAACAGATATTATCATATACGTTAGCAAAACTTTTAATTTCTTTCAATATCAACCAGTCATGAAATGAATGAAAGAAATCACGTCATAGACTTCGAACTGGATAAACTACTCCCCTTTAAAAAAAGGGGCAAACTTATGGTAATGCTTATGACATTATTAGAAATGAAAATTCTGATGAAGTGACAACAGTGTGAAACACTGAGGTACAGAATTACGCCTAATAGAAATTGTCCCTACACTCTCAGTGTTGTAGGTGATGAGATGGGTACAACTCTGGTCTAGGTTCTGTTGACATCGACCTCCATAGTAGGTCACCATACCCCACAGTGCCTTGGCATCATCTGGCTCCAACTGAAACAGAGCATTCAGTGTATATAATTAACCTACAAAGACAAACAACACTGCAAACTTAACATAACTAACTCAGCATAAAGTATATACATAAGTCTTTTTGTAAAGTTGTTAATATTTACAAAAAATTAATTTTGCCATCAAACAGAGCAGTCTAGCCAATGTGGTTTAAGGTGCCAGTTTCTGAAAACGAGGTCTATAAAAAAAAACCCACCTTTCTGAGGCTTTAAGTTTTTAATGTGTGCAATCACTGCCATGCAAATTTTAAATGTTTGCAAGTATGAACATTTGCAATTCTGCTGATGTAATTATAAAGAGGTTTGACAGGTCTTACCTGTGAGGAACAAGCTACCACTCCAGATAACAAACGTCCTTCTGGTGCAAATATTTCAATACTAATGGCAAGCTAAGGAGTTAGCAAACAAGAATCAATACGAAGATGTAGTAATAACAAATATATTTTCACTAATTGATTTGACCAGATGAAAAGATGAGAGCTGCATAAGCAAATCTCATCTTACACATTACTACTGAAATTTTACCAGTACTGTAAATTTTGCCACCCAGTATTGTTCAGATATTTGGCTTGGTCAAATTATGTGTCTCCTGATCAGAACACAACCTTGTTTTCACAAGGTGTGCTCAATGAACTAAAGAGAGAAGATGTGATCTGAAAAAAATAATTACTGGGTAGACACTCATTTACTCTTGACACCTTGACTATAATCTGTCATAATTGTTGGAGCTGACAAACCTAGGATGGAAATGCTGCTGAGTTACATAAATATCTGCATTTGTCTGGTTACTCACAGCAACTAATTTACTATGTTCCATAATTCATCAAGATAAAACTTACAAATTAAACATGGAAAGATCTTTTAATTCTTTGTATTTGCATTGTTTTGATAGCATCATACACAAATCATCTTCTATATGGGAAGGCATTGACCAATACATGGGCCCAAGTCTGAGCATGAACTTTCATGAAAATGCCTTGTTCTTGTATACAGCCCACATCACATGTTCGAAAAACAAATATTAAAAAAAAAAAAAAAAAAAACTGCATTATATGTGCACATTTATGATATGTCTAGACTTTTAAATATGTTAATATGTAAGTTGACACATCTTATATGAAATTATACATCAAAACTTAGTACTATACAGGAAACTAACGAAAATAAAGGAAGATAGTGTTAGTGACACAGGTATAATGATAATAATGTTTATCATTCAATACTAATTTATTTAAATTTCCTTTTTTATTGGAATGGAAAGGATACGGAAGTCTTTTCTTGCATTTCACAGACAAGGTCACCCACTGGCTCTGCAAAAAAGAAATCAGATTCTGATATATTTCACAACTCATCCCTTACAATAAAATACCAAAAAATATATTTTTTGCATTTTTAAAAAAGAAATCAATTGCAAAGTTTGAAGAAGGAAAATGGGTATCTATATATTGTACAGTGCTGTAAAACTTTTAAAAAGTACACAAAATATTAAACCCCTCCCCCACTTTTCCTTCTGTTAGACCTCACTTTTACAAGTCAAGCATGGCATCAAAATACTTTTTGATTATTAAACCCACCGTGACCACTGGGAGTTCAAAGAGTTCCTTGGCTTCTGAGTAGTCATCCTGTGTGTGATCATCAGCAATGACATGGCTCACCATCTGACTCAAATAGGTGTCTCGCTTAGCTCCTCCAGCATTCAAAAGAGCAAGTACCTAAACAATATTGATTAAGTGGTGTGTAAATTCCAGTTCGATAAACACATAACTCTAAACTCTCGACACTCCAGGTGTTATGATCATTTTCACTCTCTGCACCCCTAGAACATGTCATGGCAAAACTGAAGGCACACGCAAATTAATTTGACTAGTTCCAGGAGAAAACTGATCAATCACAAACTGATACACCACTTTCGAAGATTATAGAGTAGCTTTACCAAACTTCAAAGCCATTAGAAGATACTGTTATGTGACCTAGAGATTTGTTGATGTATCGGTACATCAAAGGATCAAACTTGTGTTTTTGGTTTTGTCCATCAGGTGTCGCTCATAGAACCTTCAATTTTGCCATGATATGTGTAATAGATACATAATGAGCACGAGTAATGCATCGGATATATTACACAAGTTCGAAGCGTGATATATCCGATACATTACGAGTGTCAATTATGTATCTGTTTTATCCAGTGACCACCAAGGTTTTCTCATCCACATGCCAATCAGAGAGAACCATGCGATATTTTAGATGTCACATATGTGATATCTGAAATATCACATGGTATGGGATTTATCACCAGGAAAAGATCAATGAAAAATCAAGGCGTCATTGGATAATCCAGGGGTGCAGAGAGCAAAAGTGATTGCAACTCCTTGCGTATTGAGGATAAACTCTTAGTAGTCTTTGTATTAAAAAAGAATGTGGGATATGGCGATGAAGGTTTTTTTTATCTTAAGTGATAATGTATTGAGACATATATATTAGTATCAAAGTGCAAGCAGAAGAGAACAACTTCATCTAGTTAGTGCATGTGTTCATTAGAAAGTCAAAAATATGGGTAGCAACAAAAATCTCATTTTTTGCAATAGTTTGGATATCAATAATATTAAACCCAAGGGTCTTAAGATCATTACAAGTGTGAAATACTCTTCCTGTTACTATGCAAAATTTTCACCAAAACACACAATTTCTTCTAAAATATAATGACCAAAGTGATAATATTTACCTATTTACTGATATTTGTAAAAGCTAGAGTAGGATTGGGTAATTCTAGGTAATATTTTGTTAGCATTGGGTGGTATTGTGTAATATCTATTTAGTATTGGGTAGCATTTAGAGTAGCTCAAGCAGCCCCAAAGGTACTACTTGCTAACAAGCCCTAAAGATAACACATGTAAAGAGAAAAGGTGAAAAATTTCACACATGCTTTTAGTCTTGAAGTTGTGACAGGGAAGCGGAATTCACAGTAATACTTTTCTAGATAAACTTGGAAAAACAAAACCCCATGAACTAGTTAGTAACTCAATATGTACACTATTCAAGGAAGAAAGAGTTCCTTAAACATAAGGTTAAATGATTAGTTATCTTTTAAATATTTTGTCACTGTTGTTTGCCACAATGAAATACACAAGTTAAAATACTACGTTCGCTACAAATGGTTTGTCGTTATCCATATTTCAGTATTGGAGAGTATATTGTTGTATTAGGTAACGCCATGCGATATTATTCACAAGAACATTCATTTTCTGCTAAAAGTATCATTATCAAAGTTGAATTATGTATTTATTCACTGATATTTGTTAAAACTAGAGAAGTATTGTGTAGTTTCTGGAAATAGTTATTCAATATTGGGTAGGTCGGTAATATTTAGACGTGCCCAACAGTTGTCTTTGGTTTCCGAAATACCTGTTGGTCGATATCGCCGACCACGTAATACGTCACATCTTTAAAAAGATCCTCTGGGATCTTTTCATCTTCCTTTTTCTCTGCATCAGCAGTCATTTTGACTTATTCACAAATCAAAATGCAGTGTTTCTGTGCTCTCATCGTATCTAATCTTGCAAGATGTCGCTTTCCCGCTAAGTGATCGGTCAAGGTTATCTTTCAAGAGACACTGACGTGTTTGTATCGGAGGAAGCAAAACGTGAAATAATATGCAAGCGTATTTAAAACCGCGACTGATTATGTTTACAATTTGAGCATTGTCGTAAACAAAGACATGAAAATTATAATTAAGAAAAATTTAATCAACACCCGTTAACCAAAGAACATACTGTACATGTAGTTATTTGAAGACAGAAAAAGATAATGAAATGAAATAAGGTCTTGCTTACCTCAGTGTCGTACACAAACGTACGAACAGTTGTTGACACGGTCGAAATATCGAAGACAAATTTATTGTTAGTGTGAAGAAAAAACAAATAACGCCTTCTCTTGGTAAACATAGCAGGTAAACATATAGGATTATAATCTTTTACTTATACGAGTTTCTGGTAATATCTTTCACATCCACCATTTAGCACATGCTATATCGTTTATGCGTGAAACCCAATCACTACTGTACACTTCATTTGTCACAAAATGTAACCACGATAACATCGTTTTAATAATTTCATATTGATTAATCTAACAAGTTGTTTTGTTAATTATAACATATTGTTTATGAAGGCTGTTATTAATTGGTTTTTCTGTTAGTATAATTGCCACTGTATTCACACAAGTCCAGGGCTCATCCTGTAAATAGGCCATGCACCCACTGTTTATTTATCTTTACAGATATAGCTTCAAAACGGTGGCCTTGAAGCTGCTACAGTAAATTCTGCAGCAGCACATATGAGCCACTTCTCCAGTAGACTCAACAAAAAATGCGGAATATTGGCTCCGACATAAACAAGTCCAGGGTGAGCCCTGTATTACACAATTTGGTACTCTGTATACCCAATGCAGAGTTCCAGCTGATTGCAATTGATGTTAATTTAAAGCAAAATTGTATGAAAACACCTCATTTTATCTAATTATATCAATAATGAAAGTTTCTATAATGCATATTCAATAGTCTTTTAAGTGTTATGGAGTACAAAGTTACATCAAAAGTGCCCAAAGAAACAATATCAGCTTTATCAATATTACTATAAATGACAGGATATGTGAAAAGATCTCCCCAAAACACATAGCCATTTGTTCTTGTACTTAGTTCTCTAAAATTGTGCAAAATCACAAGCAACAAAATTTGACAGGTCCCATTCTCTACATGTGACAACTCATAATTTCCAGCTAGCAGTTGTAGGTTATCAGTCAAAATGATTCTGATTGTCTATGTGTGATTTTATGTTCATCATCCATGTGATGTTTTCTATAATTTACATGATGCCTATAGATAATACATTGATGAAAAGATCAAACATTTGTAAACTTAAATTACAGTATAATTAGCTAAATACAATAAACCTCATCTCATTTTTTCCAACATTCTCAGTTTCAAGCATATTTTTGACATGGACACCACTACATAATCTTTGGAGAATTGTAATTACAAACTGACAGAAAAGTAAGCTCTCCATGGACTAGTGCCCATGTGAATAATATGTTTAAGACTGTGGTTGTGGTGACTATTAAGGCACAGTAGCCTCTTGTTTTCCTGTACGATAGTGTTGACTTATTGTTAATTGACTAACTTGCCTATCCTTTCATCAGGACAATTTGGTACAGTAATGACCTGCAGTTTTACTGAAGCCAATGCCATTAGCTGTCATGTTCAGAATCAAGGGACTTAATTTACATTTGATGTGTAACTAACCAGAACAAAAAATGAGCTACAAGTTTTTCTTAAGATATACATCTCTTGTGTTTGTTAAGAATTAATGAATAAAACATGATTCAATATTGTTTAAATAAGCAGTATATAAGTAGAGATTTGTGAGCATAGAATATATTACAATACAGTAAATAGTGGTTAGGCATGGTCTAGTGGAAATCAAATGTAGTGATAACTTTACAGTGTTGACCTAAACATTCGAATGGAAAGTGGTATATAGTTGTTTTACACATAAATCATAAAACCTCTTTTCATACTAACTTAATTTACACATCATTGATCATTAAAAATAACATTATAGAAAGTACAGTATATTGTATGGTCTTGCTGATAATTTTTTCTCTCATGTGTTTTTTTAAGTCAATTAAACAAATTTGATAATTACATAGCATTATGAATCATTGTTATATTAAATTATTAGTTACTTAGCATCATTAATCTGTTAATCTGCTGTTTTCAACAGTAAAACAAGAAAATAAAATTACTGTGAACACACTATTTGTGTTTAGATTTATTGATATCATAAAAGTTTCATAATAATTCAAATCACATATTAACAGATGTTTTGATGTTTGTACATAGTCATCTTTATAGATATACTGCATCTGACTTCTGTAGGAATCAAGCACCATGTGTGCCCTGCCATCCTCCCAGCCTCCCACCAAGAGGAAGGAGATCTACAAGTATGAGGCACCATGGACAGTCTATAGCATGAACTGGAGCATCCGGCCTGACAAACGCTTCAGACTAGCACTGGGAAGTTTTGTAGAAGAATACAACAATAAGGTGACCACTTTTTTAGTAAATGTTTAGCTTCCAGACAATATAGATGTCTTGCATTTAGAGCATTTAAAATTTGATGTTGTTTGTTGATAATTTTCTGCAAATTTAACCAAGGAACTTTGTTTGTTATAGGTCCAGATTGTCTCCCTTGATGAAGAAACATCTGAATTTACATCGAAGAGCACATTTGATCACCCATACCCAACCACCAAGATCATGTGGATACCAGACTCTGTATGTTATAAACTTTAATGGTCAATACTTGGCTTTTCATGTACTAGAAATATCCAAGTCTGTGTCACAATGAAATGTTACATTCTATGTTATCAATATTAAGAAATAGAGTACCTGGTACACAAGCTGGTTTGTCATATAGTCCTATTACTACAAATAACACTACAGAGCAATCCTAATTCAAAACATATGATACAATTCCTTTAGGGAATCCTGATACAAATTACTTCCTGTGCATATAGACAATTATAATGTTGTTTCAGGATTTCAATTACACTTGAGTTATGTATAGATGTACTCACTGACTGACATTTGTTTGTCATTACAGAAAGGTGTATTTCCTGATCTGCTGGCCACCAGTGGGGATTACCTGCGAGTGTGGAGGGTTGGCAGTGACAATGATACACGTTTAGAGTGCCTACTTAACAATGTAAGTCATTTCTTTTTCAAACAAGAAGTTTGATAATCACATTTACATTGGTTTACTGTAACACATATGAGGTTAAAGTCCTCCCGTTTGGCATGTATTTGATATTTGATAAGAATGAAAATTCTGCAGTATAAGTTGGAAAATGGGAAAATATTGGTTCCTGCCTGCAGAAATTATTGTGTTGGATCAGAAGACTAGTTACAGGTATAGCTACCATTCTACAGTAATAGTTGTTGTTATTTAATTTCAGAATAAAAATTCTGATTTCTGTGCTCCTTTAACATCATTTGACTGGAATGAAGTGGACCCAAATTTACTCGGGACCTCCAGTATAGATACAACCTGTACAATATGGGGTTTGGAAGTAAGTGAATTGTATGACAGCTGCCCTCTTGGTGAAAATAAAGCAACACTAAGATTGCAATTTAGATTTTTACAAAGTGTTTACTCCATACATATTTCAACAAGTTGAATTCAAACATACTTACCAATTTATATGAATTTATTGTGACAACTTAGTTATGCTTATGCATATACAGTAGATTGTAATACACATCATTTATAAATGTGGACAGTTTGCAATTGTGATTGTAGAGTATGAACAGAAATACAAAAAGATAATAGTAATATATTGGTGTGAAAAGTTAAACACATTCAAATTTCACTTAAGGTTTCATGATTTTTTTTGTTTTCTAATTGTACGTAACTTAAATTGATGCTGTTTATGTTAAGATGAACAGGTATGTTATGATCTAGATATTTGTATCACACTGGTTAGCAGTTTATGTTACGATGAACAGGTGTGTTATGAACCAGATATTTGCATCACACTGGTCAGTCCTTTGGATAATACGTTGATATATGTTGTCTATGTTACAGACAGGACAGGTGTTGGGACGTGTAAATGTTGTGTCTGGTCATGTAAAAACACAACTCATTGCACATGACAAAGAGGTCTATGATATCGCTTTCAGTCGAGCAGGAGGGGGACGTGATATGTTTGCAAGTGTTGGTGAGTGAGGTTTGAATTTGTTTTTGTCCCTTGTGAAAGACTACCATATGTCCCAAGTTACCAAATTTATAGAGACGGCTAATAGTTTGAATAAAGTATAACAGATTGGTGTACATCAACCAAATTTATAGATACAGCCAATAGTTTGAATAAAGTATAACAGATTGGTGTACATCAACCAAATTTATAGATACAGCCAATAGTTTGAACAAAGTATAACAGATTGGTGTACATCAACCAAATTTATAGAGACACTGCCAGTGTTATGTGTAACATTGGATTTTTTGCCTTTGTCGCCTTTTTTGTTGGGTTTTTCTGTGTAACGGGGCTCCATATTGTTCAGAATGTCCCCCAACAAAATCAAATTCACTCACAATGTTATGTTTTTCCAAGATGGATGGCCATAAAGCACGCCCGAAAGGGAGCCCCTCCTCACAAGAAAACGTGAAAATATGCCGAGATGGCAGTGTTCAGAAATGTAAAAAGTATTTGCACAAACAGTGAAAACCAACAAGTAAACCCTAGAGAGCCTCTGGGGGTGTGAAACAAATAATGAAAGTATAAAAGGCGATATAAAGTCAGAGGAACGCAGTTCCCTCTGTACTATTTGCTAACAAAACACGCTATGCCTGCTAACGATGTGCACGCATCTCATGGGATGCCGGATATACCATCCAGGAGTGAATGACAGAATTTGCTTGAAAAGCTTGATTTAGTATATACCCTGTAGATCTAGTGTCTGACTCAATGTTTGTTCTATTGACTTGTATAGGTGCTGATGGGTCTGTGCGTATGTTTGACCTCCGACATCTAGAACATTCCACAATTATTTATGAGGATCCTCAGCACCATCCCTTACTCAGACTGGGCTGGAACAAACAAGATCCCAACTACCTAGCCACCATGGCCATGGATTCCCTGGAGGTCTGTCTATTTATAATTAGTCAACAGTCATTCTCATTCATATTCTAGTTATTGATGTTGGTATAGTGATATCATGCTTCATCTCACATCATGTAATGGATTTAAAAGATTGGTAAATAATCAGAAACATTTCATATCTAAAGAGATCAACAGAGATCTCAACATTTGTACAAGATTTGAAGCTTCATGTTTCATGAAGTATTGTTCGGTCTATTAATTATTTTCCATGCATCATCTTTGTTATCCCTATTGTTAAGTTTACATCAAGAGATATAGATTTGTGATAATGAAATTGTAGGTGATAATACTGGATGTTCGTGTACCATGTACACCAGTGGCCAGACTCAACAACCACAGAGCCTGTGTGAATGGCATTGCCTGGGCTCCTCACTCTAGCTGCCACATTTGTACTGCAGGTAAGATATTACTGACCCCCTAATTCAATGTAGGAGGATTTTACTTTTGATCGTTTGCGTTGACCTTTATTTTAAAAGTAGGGCAATGAGGACACAAACTGGACATATTTATGAAGTATCATAAAAAAAATTGTATCAGATGTTTTTTAGAGGATACGTATAATATTTTGACCTTTGACCTTTTTTTGTCCTTGACCTCAGGACTTGATTTTCATGAGTGATAATGATTCTGTTTAACATTTCTTTATATCCTATCAACAGTTATGGTCATTTAAGGACAGTTCCTGAGTGATGATGTCATAATCTTGTCGCAATAGATCCATGGATTAAGTGACACTGAAATATGTTTGTAAGAAGTATTTGTTCAATCTAGTGTGTTACAATGATTTGATCTCAGGGTACAAATAACACTACATCATGTCACATATAAAAAAATCTGCTGTTTACATTCAGTTGAATAATAACTACTGGTATTTTATTTCTTACAGCTGATGACCATCAAGCACTGATATGGGACATCCAGTCAATGCCTCGGGCAATCGAGGATCCGATACTAGCTTACACAGCTGGTGGTGAAATTAACCAGACACAGTGGTCATCAACACAGCCAGACTGGATCTCTATCTGTTACAATAACTGTCTCGAGATACTGCGGGTGTGAGGAACCTACTTAGGGTCACCAGTTATTGACACTGCCAAAGCAATCTCCCATATTTGTGTAGAGAGTGTGTTTATATCTCTGTACAAATCAATACCAAAAGTCCTCTCTAGGAAGCCATTCTTCCAGAGGATTATAGGCTATGTAAACAAATCTTCCTTGAGATGTTGGACTATTTTGGCAGCGATACTGATGTACTGAAAAGTAAAAGCTATCCTAAGGTTGCGTCAGTTTTAACACCGCAAGAACAGGATTAGCTGTGGCCCACGTTAATTGTGAAGTTTGTATTGTTCAATTATTGCCATAGTATCAAACACTAGACGAACAATACGACATGAGATTCCAGATAGAAGGGTGTGGCTTATTACAAGGAAATGATATAGCTTCTGTACTGAAGCTGCAATAGGTATGGCTAGGCTTTTTTACGTGGACGTTTTGACAGATGCAGTATTTTGTTATTATCTTAACAGACCATTTATCAGATTTGTTTCAGAATCATTACTATGTAATGTTAATGAAGAAGCTATCATTCTGGGACACAGATTGCTCTGTATTAAGTGTTGATATGATAGATCTGTTTCAAGTCTCTACAGGAAGATCTGGATAAATGAGACCAAAGACTTTTCTGGAGCTGTACCTTTATCAGCCAGGATGAATTCCCAGCATTTTCCTAGACTTTAAGGCTGCATACTGTCAAAAACACGAAGAAGATTTATTTCAGTATATCTTCTATGTTAGGGTATGATTAATATAGAAGGCTGCTTGTCTCCATATATTAAACTTCTTTTATTATTGACTGTGTGTGTACTTATTTCAGTGCCATCATTCTAATATCAGCACCTTTTGCACTTGTTCAAGTGCAGTGCTAAAATTTCTCTATTCTATCTTTAGGATTACTATCGAATTTCACTTATCAATTAAAATATTGTTCAAGACCAATTTTCATAGGCAACATTTGTTACTCCTAGTTGTAGATCTGAGTCATCTCAATACAAAGCCATACATTAAACTTTTGAATAATTTTTTTATTGACATTCAAATTGAAATGAAACAAAACCAGAAAACTGAAACTTGATTTAGAACTTAATTAGGCTAGGAATGAGTTGGGGTATTGTGCCACAGGTGTTGTAAGATTCCAAAAGTGGTTCCCATCTATGAGCAGGTCAGTACAGATCCACATCCCCTGAGCACCTTACAGCAAGCTAACCTGGCCTGGTGACAGGGAATGGAGTTCCACGACAGGCTTAAAACTTATCCTTGCTGTATTTGTTAGAATTTAAGATTGCACAAGAAGGTCTAACCCCTCAAAGCCCTAAGATATGAGTGCACTAAAGTAAGTACACATACAGTATGTAGATAAAGTATGTTGACATTTCGTACATAATGATGTAGTAAAAATTTCACTGAATTGTGTGTATTTATAATCTTTGTAGTGAGCATGCTTTTAAGATCTTATTGACATACATGTTCAAACTTTATGTAGGAATTAACATTTTTAAGTATGGTGGTGTACTCCATAATTTCATAATGTATATAAATGATTCATTTGTGTTGTGTTGGTACGTTTGTAATGTTCCACTTTTTTTATTCCCATATTTTTTTTGTTTTTTGTACAGAATTTGCTAAAATTTAAATCACGTTTGCAAAAAAAAAAAAAAAAAAATCAATAATCATAATTACGTCCAGTAATGATATCATTTATATAAACTTTATTTATTTACAACAAATATGAAACAAGTTTAACTTATGTTTATTAATCACTCTTGCTGGTCCACAAAGGTATGTAGGGATTAAAAAATCTGGAGGACACAGAGAAAAGCTTTTCAAGTTCAGCTTTACTTCACAAAACAAGGAAACTGCAAGGCAACAACATAATTTGCAATTTTTGTTATTTGTTGCATGTGAGCAAGTCAAAATAGAAAACCTGTGTCAGCATCTCGGGTTTGGTTTTACAGGGTTTTTATTTTGAAATTTATGAGAAGTAAGAAAACTAACAAAACCATTTTAGGACGGTGTAATCAATCAGCATTGTGATCCCCACAAGATGCAATGGCTTCATTCATTGTGCTGACTAGCTTACAGAGCCTTCTTTACTGATGACACGGTTGGTCAGTATTATATTGCTGTTATACTGGCTAGTACTGAAAATGTTGACTTCTTTATCAACAGTATTGATCATTTCTAATACCATACAAACATTTCTACCAACCATTTTTTTTACATCTTAAATCATGTAATGAAGAAATGTATGATGTTAAACATAAACTTAATGTATCACTAAGGAAAAAGGAACAAAGAGGGCTTTATAGAGACTCTTTCATCCTGTTATTAGACCTGTAAATGTGATATTTTGTATTCATTACAAACATCCTTCAGTCTTGTAATAAGTTGTAGTATATAAGTGGTTTGCTTATTTTACTAATTAAAGATGAAACACCAGCTTACTATTGTTTTGATTTTGGATGGTCTCTGTTGTAACAAAATAAATAGAAATTTTGGATGCAGATTCTAATAACTATTATTTTGATGTAAACCAGTAATAGAAAGTTTGCAATGTTGAAAGTCAGGTAATACAATGTTCTTTATATCAAGCTGTAAATATATATTTTGTCCAAACTGTCCAAGACAAATAATCATTGATTCAATTCATTCATATACATGTACCAGTGTTCATTAAACTGGAAATATAACAATATGTTTGTTTTCACTGTAAAATATACCAACCCTAAGTCCTGTCAGTACCTTTACTGTCCAGACAGGTGTGAGATTTATACTTAGTTTGATGCGTGGAAAGTTAAATGTTTTGGACTCGATTTATAAGTGTGGAGAAAACTTGATTGAAAACAGTGCACAGGAAAACATTGTGGATGGGGAAGTCTCCATGTTTGAATCACTGTAGAGGGAAACTCCATTTTGGTATTAGTGTAGGGGAAAACTGTGCATGGGGAAGACTGATGATAATAATAGGTCAGAGATTTCATTCATTTGATAACAGCATGGAGAAGAACTCCATTGACAACACTAGAGAAGACCCAATTGATAACGGTATGATGAAAGGTGAAAATTCCATTGATGAAAGAGTAGGAAAGACTTTGTTGATGACAGTGGGGAAGACACCATTGACAACACTGCAAGTTCATAGATAAGGTTGTGGGAAAGACTTTGTTGATAACATTGATAAAACTTCCTGATGGACTTCATTTATAAAATTGTGTGTTAGAGTTGTATCGAATGGTATTTATGAGAACAGTTGAGGTTTTTAAAAGTTTTCTATAAATTGAGGGAAGATAAAAATGTTGAAATAAAAGTCAAATAACTCTTCCATATTATAAACACCACAACCCATTGAGGAATACACATTTTCATGTAATGGTTATAAAACTTACATTCAGAGATGGCGAAAAATTAGATTTTGGACTGGTCTATATAAAAGAGCTAGCAGTGATCTACTAATGTAAGTTATTCTGCAAATAATCTTAATGTTTTTGATGCTAATGATATAACATTAAACAAGAGGCCTAGTGGCCTTGACGGTCACCTGAGATAAGCAATATTGAATAGAAAGGTTAAAAGGAAGTTATCAAATGTCCTGAAACAGAAATTGTGACACTGAATATAGTAAGCCAGTGTCAATACATGCATACCATCAAAACTGTCATCCTACACTAATAATTCATAATGGGAAATAACCAACGTCATGCTAAAAATGCTACTTTTCCATGAAAATTACAGTAAAGTTTAAAAAAAGCTTCCTCCTCTGGAAAAAATGTGCGACCCATTTTCGTAATAAAGCAACTGAAGATGCTTTCATTCATACAGAGCATTTGAATCTACCATACCTGGGTGTTGAGAAGAAATTTTATCAATTTGATCCCTTTTTGCCCTGCCCCTTGGGGTCAGCCATCTAACCAAGTTTGAAATTTTTCCAATAGAAATAAAACAAGTTACCCTCAAAAATCTATTTTCCTGTATAAACTTTGCCCCCCTTCAGAGAAATGTGAGACCTTGGAGCCACGAAATTCACAATTTTGGTAAAGGTTCTTAAGATCTGGGAGTTGCGAAGATTTTTGAAATTCGAGTCAATTTGGTCGTGCTCCTCAGGTCTCTGTGGGTTGAGAACTGTATAATTCACAATTTTGGTTCATCTTAGGCCAGGCATGTCTTCTTCAAAATGTTATAGAAATCAGATCAGGAGTTTTTGCGAAGTTGAAAATGTTAAATTGTTTATGGATGCGCGATGCCAGATGAAGGTGACTGAAATAGGTCACCATGAGACTTTGTCTCGGGTGGCCTAAATATGATTCACAAAGAGGGCCCAGATAACTCAGTTGGTAGAGTTTTTGTCCATGTGTCCTTCAGAGATCACAGTGTGTGGTTCTGCACTCCTAACTAGTAACGGTTGTTTTTCATGAAGCTCAGAAATGGCCCGTTCTGTGCTTTTGTGTCCTTAGGCAAGATACTTTCTCCAATCACTTGGAACAGCTTGCAATGGGTCTCCCTTATGTTGTTCAGTGAAGTTGCCATCAGCTACTGTAAATAGATCCTACCTTAAAATGACCCTGGCTGGTCAATAAGTGATAAACTCAGCAAACCAACTATAATATCACCAATCACAGTTTGTCATTAACGTAGTTTTGACCAATTATTGTAAATGTGTGAATTTATCATTGCACTTATTTGTTGATTACATTGTATTAAACCTTGATTGCACTTACATAAATATGTTTACGTTATTTAAACAACAAGATAATAAATATAAAGCTGCAAAATGTGGCCTGTAATCCTGGATTTCAAGATTTCTGGATTGCTGAGTTAAGTGAAACAGCCAACATTACCGAAGTTATCTCCCTTGATAACATGACGATGAATTAGTTGCTATGATGCTGTTGAATGTTTTCAGAATGTCTATATAGTATTTCTATATACAGTGAATGCAGGTTTTTTTTCTGTTTTTCATTGTCTAAGTAAGTTTCATTTTCATATATAATTGCATATGAATCCAAATTCTCTTGAGTCAAAATCATTATCATTCACTGAAGTTAAAAATCGTGGATGATTCATTGGATGTCTACCTTGTATCAACAGTGATGTTCTATTCATTTATTTTATAACCCATGCTTTCTAAATATTATATGCACTGCATAAAGTGAAGCTGATTAAAATACAGATATCACTATATACTTCATTCTGAATATCTGACAGTGGCCAGTAGGGGGAGGGGGTCACGTGATATTTTCAGCCAATCAACACGTCTCTCATTTGCCTGTTCATCAGTGCGTGTGAAATGGAGGAAAAAGATGAAGTGATGGAACTGGCAAAAGAAGCAGGGTAGAAAATACACTTAAAAGCGTCACTTCATTCACTCTAGAGGCAGTTAACGTGATGGAAATAGATAAATTTTCCAGTAAATATGTACTTTTTGGTGCATGGCAGCTTGCAATGGGCACAGCCATCTTAGTATAATTGACATTTGGGACTCTGTTGTGATCGTTATAGTAAAGACCAGCCATGATAGCAGCTTAAGAGACACAGGCTCTGATTTTGCCAGTCACATTTTGTTTGTTACCAGTCACAGTAAGATCTCCATCATATAGTTTATGATGATGGTATGTACTTTCATCAGATTGGCACACAGTGTATTTACATGTGTTAAAACCAAATACTTATTCCCTGATAAATATGACAATTTGTCGTCATGAATGATTCTATGTTTAGCATCAATTGAGTCAGTAGACCTGACTGCATAATGGATACATAACTATACATGTGTATGGAAGGTTTAGAGACAAATGACCAACAAAATCAAATCAGGTGTAGAACTGCTTAGTACTCGCCTGCAGTGTGCCCATACCTGGTAATAAGCCAATCTCTACAGCTGTTTACTTCACCTAATTCTTTGTCCTGTTTTAGCCAAATCGTGACTTTGAGTCCCTTGAGCTCCATGCAGGACAAATATGTTATCAGTTACCCTTTGAATAAGAGAGTTAATTAAAGAATAGTTAAAACAATATGAACTTAAACAAAACTAAAATATAAAACAATTTATAGTTGTTTTTTTTTATTGGCAATGAAATATAAACAAAATGTGGAGTCTGTGAATATCTGTGGATAAAATTGTTCTTATATCTAATATCATCTTAAACATAAATGCAGTATTTCTAAGAGTCCATGTTCAACAGACTTGAAACTCTGATTTCTTGCAAGGCAGTCTGCACATAGTTTGAACAAGAGTTCCTCGGAACTGTGTGTCGCCTGCATAAAGTGTCACGATCACCCAGAAATTGAACTGGATGTTCAACCATCAACCATAAAGTTGTAATACCAAATTTCATTTCTATAAGTTGAAGCATAACCAAAGAAAGTCAAGAAAACAAAGTTCAAAGTTCAAAGGGGCATAACTCTACCAAAAAAGGTCACAGACAGCCGGAAATCGATCTTAATCTGTACCCTTGCAACAAAAAGCCATATGCCACATTTCATTTTGATAACTCGAAGTATTACCGAAAAAAGTCCAGAAAACTTTCGTACAGACGACGACGCGTGACAACGGACAAAGTGATTCCATAGTGTCTGTCAGCTCTGCAGGCGACACAATTATGATTATCAAATTTGAGAATTCTTTTCCTAACATTTAAACACTTTTATCTTGTAGTAGCCAGACAATTATTGTTCTGATGATGGAAACATTCCTTTAGTATCCAGTGAACATTCACTCTCATCAGAATTGCTAGTGTCATGTATCTCCGCCGCTTTCTTGTGGTATGGGTTTAGGAACCATTTTTATTCTGTTGTTTGAGACTCCTCCTAGCCATTTCTAGAACACCATCATAAGTTTCATTCCCTCCTATAAAACCTCCAGCATGTACAAATATACAGCCAGGAATACCAGACTTTTCTGACAATTCAGCATCTCGTATACCTCGCCATTCCTCTGGGAGAGAAAGTCTGCAAAGTGAAAAAAAACATAATTAATGATGTCCATTCCCACAATACATTTTATAGTCATGATACAGTACTGTGTATTTAGTATTTGACAGTGGTGTCATCAGCCCTTATTTGCAGTCATTATAGACAATGCAAGCTCCAAAACATTTAACTTATAAATCAAACTTAAAACCAACAACTATAACTTTACCTTTTAATTTCCAATTATAGTAAACGACAACAATACAGTTACACATAAATATATAATCTGGAATATCTGATTTCAGAGAGCCAACAGAAAAGTCATTTTTAAAATATCAGATCATGGCAAAGTAAAATGCTTTCAATTATATGTATACATGTGACTGCAAAATTTGACAAGATTGTGTTGCACAAAATTTTATCTCCACAAATATACTGAATCATCTGCAAAATGCTTTAGCCCTCTGAGTTAAACAACCACACAGAAGATATCCCTTTGTGTCCCCTTCAGCAGCACTGGCATATCCAGCACACAGACTGACCTGTTTTCAAAGGAGCCTATCTTTAGAGGGACACACTGTATCCTCCACTTCTTACTGTTGTCTGTATACAGGACATATTTGAGTTTTGGAGACAGACACATTTCCTCCTCAATGTTAAACAGGTGGTCCTTCCAGGGACAGCCACCACTTTTCAGAGTCACAATCTCCCCACTTGGGTCAACCTTTACATAACAATTTATACTTTTACATTCAAAACTCATAGATTACCTTCAAAATAATCAGACCAGAGGCAAGTAATATTTTCTATACAGGGGAGACAATCAGTGTGAATTATTACATTATTATGAGAATGTACTTTCATGTACATGGTCATCAGACATTATGACCTCTTGTCCTGGAAAAACAGACACAATGACATTTGACCTTATATAAAGGGCAGATATAATAATATCTGACCAATTGTAAAAGTTAACTGGTAAATAAAACGACCTCTGACCCTGCATAATGAGTAGAAATAATGACAATTGACCCTAAGTAAAGGGAAGACACGATAACTTCTGACCCTGCATAAAGGTTAAACACAAAGATCTCTGACCCTGCTTGATCAAAACACACAATGATCTCTGACTCCGAGTAAAGGGCAGACATGAAGACATTGGATCAGTGTTAGAGGGAAGATACAACGATTACTGATCCTGCATAATGAGTCAACACATGAGTTCCTACATTACATAATAATTAAGTTATTTATAGCAATGTCACCTTGACATACAACTTTCAAGTTGTATAAGGTGTCATTCTACATTCTGATATGTGACTATATCCTGAGGAAGATTTAAGAGATATTCTGCTCCAAGTTGAGATTTCATAAGATGCTTTTTGAGAAAATTGTACAAAAGTATCTACTTTTATTCTTCTGGAAATGGCACACTTTATTTCCCCAAAAAATCAACTTTTGCTAGATCTGTTTATAAATGTTTACACTACCCTGATGACGTCACCACCGGTTTGCCACTGTGTACTACACTGTAAACAAATGGAAATGGCGACTCCCGCGGATTTATTTCATGGAAAAGAACAGGCAGTGCAAAACGAATGAAATTGCATTGCGTATGATGTTTGACAACTGATCATCCAACATCATGGTTTTGTTTTTACAGCCTCGCTTTCAAAATGATCAAGAGATAAACACACTATATTTAAACATTCTAATTTTATACTGTTCAGGGGGTGTTTCCACCAATTTCATCTGTCCAACGTGACAAACAATTAACAAGATATCTTGACAACCTGGGTGGTATATCCCTTTAATTCAGGTACACTGTTTCAATGTGATCAGTAAGGCTTACAGGAATGTAACAAGTAAAAGTCAGGTGTCCATCACCATATTACTTCAAAATAACTGGTTTATTTTTACTATCACACATCATATCAAACTCTGCCAGAAATAATAACAGTACAATGACAGACTACACACAATACCTCTGCTCTTTCCTTGATTGCTTGTTCTACCAGCTCCCGAGCAGGAATCCAGGACTTTTTGTAATACAGAACCCTATCTAGAAACTCCGCTCCAACCATGTCGTAGGCTTTCTTAAACTGGACCTACAAATTCACCAAAACCAATTAAGTAAAATTTTGTTAGACACTATTAGGGACTAAATGTAAACCTGTATGGATATTAATTCAAGAGGAATTTAAGACATCAATCTGCAATTGAACAATCGACTCTACCAATAACAGAAGTCAGAACTGTTTCTGATATAATCATAATTATGTGTGTTATAAAAACTTCTATTCAATATATGTTACTAACAAGAGGAAAATGTTCAGAGAATCTCTACTAATTCGGTAATCTATTTACCTCCTCTTCAGCATCCTCATTCCAGTTTGGGTTGAGGTGTCGAACACGATTGCTGAGAGTTGTACTTATTTGATACCTGGCAAGTATAACAGGAAATGTTTAAGCAATGGATTAATCTACAATTTATTTTCAGGAGTCCTTTTGACCTTTTCTGTTAAAAACAATGGGTCCCACAATGTAAAATTTAAGTATTTCCTGAAATTCTTTGAGTCCCATCAAAAGTCTATGGACTTGAGATTCGCATGTACATTTATCACTGTGTAAGTCTACTTTGCATTGGTTATTTTATTTTTTGAAGTTTTACAGAAGACTGCTAGGGTTATCATTCCATTACTCCACTAGCTTGAGGTCCACAGCTAGTTTATATGTCAAAGTTGAAGAATTTTCAAACCACAATAAGAATGACGTTTCATTGCATACATTCTTAATAATCAAACTTTTCACAATTTCGTTCAATCAAGTAAATTTCCCAATTTCTCTCTCACTTTGAAAATATTTTGTTCTGCGAAATTGTTTTGACTTCTTACACTGATCTGGAAATGTTATATTGATTCAGCAATTATCTGAGAATGCTGCATTTTATAATATATCCATACCACCTTTGTAGTAAATACACCCACTTCCTAATATAATGGGTGTTTTAATATGTAGTATCGTCTATAATGACATCCGAATCATGCTGACATACATATACCATGTCATGTCAGAATGTCCTCACTTTCAAAACTATTGAGATGAGATCAGAACGACAACATGGAAGGCATCATAAAAATTTCTTCATAACAACTTGCTTTTTCCAAGTCCGCTTCACAAATCCAACTACACAGATCATCCATGTTCTACTTTATTCATCTAAAATTCAGACATGTGACATTCTGTTTTATTTACCTTGCTTCTCCATCATACTGATCAATACCGTTGTCCACAGCGTCAATCTCTTCCACAAAGTTATCGTAAACTTTGTCGTACACTATGTCTAGGACTGGATCGTCATCAGTTAACTCGAGTATTTGTTTCAGAACCTCATGTCCAAAGTGGAGATACACAAGTCCAGCACTGCTCAGTTTGGTATTCCAATGCTTTTTTGGGTTTAGGCTATTCATGGTTTCCTTAAAAGTCCTAACAAAGATTCATTATAACATACACGTATACAGCAAATTTTCTTGTATCATTACTAGACTGAATATTTTATATTGATATATATTTTGTATAACAATATTTTCAAAAACAGCTTGTTACAGTTTCACAACATACACCATGGATCTAAGTTGATTAATTGGAAATTTATAGACATTTTTTTCATACATTGCTTTAGATACAGGTTCTATGATATGTTTTCATTCACTATAACAAAAAAATAAAATAAGTCTTGCATGGTTCAAAATTTTTAAAAAAAGAATTTTAACCTTCTGATGTGCCCAGCCCCTTTTACCTAGGAGGTTAGACACAAGGCTTTCAAAAAAAAAAACCTTCAAGCAGGGATGATTGTGACCAAATTAGATGAAAACACCATCAAAACAGGAAAAGAAGTCCCATCATTTGTTAAATTCCTCAGAACAACAAAATCCTATCATTCCTGCAGAAGAAGGATTTTAGAGATTTTACTACATGTCTCATATAGGGACATGCCCCTCAGGCCCCAAGGGCCAAGAACCTGCATATGAAATTTGAGAAAGATTCATCCAGTACAAAAAAGGTACAATGCACAACTAGGGACCAAGGGGAACCTGCATATGAAATTTGAGAAAGATCCATCCAGTACTTTCCCAGAAATAGCAGTAACAAACTTCTACTTTCAAACTCCAAGATGGCTGTCTGTCGGCCATCTTGAATTCGAATCAGTCCAAAAAAGGTTCAATGCACAACTAGGGACCAAGGGGAACCTGCATATGAAATTTGAGAAAGATCCATCCAGTAATAGCGGTAACAAGAATTGTTTACGGACGGACGGCTCGACGGACAGACGGACCACGGATGCAGGGCGATTTGAATAGCCCAACATCATCAGATGGTGGGCTAACAATGGGCAACAACTCTTCCAAAAACTGTCAAATTATATTGCCCGTCAGTAAAATTAAGGGAAGTAACTCATGAATAGAACAATGGAAAGTAATACTTTCTAAGCATTTGAATCTAAATATTGTTCGGAAAACATTACTTCATGTCAGGGTGATAGAACGTATTAAGTTTCAAAGAAATTATAGTTAAAGCAGTGACTGGAGACCTCCATACAAACACAAGTTTAGGATGAACATACAGTGACAGATCTCCATACAAACACAAGTTTAGGATGAACATACAGTGAGAGATCTCCATACAAATACAAGTTTAGGATGAACATACAGTGAGAGATCTCCATACAAATACAAGTTCAGGATGAACATACAGTGACAAGAGACCTCCATACATATACAAGTTCAGGATGAACATACAGTGAGAGATCTCCATACAAATACTAGTCTAGGATGAACATACAGTGATAGATCTCCATACATATACAAGTTTAGGATGAACATACAGTGACAGATCTCCATACAAACACAAGTTTAGGATGAACATACAGTGACAGATCTCCATACAAACACAAGTTTAGGATGAACATACAGTGATAGATCTCCATACAAACACAAGTTTAGGATGAACATACAGTGATAGATCTCCATACAAACACAAGTTTAGGATGAACATACAGTGACAGATCTCCATACATATACAAGTGCAGGATGAACACACAGTGATAAGAGACCTCCATACAAACACAAGTTTAGGATGAACATACAGTGATAGATCTCCATACAAACACAAGTTTAGGATGAACATACAGTGATAGATCTCCATACAAACACAAGTTTAGGATGAACATACAGTGATAGATCTCCATACAAACACAAGTTTTTACAGACAGATGAACATACAGTGATAGATCTCCATACAAGTTTAGGATGAAATACAGTAGATCTCCATACAAACACAAGTTTAGGATGAACATACAGTGATAGACCTCCATACAAACACAGGTTTAGGATGAACATACAGTGACAGATCTCCATACAAACACAAGTAGGATGAACATACAGGATGAACATACAGTGATACAGTGATAGATCTCCATACAAACACAAGTATTAGGATGAACATACAGTGATAGATCTCCATACAAACACAAGTTTAGGATGAACATACAGTGATAGATCTCCATACAAATACAAGTTTAGGATGAACATACAGTGATAGATCTCCATACAAATACAAGTTTAGGATGAACATACAGTGATAGATCTCCATACAAACACAAGTTTAGGATGAACATACAGTGATAGATCTCCATACAAATACAAGTTTAGGATGAACATACAGTGAGAGACCTCCATACAAATACAAGTTTAGGATGAACATACAGATCTCCATACAAATACAGATCTCCATACAAATACAAGTTTAGGATGAACATACAGTGACAAGAGATCTCCATACAAATACAAGTTTAGGATGAACATACAGTGATAGATCTCCATACAAATACTTGTCTAGGATGAACATACAGTGACAGATCTCCATACATATACAAGTGCAGGATGAACATACAGTGACAAGAGACCTCCATACAAACACAGGTTTAGGATGAACATACAGTGATAGATCTCCAGATCTCCATACAAATACAAGTTTAGGATGAACACACAGTGAGACATACAAATACAAGTTTAGGATGAACATACAGTGATAGATCTCCATACAAATACAAGTTTAGGATGAACATACAGTGACAGATCTCCATACAAATACAAGTTTAGGATGAACATACAGTGATAGATCTCCATACAAATACAAGTTTAGGATGAACATACAGTGAGAGATCTCCATACAAATACAAGTTTAGGATGAACATACAGTGATAGATCTCCATACAAATACAAGTTTAGGATGAACATACAGTGACAAGAGACCTCCATACAAATACAAGTTTAGGATGAACATACAGTAACAAGAGACCTCCATACAAATACAAGTTTAGGATGAACATACAGTGACAAGAGACCTCCATACAAATACAAGTTTAGGATGAACATACAGTGATAGATCTCCATACAAATACAAGTTTAGGATGAACATACAGTGATAAGAGACCTCCATACAAATACAAGTTTAGGATGAACATACAGTGAGAGATCTCCATACAAATACAAGTTTAGGATGAACATACAGTGACAAGAGACCTCCATACAAATACAAGTTTAGGATGAACATACAGTGATAGATCTCCATACAAATACAAGTTTAGGATGAACATACAGTTTAGACCTCCATACAAATACAAGTTTAGGATGAACATACAGTGAACAAATACAAGTTTAGGATGAACATACAGTGACAAGAGACCTCCATACAAATACAAGTTTAGGATGAACATACAGTGACCTCCATACAAATACAAGTTTAGGATGAACATACAGATCTCCATACAAATACAAGTTTAGGATGAACATAAGTACACCTCCATACAAATACAAGTTTAGGATGAACATACAGTGACAAGAGACCTCCATACAAATACAAGTTTAGGATGAACATACAGTGACAAGAGACCTCCATACAAATACAAGTTTAGGATGAACATACAGTGATAGATCTCCATACAAATACAAGTTTAGGATGAACATACAGTGAGAGATCTCCATACAAATACAAGTTTAGGATGAACATACAGATCTCCATGATAGGAGAGTCTCCATACAAATACAAGTTTAGGATGAACATACAGTGATAGATCTCCATACAAATACAAGTTTAGGATGAACATACAGTGACAAGAGACCTCCATACAAATACAAGTTTAGGATGAACATACAGTGATAGATCTCCATACAAATACAAGTTTAGGATGAACATACAGTGATAGATCTCCATACAAATACAAGTTTAGGATGAACATACAGTGATAGATCTCCATACAAATACAAGTTTAGGATGAACATACAGTGATAGATCTCCATACAAATACAAGTTCAGGATGAACATACAGTGATAGATCTCCATACAAATACAAGTTTAGGATGAACATACAGTGATAGATCTCCATACAAATACAAGTTTAGGATGAACATACAGTGATAGATCTCCATACAAATACAAGTTTAGGATGAACATACAGTGATAGATCTCCATACAAATACAAGTTTAGGATGAACATACAGTGAGAGATCTCCATACAAATACAAGTTTAGGATGAACATACAGTGACAGATCTCCATACAAATACAAGTTTAGGATGAACATACAGTGATAGATCTCCATACAAATACTAGTCTAGGATGAACATACAGTGAGAGATCTCCATACAAATACAAGTTTAGGATGAACATACAGTGATAAATCTCCATAAAAACAAAAGTTTAGGATGAACATACAGTGATAGATCTCCATACAAATACAAGTTTAGGATGAACATACTGTGAGAGATCTCCATACAAATACAAGTTTAGGATGAACATACAGTGATAGATCTCCATACAAATACAGGTTTAGGATGAACATACAGTGAGAGATCTCCATACAAACACAAGTTTAGGATGAACATACAGTGACAAGAGACCTCCATACAAACACAAGTTTAGGATGAACATACAGTGATAGATCTCCATACAAATACAAGTTTAGGATGAACATACAGATGACATAACCATACCCTGTGGCATGAAAACTTTTGATGGGCATCTCTTTTGCAAAATAAAGCAAGAATTCGAAAATATTTCGTATTCCATCAGACGATGTGGACTTCCATGAAAAGAAAGCTTTTAATTTCCATCACAATCTTTTTATGTTCGTTGTTTTGATAGGGAAACTTAATTAAATGTTTACCACCAAAACGATGAAAATGATGAAATATATTACTATCAAACCCCAGATTACCTTTGGTGGTGGTCAAATCTGTTTTTCTCTGCATCAAATATTCCTCCAACATCAACAACTATATCACATGTGTCCAGTAAAGCAGGGTCACGTGTTCTTGAAATAGATATTTATCCATCAATAAATTTTCTTATAAAAGATAATGCAGACTAATATGGTAAATATCAAATCATCTCATGTCCTCATTACATTCTGTTATCATTAAGTAAATAAATGATTTATTTAACCATTAAATTATTGGAGCACTAACATTATTTTCACAGAATTAAGCAATAAATTATTACTGATGAGAAAAGTTTAGTGTCATTCAATTTTTTTCATGAACATGTTTTCTTTGTTCTACATTCAGTTATTGTATATTCATGTTGCTGTATATAAAGGAAGAAGTTCTAAATCTTGTGGTCTTTGAACTTTGTGAGTTTATATCTCACCCTGTGATCTTAACTGAGGATCTTTGTATTAAGAGCATTGACCCATATTGCAATCATTGTACTATAAAATTTGTTTCAAATGTAATCTATGTACCCTGGCAGAGGGTCGTCTCACCTTGTAATCTGTGCATCTTTGTACTTTGGGAGTTGTCTTAAGAGAAAGCATGCTAAAACCTCATCACAATGGAAAGATCCGTTATGTGTTCCAATCTTCATGTCTGATTTAGCTTTCTTTGCTGGAGGACTGCTAGTAGACATTGGCTTTGCAGCAGTAATGAGTGGGGACACAAACTGTAATGCCTTGGCTGCAACAAAACACTGCTGTTAGGGAAACAAAAATAGATCAATCACACTACAAAGACCTTTGATTTTAATGTCGTTTATAATTCAATTCATCTACACGATTCATTCATGTACAAGACAATTTGCACCCCATTTTATTGCCTTACCTATACTTGTATCCCTAACCCAACCAAACATGAAGAGTTGGTGAAAAACAGAAGTAAAATGGTCCTATTCCTTTAATTCTATACCGATAAAACTAAATCTCTAAATCACTGAAGACTTACTTTTATCGTCCTCAGTTCCTTGATTAATTCATAGTCCATTACCATAACCCCCATTTAATAAATTTACTTATCTATTTTCCTATGTCTACATCAGATAGACAAGGGTGGACTTATTCAATGATTAGGCATGCATATGGACTTAATGTCGGATAAATATAGTAAAATTTCCATTGGTAGAAGAAAAGGATCAGTGTTGATCAATAAGTCAATGCATTTCACAAATTATTTGTGGATATTTGTAAGTAATACTTAACCATTCACAATAATAGACAATAGCTGAAAGCACTGGGGTTTTTTTAACATGAAGATTTTCGTAAAATTATTTGTTGCTACCCATAAATGAATTGTCGTAACCATCAATATTTAACCAGAGACATATATAAGATATTGTGTTATATATGTCTCTGATTTAACCCAATTTCTTGTTTATCTATTGCAAGTACCTAGAAATATGACATTTTTACAATTGTGCTCGCCAAAAGCAGTATATCTGTCTACTATCTGTTGTTCTACATTCTACTGCAGTACAATAGGTAATTTTATAGAGGGATATTTTCTTTTATGATCGTAATAATTGCTCTACAGAGCTAATGTTTTAATGTTCAAAAACACGACTTCAAATAAAAATTCTTGTATCTAGTTCAACTGGAAAAGCTCTGTTGCAATTAAAATCAGCATAAAAAACGTCAAGTCCAATATTTGATTGTAAAATAGAATTATGAAGTGAACAGCAAGCCCTGGATAATCTCCGAACTCTAAAATAAACCAAAACCTACATCAAAATGAAAGTATACCTATCGTTTTCCAGCCACGCGCCAAACAAAGCATTCTAGGAACGCAGATCAAAGTCGCAGTCGATTCGTCCCCTCAATCTGTTTGATACAGGTAACAATATTTTTCTGTTTCATGTTCATCATGTGGACGATTTTACAGTGTATTTTCATTTTTTGAATGAGTATGGTTTTATTGAATTATAGAATCCAAAGTTCCTGTGTTAATAAATGACTACTTAGTCATATGACGATGATATGATACTGGACGAAACGTCTCATCACCAACTGCAACCTAACGGCGTTATCTAAACGCTTTACACGCACGGGTTATGTGCAGAATCGACACCGGCATGGTTTATTTTTCAACTTAACTTATATATTAATTGATATTAAAATACATTCTGTGTATTGTGTTACTTATCTAGAAAAATACAAATTGAGAGCCATCAGCTACAATGATATGTTGGTGTCGTTTAAACAGCAATATATCACCGTATTGCCCTGGTCTCGGGATCGTGGACTCTACTTTCACGGAGACCTACTGTAGTATTTCTTCTTTTGTTTTTGTTTCTTTTTAAAAATTAATTTTCATTATCATTTCAAGAAGTGTCTGTATCTAATTTGGTGATGTGAAATAAATAAATTTTAATTTCTCTGACAAGTTATGGTACTCCTCGCCTTTTCATATAATGCGAGTTTACATGTTCATATGAATGAATGGGGTCGAATGGTGATGGAAAATTCCACAGAACAAACCCTTACCAAACCAAAAGGAAGGGATCCTATAATATACGCGTTTCGATGTAGTTTTTTAAATATATTTTTTGAAAGTCCGTCAAAATATACAATATACTTAATAATATTGCTTATCTAATCCTTCCCCCTGGACCGACGTTATCACGTCTGCTCTCTTTCGAAAAACCGCAGAAGGATCTTTATCGCATTATCGTGCGAGATGGCCATTCCCATACGGGTCACCATTTTAAGTTCCGTCCGACGGACTGTGTGCTAGTGGTAAGTAAGATGCTAGTGCCGATAGAATGTTGTTTAGGTACAAATAGACATAAAAAAACATCACCCCACCCAATGAAAAGGGAGGTCTCCATGAAAGCAGGGTCCACGATCCCGAGACCTGGGCAATGCGTGATCGTTTCCTGATAATGTTACGTAATTAGCAGCATTATCCTGTGCGGCACATTGCGTTATGTGAAAAGAACACAATATATTTTGTGGCCGTTTACGATTAATATGAAACTGTAATATTTTAACTATGGTCATTAATCACCACAATTATTACACTAAGAACAATTTAATTCCAAAATTCTACATATAAACCACCGGGTTCAGCCCGATCCTGTAAATCGTCTTTCGGTCTTGCACGACCAAAACAGATATAAATGTTTTAGATAATACGTCTTTATTTTCCCTTAACAACTGTTCATGATTTTTAACATATGATGGTATTACTGCAAAAGAAATTTATTAAAATAATTAAAACGGCACTATTCTACACCGATTCTGCCCGATCCCGCCCGATTGCACCCGATCCTGTCAATCGTCTAACCGGTTACAGACTGCGGTTTGTGGGCATACAAATTTTAGCACAGCAGAAGTGAACTTTGAAAATTTGGTGACCACAAAGATATTTTACTTTAATAATTTCACCAATTCCTTTATATCACTGTAGCTATCTGCTATTGTATTTTTGTTGTTATGTTTTTTGATCAGTATTTTTTCCTCATTTTATGGTTTACTTTCGTTTTCGCTAGAAAGTGCGTAACAAGCCACCATGGCTGCCCGAAAAACATACCATATTTTTTTTCTCCAGTTCCACTGGTGGCATTGAGCCAAAACTGATGGGCATGTTAAGGAAAGGTAGCCAACAAATTGTTATTTTTTTTTACCTTGTCAAAACTTTGATGTGGCAGCCAAGGAAGCCATTTTGTAACATGTTTGAGCAATCATGGTTTTCTTGTGCAACACCTATTTCAAACTTCTCAGGTTTCATCATTTGGATTGAGCTCCAACTTTACTGTCAAAAAATAGGTAACACTTGTTGTAATTTCCTACTCCTGCCCGAAACCAACATCTGCATGATGGAAAAAAGCTTAGTAAGATTTCATTCAAAGTAGCAAAAATAACCCTCCCTGCTGAAAGATTTTGTAGTCAGATGACTGTTAAGGCCCGTTGACCTCCTGTTTAGATATATATTGGTCTGGAGTCTATGAACAACATTTGTCCATCGACCCCAGACTGAAAATTAAGTTCAGAGGAATGTCCTTCAGAAGACTAAAAGTGATGTGAATATTAATTAAAATCTTAATTTAATATTTAACAGGTAACACACACTAGTTCATTGACCCCAGATGGATAAAAAAAAGTCGATAGAGTGATACATCAGCTCCAGACCAATATAAAAAGTTGATAGAATGTAAGGATAATTCAGACCACTACAAGAAGTGTGAATATTAATAAAATATAATGAATTTAATATTTTGGTGTTTAACAGGTAAGACACGCTCATTCAATGACTCCAGAAAGACAATAGAGTTGTTCATGGTCTCCACACCAATTTGAAAGTCAATAGAAAATGGTATAACATTACAATATTGTATTCTGTGTGATATCCACCCTCCAACTATTTGTCATTAACTGCTTCATTCTCAGAAGAAATCTTGGTTGAGCTTTGAAGTTACTTAACAAACTTTGGAATTGAGAGGATGATTGGTTGATATGTAAGTTTTTTTTATCTAGAATACGTTATGGTAATGCTCATAATAGGAACTTCTTTATGTAGTTCATTCATCACATTTATTTTTTTCCTTTCTTATTTAGGTTCACTTCCACAGACCTGATTTCTTGTCAAGTCAAAGGGTATTTATAGTGCAGATTACCGGTGTCATACCCTGGTAGTGAGCTGTAAACTTGATGGTGAATCAGTATGGAAGAGCAAATGGTCTCTGATGAAGCGACAATGAGAATACATCACAAAAACCTAGAATGTTCCATCTGCCTGGAATATTTCCGGCGACCCCGCTCATTGCCTTGTCTGCATACATTTTGTGAGGACTGCCTTAGTTTTTACATCATTCAAAACAACTCTTCCACAACAGGCTTTGATTGTCCTGTATGCAGGAAGGAAATAACATCATTGGATCCATCTATAGACAGAAAACTATGGGCAAAAGCCTTTCCTCTAAACAGTCTCTTAGATGAAATGAGCCAAAAATCCAGCCAAGGTCAACAGAACAAGATCAAAGTGAGAAGGCCATCCTTTTGCAACCCATGTTGCAAGAAAGGATCCAAGATTGCAGCTGTTTATTGGTGTAATGTGATGAAGAGTGCTTTTTGCAAGGACTGCAAAATTAACCATCATGACTTGATACATGAGGGGTGTGGCTTGACAATAACAGATAAGGATTCGCCAAAAGAAACACCATTTGAAACCTGCAAAAAACATGATCTAATTATGGATTTTTTTTGTGAGGACCACAAGTCTCTTTACTGCTCCAAATGTGTAGTTCTAATGCACAGACATTGCATTTCAGTCAAACCAGCCAAGGACTACAGCCATGCTCTCAGAGCAGGTCCTAACCTCAAAAACATGAAGTATTCCATTCAAAAGGCCTTTAAGGCTATGAACTTTATTGTTGATGGTTCAAATCAAATGATGCAGGTCCTTGATCTTAAGAAACAAACTGCCCTAGGGGAGATACGTAGTCTTCGACACGATATAGATGGTCATTTGAATAACCTTCAAACAATGATGGAACAAGAGCTTACTCAGGTGCATCAGGAGGAACACAGCAAATTACAGGAAGGCTTGAAGTTGCACACCTCCATCCTGAATCGTATAACCCACCTTAACGATGCACTCAAGTCCAAAGAAATGATGGAGGATGACTTAAAAACAATATCAGTTTATGAAAAGTGTAGGGTTGCTGTAGAGCAGTGCCATCTGATGGTTGATAGGGCCAGAGGTGAATGGCAGAGAAGGACTGTGGAACACAAGGTAGACTTTGATCGCAATAATTTGCAAAAGCATTTTTCTTTGGGAAAGGTCACAACATCCGCTTTTACAAAAAACCTGCCCATTTTTGACAATTTAGAAGTCCCGTTTTCACAACGAAGAGTTGTAGATGAGTCAAATTTTAAAATCCAATGTACGGGGGAAATTGACTGCTATGCTACTGGAGTTTTGTTTATGTCTGACAGTCGTATTATTGTAGCTGACCATAACAACAAGAGCTTAAAGATGTTCACTGAAGATGGAACATATATACATCACATTTTGCTACATCATGCTCCGTGGGGGATATGTCATCATAGTAAGAGCCAAATTGCCATTTCTATGACAGGTTGCAATTTCATTGCAGTAGTGAGAGTTGGTGCCAACAGTTTGAAACTACTGTATGAGCATGAGATAGACAATTTGGAGAAAACTAGTAGTGTTTATGGTATTTCACACCCAAAGGATACTTTCTACCTAATCTCAGATTTTCCGACTTATGGAAGAAGTCCAAATAAAAATGTGCTTGTTTTTCATTGCAAATATTCCTTGTACTGTGCCAAACGAAGGTGTGCTTCTCCTCTGCTGCAGCCCGAAAGCTCTTCCCTATACATGGTATACGACCATCAGAGAAAAGACATTGTCTTTAGTTCAACAAGCAAGAATGGATGTAATGCAGCTGTGTGCCGATTCTCTAAACAGAAACAAGTACAGAGCATAGCTATGGCAGACATCTTGAAAGGAACACATGGTGTTGACATTGACAAAGAAGGAAATGTTTATGCTTGTGGTAATGCCTCTCATAACATTGTTCAGATATCACCAACTGGTGACGGGCTCCGTGAATTGCTATCAGTTGAAGATGGTGTACGACACCCATTAGATATCTCAATGCATGGTAACAGGTTTGCTGTGACCTTTGATTCATGGGACAGAAGAAATCACATCTATATCTATCATTTAGATATTTGACATTTTATCGAGGAAACAAAGATTGCCAGCATACCATATGTATCGTTATAGAGACCGCTGTATTTACAGTCTTATGTAGACATACATGTACTACGCATGAAAGAATGCATTGAATCACATTTGAAATGCCAGTTCTATCCCTGATATAGTTTGATTCACAATTTATATGTTTTATTGTGGGTGAGTAAAACTCGCATTGCTCAACATCACAAATACACAATAAACAAGGTTTATTACAATATATATACTCATATATCTATATAATGAACACACTGTATTTATATATCATTACACAAAGGAAATCCGCCTTTTTGATAAAACAGTTATATGACCTGTCTTTTAAAATACACACATTACTATTTTACATGTTTTAAACAACTCTATTTTTTGTTTTAACAAAAATAGTTTTATGACAAAATACCTTTGCACACAAAATCAAATCATATCAAACCAGACTGTTATTTACATCTACACAGTACAGTCTCTAAAAGTAAGGACTGAAACACTCAAGTCTCTTAACAGAGTCAATCCAGCAATGTCTAAAACAGGAACACATAGGATTAAATGATCATGTTCACAGATGTATCATACACGAAGACTTCCTGTAAATGATGGCTGCTGCAGTCAATATACAACAAAATAAAAAAATCTGCCCACAACAGACAATCTACAGTCAGCCACACCCATCTAGGGAAATGATTTCCTACAAAGGACATCCGTCACATCTATAGTCCAAGACAGCTATTAAGCAGCTACCAACACAGGATAGCTTGTACAAACAGTAATAGCTGTTTACACAGACAGCATACAACAGTTGACTTGCCCAAGCAGAACCAGAATCAAATGATAGTTTATTTTGCTTCCTGAAGGAAGAGCTTATAGTCACAGCTTTGTCTGTCCGTCTGCTCATCCATCTGTCCTAGTTTGTCTGGAGCATAACACCAAAACTATCAGAGGTATCAACTTGAAACTTCATAGGTAGATAGATCTTGATGAGGAGAAGTGCAGTGCACAAGAACCATAACTCTCCTTGCATTATTTAGGAATTATTGCCCTTTGTTACTTTTTATTCTTAAATTTTGTCCCATTCGGTGGAAGCATAACCTGTCTCTGACAGCCTTGTATATGTGAGCCTTAATTAACAGTAAAAAGTTCAATTTATATGTTATCCTTGATTCACAATTTATATGTGATCATTGATTCACAATTTATATGGGATCCTTGATTCACAATTTATATGTGATCCTTGATTCACAATTTATATGATCATTGATTCACAATTCATATGTGATCCTTGATTCACTCACACTTTAATTGTATTCACACTTTAATTGTAATCCTTGATTCACACTTTAATTGTAATCCTTGATTCACACTTTAATTGTAATCCTTGATTCACACTTTAATTGTAATCCTTGATTCACACTTTAATTGTAATCCTTGATTCACACTTTAATTGTAATCCTTGATTCACACTTTAATTGTAACCCTTGATTCACATTTCAATTGTAACCCTTGATTCACATTTTAATTGTAATCCTTGATTCACATTTTAATTGTAATCCTTGATTCATATTTCAATTGTAACCCTTGATTCACATTTCAGTTGTAACCCTTGATTCACATTTTAGTTGTAACCCTTGATTCACATTTCAATTGTAACCCTTGATTCACATTTCAATTGTAACCCTTGATTCACATTTTAATTGTAATCCTTGATTCACATTTTAATTGTAATCCTTGATTCACATTTTAATTGTTACCCTTGATTCACATTTTAATTGTAATCCTTGATTCACATTTTAATTGTAACCCTTGATTCACATTTCAATTGTAACCCTTGATTCACATTTTAATTGTAATCCTTGATTCACATTTTATATGTGATTCTTGATTCACACGTTAATTGTTATCCTTGAGTCACATTCTCATTTCTCAATCTGTATATTTACATCTTCATTGTAGTTTTGATTCACATTTTCTTTGTAATCTTCATTCACTTTTCTTTTGTAATCATTGGTTTACACATCTTGATATGTTCACTCAAATTATTGAGTATGCATAATTTATCTTAAGTGTGTACTGGGTACCTTAAGTGTGAAGTATACTTTAATTGTGTACAGTGTATTTTCATTGGGTACTGTGTACTTTTATTTGGAACAGTGTTTCTTTGGTGTGTACAGTGTGCGGTAATTGTGTGCAGAATACTATTATTGGGTACAGTGTATTTTTAAAGGGTACAGAATACTTTTATTGGGTGCAGTGTATTTTTATCGGGTACAGTGTTACTTACATGTACGATGTACCTGTTGTGTTTTTGGATTACTATTCATAGTGTACTTGTAGTCTAGGCATACGTACAGGTAGTGCCGTTAGAGTTATCTCCCTTGTGGGGAAATCCCCAGTTTAGTGTTTATAGAGTAAAATGGTGCGGAATGTTGCAGCACAAAACAATAAGGCTAGGGTCCCCCACAGAGTAAGTGTATTTCCCGTCCGAAATATGAACAAAACATTTTATGTTATGTGATTTCGCTGTATGAATGAATCATAAAGACTTGTAGGTATCACTGGTAATTCTACCTTATGCATAAACCACACCTTTGTTGTGACTATATATGCATGGTACAGTCCGTGCGAGATTGAAATCCATGCATGATTGCTAGTCATTTGTAGTCAGTTTTATTAGCTGTTCCTAGTTATATTTTTGTAGTCAGTTATAAGCTGTTGCTAATCATCCGTATTCAATATTATTAGCTGTCTCTAGTTATCTTTGTAGTCAGAATTATAAGCTGTTACTAGTCATTTGTGTCGGTATATTATTAGGACATGTATAATACGGTATAACTAATCTGAACCAGCCCGTCCAATTACTGTATTAGGAATTATATTTTTACTTGGTCTAGCTATTTCCTGCTGTGGTTATATCAAGACTTTGTATTAAAAAAAACCACCCATGTAATCTGATCATATTAGTTGGGTCACTTGGGCAGTTAGTTCGGTCTGTTAACACTATACATGTAATATGTAAACACAATCAGATTAAGGACATGTTACATCACTTTGTATCAGTTTAATTAGTAACTAGGTCAATATATCTAGGTCTAGTCTAGCATTATAGACTTCAATATGATACTAGTGTAGTATTTATCCATGTCATCCTGGTTAGGCCCTATAATTTGTTATGTAAATTACTGTACATGTAATATGTAAACACAATCAGATTAAGGACATGTTACATCACTTTGTATCAGTTTAATTAGTAACTAGGTCAATATATCTAGGTCTAGTCTAGCATTATAGACTTCAATATGATACTAGTGTAGTATTTATCCATGTCATCCTGGTTAGGCCCTATAATTTGTTATGTAAATTACTGTTTGATAGGCAAATTGTGTAACAAATGTTATGTTAATTTGCAATTCTTAACCTCTCACCAATGGTTTGTAATGGTTGAAGAATAAACTCATAAAAAGGCAACAATGCTTCGACTCTACAGTACCTTAAGTTTGTACGGAGTACCTTTAGTGTGTAGTGTACCTTAAGTGTGTCCATGCTTTACCTTTAGTATGTACAGTGAACTTTACATTGTACACTCTGTACCTTAAGTGTGTACAGTGTACTTTACATTGTACACTCTGTACCTTAGGAATGTACATTGTACTTTATATTGTATACTCTATACCTTAAGTGTGTACAGTGTACTGAACCTTAAGTGTGTACAGTGTACTTTACATTGTACACTCTGTACCTTAAGTGTGTACAGTGTACTTTATATTGTACACATTGTACCTTATGTGTGTACAGTATACTTTACATTGTACACTCTGTACCTTAAGTGTGTACAGTGTACTTTATATTGTACACTCTGTACCTTAAGTATGTACAGTATACTTTACATTGTACACTCTGTACCTTAAGTGTGTACAGTATACTTTACATTGTACACTCTGTACCTTAAGTATGTACAGTATACTTTACATTGTACACTCTGTACCTTAAGTATGTACAGTATACTTTACATTGTACACTCTGTACCTTAAGTGTGTACAGTATACTTTACATTGTACACTCTGTACCTTAAGTATGTACAGTATACTTTAAGTGTGTATACTCTATACCTTCAGTATGTAAAGCATGTACCTTTATTCTGTACATTGTCCTTGGGACCAAGTGAGTAAATAAAAACACACAGTGATAACAAACAGGTGTTCATTGGATAACAAATTCTAATTTATTTTTCTAATTCCAAAAGGAATACAATTTTAAATTTTCATATGAACAACTAATACGATTCAGACAATATCTGATGTAGCTGTCCATTAATCCGACACAAACCATACAGATATAAAATATATTTTAAAGAAAATCATTGCCTAAACTGATTTCTGTGACACTATACTAGGATCAAACATTTTGCAATTAGTCTTTTGTTTTCCACTGTCAACTCCACATAACCGCAAAACAGAATTTTAAAAGAGATGGAAATATGAAAAAGAAACAGGGAAAAAACAAAATAATGAAATTTGAAAGTGACATTTTATGTGAGACAAATGACTTTAGTGAGAAAGAATAAAACATTTATTACAACAATGTGAGTTCAATGGCACAAAAACTACACACCACTGATGTGTCTGTGTGAAATCACCTCTTAGCCAGACCCTTATCATAATTGTCATATTGTATTAAGCCCTGGTGAACAAACTCAAAATCTACTCAGCACTGATGTGACCCTGTTAAACCACCTCATAGCCTAGCCTTTATCATACTCAGTATCTATCATGTAATAAGCCTAAGTGGCCTGACACAAAATATCTTTACTTAAAATCTACTCACCACTGATGTGACCCTGTTAAACCATCTCATAACTAGTCCATTATTCCCTGTATTTATCATGTGATAAGCCCAAGTGAACCAACACAAAAACTCGGACTCAATATATACCCAGTACCAATGTGTCTCTGTAAAACCACTTCGTCCTGATGCGTCTCTGTAAAACCACCTCGTCCTGATGTGTCTCTGTAAAACCACCTCACTTCAGACTATCTACTGTCTGTATTTCTAATAAACAGCAGCACCTTTCTGTGACGTATTACTGAGAATGGGTTTATTTACAGCTTAATACTATAATCAATAAGGTTTCCTGTGAATGTAATGATAACCATACCTCATTCCTAGTAATGCTATATCTACATTTGTACATTGACATGGTGGGTTTTCTAAATTTATCATAAAAGTTGTGAAAAGATGCTGAAATATTTACACAAATTTTTTGTTTAACAATTGTAGAAATTCTACATTACTGAAAAATTCAAAACTTCAGACGACAAGACATATCCCATGATACTACCCAAATTGATGTTAAATTACCATCAGTAATAAGATCTATTTATATAAATGCCAAAATTTTACCAGTAGCTAGTCTGAATTTTCAATGTTACACATGCTTTCAAAATATTTTGTATTAGTATATAAGTAATGTATATTCAAAGAAGCATATCAATTTTTAAACATACATATATAAATAAACAAACAAAACACCAGCAATGAATCTTTAAATGTGTTATCATGTATAAACAGAAATAATTCTATAGTAATCTAAAGAAAAATATAAATATACAGTACAAGGCACAGTGGCCTGTAACAACGTTTCTGGAGGGATCCCAGAAACAATGTTGGAGGTCACTGTGATACAAGGTTGTAACAATGTTTCTTGAGTAATCCAAGAAACAATGTTGCAGGCCCCTGTGATACAAGGTTGAAACAATGTTTCTGGAGGGATCCCAGAAACAATGTTGGAGGTCACTGTGATACAAGGTTGTAACAATGTTTCTTGAGTAATCCCAGAAACAATGTTGCAGGCCCCTGTGATACAAGGTTGTAACAATGTTTCTGGAGGGATCCCAGAAACAATGTTGCAGGCCCCTGTGATACAAGGTTGTAACAATGTTTCTGGAGGGATCCCAGAAACAATGTTGCAGGCCCCTGGGGTACAAGGTTGTAAGAAAGTTTCTGGAGGGAGCTCAGAAACAATGTTGCAGGCCCCTTAGATACAAGGTTGAAACAATGTTTGTGGATGAATCCAAGAAACAATGTTGCAGGGTCCCTGTGATACAGGGTTGAAACAATGTTTCTGGAGGGATCCCAGAATCAATGTTGAGGTCCCTGTGATACAAGGTTGTAACAATGTTTCTTGAGTAATCCAGGAAACAATGTTGCAGGCCCCTGTGATACAAGGTTGAAACAATGTTTCTGGAGGGATCCCAGAAACAATGTTGGAGGTCACTGTGATACAAGGTTGTAACAATGTTTCTTGAGTAATCCCAGAAACAATGTTGCAGGCCCCTGTGATACAAGGTTGTAACAATGTTTCTGGAGGGATCCCAGAAACAATGTTGCAGGCCCCTGTGATACAAGGTTGTAACAATGTTTCTGGAGGGATCCCAGAAACAATGTTGCAGGCCCCTGGGGTACAAGGTTGTAACAATGTTGCAGGCCCCTGGGGTACAAGGTTGTAACAATGTTGCAGGCCCCTGGGGTACAAGGTACTAAATCAGCAGTATCACTATACATTGTATTTGTTCGTTACTCTATGTAATATTGGTACAAACAGAAATTATAAAAAATTTGCAAAATATCACATTTTTTGTATAATTGATAGCAGTAATTTTTGGTTACTAGTCATTTCAGGTGTATTAAGGCTGAATGCTGGCAATTATAGCAAAATATCATTCTTAAATCAAAATTTCTGGCAAAATTTCATCAATATATGTAGAGAAAGATTAAATAAATCTAGGCATATGTACAGTATACAAGTTTGTTAAGACACTCGAACTCGAACAGCCTCCACCACCAATGCTGCTTCAACTCTAGATCTTAACTTCCAAAGCTACCTTGGATGTCTTAACTTCCAAAGCTACCTTGGATGTCTTAACTTCCAAAGCTACCTGGATGTCTTAACTTCCAAAGCTACCTGGATGTCTTAACTTCCAAAGCTACCTTGCATCTCAGCTTCCACCACCAAAGCTGCCTCAAATCTAGGTCTCAACTTCCAAAGCTGCCTCAAATCTAGGTCTCAACTTCCAAAGCCTCCTCAACTCTAGGTCTCAACTTCCAAAGCCTCCTCAAATCTAGGTCTTAACTTCCATGGCTTAAAGTATCAACTTCCAAAGCTACCTCAGCTTTAAGTCTCAACTTCCAAAGCTACCTCAGCTTTAAGTCTCAACTTCCAAAGCTACCTCAGCTTTAAGTCTCAACTTCCAAAGCTTCTCAGTTCTCAGCCTCCACCACCAAAGCTATCTAAGCTCTCAAGCAATAGATACTGGGCAGTTTCATGAACTTAAAGGTTTGTCTCTGACTACAAAACCCATGACAGCTGAGCCAACAGATATACACTAGGTACACAGTTACAGATGCCATTCCAGAATATTAGGTCAGGTAACAATAAAGCCATATAACATAGACTTTAACTGGACCAGCATACCAAGTAAAAAAATATACATTTGACAACTCTATAGATAAAATGTGAACAGGATTGTAGATTCAATCACAGCCCTGCATCTGTATGTGTGTCACTAATGCTGGTGGCACTTGTTCTCCATCTCAAAGTTACGTTGCTTAAAAATTTGGTAAATGAATGTCGGGTGATTTGAAATATTTTGACACACATTTGTACACTTCAGTATATCCTGAAAATCAGACAAGTCACCAAAAATCAGCTGAAGAACCAACGACCAGCAGGTAGTTATCAGATAAACCTTCAAGCATCCAGGATCTCGGTGTGGACAAAAATCAATGCCTGCGGCAACTGGTCTCCAGCCTTGTTGAACAGTGGGAAATGGCGATACCCTGAAAATAAAATGATTCAACTGAAGTATAATTGCATGGATGATGATGCGGGTGTGATAAGGTGATGACAGCATAATAATGGTCAGTAATAACAAAGCGAGTGGCAGCTGGTGTAAATATACCTCCCACCTCAATCTTGTACACAAACATTTTTTTTACAATGTGGTCAAGGGTAGCCTTTATCCTTGACCAATGACTACCAAAACCTAATCAGGTGTAGACCTTGGTATTGTGATGCTATGGTGAGATTCTGAATTAAATCTGTTAATGGGCTCATAACATGTCTCGTACACATACTTGTCATCATCGATACACACAGACAGTGATCATTATACACCTTTTCTTACCTAAGATGGGGTTATAAATGACTTACTAATGATGACATGTTTAAAATATAACATATATCACATGTAAAAATAAATTGGATAAGGTAGCATACAACCTTAACTGATATTTACCTTGTTGTAAACATGAGAGTGAAATGACATAATAGCCGATGAAGTCGTCCACATATCTGTCACTGTCATATACAACAAATCGTAACAACACCAGTTCAGGAAAGTTCAATGTGAAGCTCACTGTTTCATTCCACTGTGGGTTGAATCCTACAATACATACATTGTGTAAAGGTTTGATAAGATGATGGTTTGGTGTTGTCGATTAATGAATTCTAAAGTATTTTATCACAGCAATTCTCTTACATCAGGTAAAAGGTGGAAATCATACTGCTAAAACTTTCACTTTATAGACTAAAATCTCCACATTTATCAGACATACATAAACTCATTTGTATAGAGCTTCAAAATAATTATGAAAATGTTTGGAAACTTATTTCTCTTTCTTAACTTACCACATATCAACAGGTAAACGAATAATCAACGCCCTCTGTTTGTATGTCACACTTTCATATAACACATTGTAAAACATAGTTTTAAACATAATACACAAATTCACCTTAATTTACTTTGTAAGAATATTGCAATTCTGAAGTCAAATGCAATTTATATGTTAATATACTTGAAAATTTGTTATAACAACTGGGCCAAGTATTTCAAAATGAATAATTTTTTATGAGTAAAAATAAGGATATGGTTACTTCACTTCCTGGTTGTCAACCTACCATTATTTTGTATAACACTTGTCTTCACTTCCTGGTTGTCAACCTACCATTATTTTGTATAACACTTGTCTTCACTTCCTGGTTGTCAACCTACCATTATTCTGTATAACACTTGTCTTCACTTGCTGGTTGTCAGACTTAGCTCCGTGTACTTCGATCTTGATGAACGGATCAATGACCTCTCCTTTCTTTGAATCTTTTGGCTTAGGAATCTGATAGCCACTTATTATCTGTAACCAAAATCAAGGTTGGTGAACTATTCTCAGATTCAAAGACAAGGAAGTGATAATTTCAAGGTCAAGTCTTTAATGGTTTACAGGGATTTCATTACTCTTTTGTTTTTCTTCAACAGATCCTCTTTTCACATATTACAAAAATTGGCATATTTTCCGCATGGTTTTCATTCAATGTTTCATATACCAAATTTCCTGTTCATAAATATTTTACTTATGGAGTACTAGTTGATTTCTTAATGTTTTTAATATGGTACAAATTTAACTCATATTGAATATGTGCGAAGAGAAACTTGTCATCCAGAAAACTAACAGAAAATAGTTTGAAAATGGATTCCAGTTTTTGGATGTGCCAAATGTACGGTACACGTTAAACTTGTCACGATTTGTTGACATTTCACAGCTGTAAGCAGGTGTAATATCTGAGTTATCTCCCTTCACTTATATATCATGAACCTTATCCTTCAGGATATATTTGTTTACTGATTTAGCTACAGTTTCTACAACCTGTAAACACATTATACATCTTTGTTTTCTTTCTTATTTTGGATGTAGAAAATGTCTACAATTTTTATAAAGAGTTAAACTGAAATGTTTATGGTGAAATTACAACAAGTGCTTGTTTTAAATTTACCTTCATTTTCAGCTTCTTCTTCCTGGTAGGTTTTGCTACCTGGGAAGCAAACTTCTCTTCTGTAAGTAAATCAAATTAAATTTGTGTATGTGCTGTCTGTATCTACTCAGATTTATATATAGTTACAACAGATTTTCTCTCTTAACATTGATATCTGAAGTTATATCATTCCTTTTGATTAATTTGGTTAGATTATAGTGTTGGTGTGAAGTAGTCTCCATTAATTAATTCTGATTTTAACTCTAATATCACAATGTGTTCTTGCCAACTCTGCAAATTGAAAATGGGATAATGTACGAGGTATACAACATATATCTATAAAGCTGTCAGAAGAGAAGTGAAATATTGCTCATCTAAGGAGATTTACTTGGTGATGTATAAATGTTACAGAATCTGATAGAGACACTCCTGAAATCAGGTAAGCTTGACAGGTGGTGTACCTGATAGCTGGAAATCTGGTTTAAGTACGTATCCTGAACCTCCATTGTCAAGGAACTTTCCGTGTAATAGCTGCATGGGTTCTCCACCAGTCGTCTGGAAGTTGAGTGCAACTGTAGAAGAAGTAAATTTCACTTTAAGACTATTTAAAAAATCATCATGTCAATCACATTCACAGCATTTATTGACTTCTAAACACCATTACACCGTCCTATTGACCAAGGTCAAATATAATAAATGTAAAAGGACAAGTTAAGACTCAAAATGAAACAGATGATCCTGCTTTTGTGAATATACTTGTACTGGTGGGGGATTAATTTTCAAGAACCAATGCATCCTTGCAAAAAGTTGATTTCAGTCACCAAAATAAAGTATTTTCACAATCGTTAAACACTAGCCTAAATTCATATGGTTCCTTACTCAGACGTTAGACATGTGAATCTCTGTTCATTAAAATGTCCAAATGTCTGGTGTCCAGAGAAACTCTGACCATCAAATTATTTAAAGTGAAGATGAAATGATACCTACCCACTTGACAGCCAGCTGTCCACATGGGGACAGGATTATAGTTACTGGAGTCGGTTCGGGAGCCAGAGGGGTAGGTTCGTACCAACATATGATGGGAAAGTCGGTTGACAGCTTTTATTTCATTATTGATCATTTTCAGCACTTTGCTCTCCCCCAGTGACACGAATATACCATCTGTAAGGGACAGAAATAGAATGATGACAACAGTTACCTGGTAATGTGACTTTGCCGAGTATATGTGACGAGGTACAGAGAAATCCATTAAGATATCTAATATGGTATGCTGATCTTCTGTAACATCTAGAAAATCTAAACATTGCCAGTCACACCTAATGAGAATAGTTTTTAATACAAGGTTCCATTTCTGAATTTATTGATATTTACATTTTTATGTGAAAGATCCCAATGTAAAATTGTATAACTGTCACAATTTTTTCCTACTTTTACAGCACATGAAGTTTCAAATATATCTTGTATAGCAATATTTGGCAAGCATTAATATCTTTAAAATCTAACGTCTACTACATTTCAAAAGGGAAATTTCCAAATGCTGATTTATATTTGAACTCCTTCAGTAACTTGAGGGGGGGTGGCTATGATAGGGTTAACTTACTTGATGAGATGGCCTCGTCTATTGACTTGAAGCTGATGGCCTTCATGCCCACGGCATCAGAGAACTGTTTGGAGAGCTTGTGTTTGTTTTTGCTTTTGCTTTTGACCTCTTCCTGACTCTCAGCAGCCTCATCCTCTTCATCACTCACTTCTGCTTCATCTGAGCTCTGACTCCATGGCAACTTCTTACCCTGTATTATGTACACGTATTGATATAACAGGAGGGCAATTTGAAGTTTTACTTCTGACAACTAATTATAACCTGTATTGTACATGTATTGATATAACAGGAGGTCAATTTGAAGTTTTACTTCTGACAACTAATTATAACCTGTATTGTACATGTATTGATATAACAGGAGGTCAATTTGAAGTTTTACTTCTGACAACTAATTATAACCTGTATTGTACATGTATTGATATAACAGGAGGTCAATTTGAAGTTTTACTTCTGACAACTAATTATAACCTGTATTGTACACGTATTGATATAATAGGAGGTCAATTTGAAGTTTTACTGACAACTAATTATAACCTGTATTGTACATGTATTGATATAACAGGAGGTCAATTTGAAGTTTTACTTCTGACAACTAATTATAACCTGTATTGTACACGTATTGATATAACAGGAGGTCAATTTGAAGTTTTACTTCTGACAACTAATTATAACCTGTATTGTACACGTATTGATATAACAGGAGGTCAATTTGAAGTTTTACTTCTGACAACTAATTATAACCTGTATTGTACATGTATTGATATAAGGTGTTAATTTTATATATTATAACCTGTATTTCACGTATTGATATAAAGGAGGTCAATGGACAGTTTTATCTGACAACTAATTATAACCTGTATTGTACACGTATTGATATAACAGGAGGTCAATTTGAAGTTTTACTTCTGACAACTAATTATAACCTGTATTGTACACGTATTGATATTTTGAAGTTTTACTTCTGACAACTAATTATAATGTATTGTACACGTATTGATATAACAGGAGGTCAATTTGAAGTTTTACTAATTATAACCTGTAATGATATAACCTTCTGACAACTAATTATAACCTGTATTGTACAATTGATATTCAATTTGAAGTTTTATCAAGTATTGTACACGTATTGATATAACAGTCAGGACTTCTGACAACTAATTATAACCTGTATTGTACATGTATTGATATAACAGGAGGTCAATTTGAAGTTTTACTTCTGACAACTAATTATAACCAGTATTGTACATGTATTAATATAATGTTAATTTTATATAGTGATGCATTCAAAGAAGGTGGACAGTTATGTAAAATTTGTGAACATCTTTTATGTTGCCTCATTTTTTCCTTAATTTTAGGAAATGAGACTAAGACTTTTGTTTACAAGTAATGTACCTTCAGGACAATTTTCCCCATCAAGTCAGCAGGAGATGGGATCTTGTCTGGCAGTTCTGTGGGTGCATATACCAAATCTAATAAAAAACAATTTAGTAAAGACACAGTAATATTATGCATCTGGACAAAGGCGACATGATGAAGAGCTCTGTAAATTGTGTAAATGGGAAAATGCCACCAAACTGATTCTATATTTTGACGATATGTTAAAACATTGTAAACATTGTATAAAGGGACTTGTTCACCGTTAAACTTTCACCTATGAAGTCTTTTTAACAACAGGAAGAAAATATATAGTAGGAAAAGTTTCTCTTTATCAGTATTGCATGTTTAAACATATTTTAGGGTAAATCTAACAACAAACAATAATGAATATTTCATATCTGAAAGCAAACAGGAAAATAAAAGAACAAAATTATTTTATGAAGGTTTTCCTTTCTAGAAATCTAATAAAGCCAATAAAATTTCTGATTTTGATAAAAAATACCGTACATCAAAAATACTGCATAGAAATCAAAACAAAACCATTTCAATTACCAGTACTTATCTAGATTACTGTGTATGTCATGACAAAACCATTTCAATTACCAGTACTCATCTAGAATACTGTGTATGTCACGACAAAACCATTTCAATTACCAGTACTCATCTAGAATACTGTGTATGTCACGACAAAACCATTTCAATTACCAGTACTCATCTAGAATACTGTGTATGTCACGACAATACCATTTCAATTACCAGTACTCATCTAGAATACTGTGTATGTCACGACAAAACTATTTCAATTACCAGTACTCATCTAGAATACTGTGTATGTCACGACAATACCATTTCAATTACCAGTACTCATCTAGAATACTGTGTATGTCACGACAAAACCATTTCAATTACCACCCTCCCTGTACTCATCTAGAACACTGTCACAAGGATCTAACACAATGAAACCTTTAAGACAAGGATCTAACATTGTCAATAGTATCCCTGTCTAAGACAAGGATTGTCAACGACAACCCTTCCTGTCTGACAAGGTAACATTGTCCATTGTCAATGAAAAAAGTACTACACATTTTGTTTTTGACATCTAACAGAAACTGTGTATGTCAGGATCTAACATACCTTTCAATTACCAAGTACATCTAGAATACTGTGTATGTCACGACACAAATGAAAGTTTCAATGAAACCCTCCCTAAGACAAGGATCTAACACTGTCAATGAAACCCTCCCTGTCTAAGACAAGGATCTAACATTGTCAATGAAATCCTCCCTAAGACAAGGATCTAACATTGTCAATGAAACCCTCCCTGTCTAAGACAAGGATCTAACATTGTCAATGAAACCCTCCCTGTCTAAGACAAGGATCTAACATTGTCAATGAAACCCTCCTTCCCTAAGACAAGGATCTAACATTGTCAATGAAACCCTCCCTGTCTAAGACAAGGATCTAACATTGTCAATGAAACCCTCCCTGTCTAAGACAAGGATCTAACATTGTCAATGAAACCCTCCCTAAGACAAGGTTCTAACATTGTCAATGAAACCCTCCCTAAGACAAGGATCTAACATTGTCTGAAAAAGACAAGGATCTAACATTGTCAATGAAACCCTCCCTGTCTACACATTTGTCAATGAAACCCTCCCTGTCTGACAAGTATCTAACATGTCAATGAAACCCTTGTCTAAGACAAGGATCTAACATTGTCAATGCAACCCTCCCTAAGACAAGGATCTAACATTGTCAATGAAACCCTCCCTGTCTAAGACAAGGATCTAACATTGTCAATGAAACCCTCCCTGTCTAAGACAAGGATCTAACATTGTCAATGAAACCCTCCCTGTCTAAGACAAGGATCTAACATTGTCAATGAAACCCTCCCTAAGACAAGGATCTAACACTGTCAATGAAACCCTCCCTGTCTAAGACAAGGATCTAACATTGTCAATGAAACCCTCCCTGTCTAAGACAAGGATCTAACATTGTCAATGAAACCCTCCTGTCTAAGACAAGGATCTAACATTGTCAATGAAACCCTCCCTAAGACAAGGATCTAACACTGTCAATGAAAGCCTCCCTAAGACAAGGATCTAACACTGTCAATGAAACCCTCCCTGTCTAAGACAAGGATCTAACACTGTCTAACATTGTCAATGCAACCCTCCCTAAGACAAGGATCTAATATTGTCAATGCAATCCTCCCTGTCTAAGACAAGGATCTAACATTGTCAATGAAACCCTCCCTAAGACAAGGATCTAACCCTAAGACAAGGATCTAACTCAATGAAACCCTCTAAGACAAGGATCTAACATTGTCAATGAAACCCTCCCTGTCTAAGACAAGGATCTAACATTCTCAATGAAACCCTCCCTGTCTAAGACAAGGATCTTACATTATCAATGAAACCCTCCCTGTCTAAGACAAGGATCTAACATTGTCAATGAAACCCTTCCTGTCTATGACAAGGATCTAACATTGTCAATGAAACCCTCCCTGTCTATGACAAGGATCTAACATTGTCAATGAAACCCTCCCTGTCTATGACAAGGATCTAACATTGTCAATGAAACCCTCCCTCTCTAAGACTTCAGAATTGTGGGATAGCTATGAATTTTTGAGGTTAATGCATTGGTGACATGATAAAAAAGATCATCAAAATAAAGCACTGGCGTTAGAAACTCTGAGAAAAGCAAGCAATGTAGCATTATCATTATTAAATAAGAATTACATGTAAATATAAATAATAGAAACTTAAATAAGAATTTAACATAGATGTCGCTGCTGCAAGAAAAGTAAGGCCTACTATGTCTCACTCCACAACTCTGTCAAAAGTAGGTCAAAAACTAGCATTTAGAAGACAGAGAAAGTGTAAAGGTTAGAGAAAGGTGGTAGTAGAATTAAAGTGACAATGTTTCATTAATTTGTCTTAGATATTGCCAATAAAAATTAATAATGAAATCTTTTTTGATATTAACATGTCAACTGCAAGTTGTCTCCCCTTGACATATATAGTTATATTTGAAATGTCAGCTAGATATCGTAAGCATATTGTCAATAATGTTAAATTTCTCCCTTTGAGTAATATTATTACAAAAAATATGCTATGTATTATAAATAAACCAGTCGAAGTATAATCATCATATCATGATATGTAAATAAAATATCAGAAAAAAACAAATATATATATTGGTAAAAATAATAAACAAACAAAAATGTAGAGTTTATACAGGCAAATCTTCAGCTGACAACAAAAATGATAAAGAAATTACACTTTTTAATTGTGAATTGTTCGTGATTTTTGTGAACATTGGTTTTGATGAAAATCATGTCAAAGCAGTGATATCAGTTATAAAAGAATTTTGCTGAGCATCGAACTTGATATATTCATCAACAGCCATGGTATTATTGTATTGTCTTCAATGGTGACACAAATACTATGTCATTTATGTTTTATAAAATTTAATGCCAAAAATGTCTGGTAGTGATGTATTTACACACTGTTAATCAAAAGGTATTGTACCAGGAAATTTATCCTTCATAGTGATATGATAACAATTGATTACATGAGTGTATTCAGCTTTCATTGAAACTGACAGAATTGTCTCCATTTAACAGAAAAGGTTAGCATTAAATTCTAAGGTTATGATTTCGAACTTTTCTGAAGGTTTATTATTGTTTTAAGTAATTATAGAAACAAAATCAATCTTATGATAAAACAAAAGAATACAAATCATTAATCAAAGTCTTATCAATTCTTGTTTTAAAAGAAACAACTACAAACCAAGGTCTACTTATTATATAAATAATCTACTTCTATTACAACAAGGTGTACAGCTACCCAACATGTTAACACAATCAGAGTGTCACATGTGAAAGGCAAACACAATTAACACATGTGAGAAGAAAGCACAACCCACATATGTGAGAAGAAAGCACAACCCACACATGTGAGAAGAAAATAAGAGGTAGAAAATGGCTGTAAAATCACACTTGCGTCAAGATTTACCTTCTGTCACCTTGATCCCTTCTGTAGAGTAAAAAGCATGCACAAAACATGTGACATTATATATATATTTATTGTCATGGCCTTAGTGTCTCACAGACATATTAGTGCAGGTCTACATTCTAAATATACAGAGATACAAGGATTGGGTTTCTAGCGAAATTCTAAATTATAGCACTCAGAAATGTACTGGTGTATATACAGATATGTCATTGTAGTAATTAGGTTTGAAACAATACAGTGCAACGACTTGTGTTCATTTAGAGGATGCTCTATGTTAAAATAAAACAGATATTTGTGACTGTGTAATCATGGTGAACCACAGCAAATTTCTTTTTCATGTTTTTCTAAACGAGTAAAAATCCTAATGATTTAGTGTCACTTTTGTACATAATTTCAGAAATCTGAATTACATTGCTCAGGAGTTGTGACACCAGTAACATTTAAAATCAGGCGACCTTTCAGGATCATATTAATGTTGCCAACGTCATTTTCATGACCTGTTGGGGACAATTGAGATCATTACAATCATCTCCCTTTCTATATATACAGATAAGAAAGTGGTGGATGACATTTTATGGTTGTATTGTCCCAAATTACTTTAATTGACCAATCAAATGTAGTGTGACATCTTGAATGAATTTAAACAAGATTTAGATTTGAATTTCCATCGTACAAATGACAGAAATCATATGGCTAGAAGCTTTTTGAGCGAATACATCCAACAGCATGTTCGACTATGAACTAGCAACTTCTAACCAGCTATAGAGTACTGAAACACATCAGGAAGGGCCTCGACACATTCCAAGATTCTCTGTGTGTTACATTGATATTGAACTTTTCTTAATCGCTTTGTCTGTTAAATTTAAATAACATTTCAAATGTGACTTCCATATTTGCCCTGGTGACTTTCAGCTGTACAGTACGGATGACATCTTTGATGTGGGGCCCTAATTCAGATATCATATAGATATATGTCTAACTGATAGAATCACTAATACACAATGTAGTTTTCAAGACCTTTTCTTAAACCCTTCAGGGAAATTCATAAGTATGCAGTATATGTTTATATGATACGGTTTTCAAAATTTCTAATCAGATTAAAGCTCAAGGAAATCAGAAAGGAAAGACGATAAATTTCTAATACAGAAATACAGAGGACACTTTATCATCATTAAATCATAGTCACATCTCTGAAAGAGTTTGGAACATTCACATACTACATGTCTGTTGAAAATGGCTGTTACAATCCTGTACAGTTAGTAGATCTGTTAACTCGGGCTATAATAGCATAACAGCATGCTTTAGTACTAATCAGATAACAAGGTCTCTATAGGTGGACAATCCTTTAATTCATTCAAATTTCACAGAAAACCAAATTGTACAGAAACTAAGGGCCATCACCAGGGGCTGATCCAGGATTGTGGGTAAAAAGGGCACACATTTTTGTTAACAGAATAATAATTTTTGTTGTCTTGGGCCCACACCTCCCTTTATTTTCAAGATTTTCATTTACATATTTACATTTATTTTATATATTGTATAATTATTCTAGCTTTGAGTTTGACAAAAATCATGGATTACATCATAAATAGGACTGTGTATATTCCTCAAAAATTAAAACTAAAATATAAAGTACAATAATGTTATGGTAAATTAACCAATAAAAGCCATGAATACTTGATGGCAATTAACAGGTCAACTTTTTAATGTCAGAATTGGGACACAGCTCCGAAATGTTTTGTGAATAGAAATAATTACTTTACATGTGAGTTTACAACTTTACAACTGAGTTATATGTCGTGCCAAATTACAATAGACTTCTACACTGATGTATGACAATGGAATTTTAGTTTATTATTCTCACAAACAATGGCCACTTGGCAAATTTTAGAGGGGTTGCGCCTTCAATAACCCCCCTGTGGATCCACCTATGACCACCTACCTCAGCAGTGAAAACTACAGTAAACACATGTATTGTTGTAGCAGAGATATATACAAGTTTGATCTAGGATACATCAGATTTCCTTCTATGACTAACAAAGGTGCAAAAATGGAACTCTTGTTTGATTGGAGGGGAAATCACTATATAAAAAGTGTGTGCATTGTATACATATATAATCTGATACATTAGTAGAACTTTTCATGGCAGCCTCAGTGATTTCTCTAGTAGCTAGAATTAAGAGTATTTCACAGTAGCCTAAGTGATTTCTAGGGTAGCGGCAGTTACCATGCCATTAAAGATTTAATGAGTTTCTACAGTAACCATATGGTTCCTGTACTGATTCAACTTACGGTGAGGAGTGGAAAGCATAGTCTTTGATGGCACCAATAACGTCTCGGAATAGGATTTTTGAGGTGAGTGTGTAACCATGGTATATCACAGGCTCATCATCTGGGCCATCCCAGCAGTCAACTGTAAATAACAACAAAATTGTAGTTTTCCTATATAAACTACTGTACCCACTCCCCACAACAGGGGAAATGTGAGACCTTAACATCATAAAGTTTACAATATTGGTCAAGCAGCTTAAGACCTTTCCATCCATGAAGGTATTTGACTCTACCATATCCAAATACTGAGATGATTAAAGATATGTACAAAATTTCATTGAAAATGGTTCTAGGGTTTTCCAGAAAATGTCAATAGATATGACAAATAATCTATGATGCCGGACAAAAGGTCATCATAAGCCTTTGTCTCATGTGACCTAACAAGAGATCCCAGGTGAATCTTGTGGAACACCACAAATTCTGTATTTCTGATTGGTACAAAATTTAAAAAGTTACAACTAGGGGTTAAAGGAAATGTACATAAGGAATCTGAGAATTTTCGATCTTTTACTTCTCCAGGGGCAGCTATAACAAACCAGTACTGTCAAAATTTAGGATGGCTGTCTTTCTACCATTTTATTTTCCAAATTGTCCCAAAATGAACCATGCACAACTAGTGACTAAGACAAACCTAGATATGAAGTTTGACTCCATAACAAGAAACAACAAAAATAAACAATAAATCGAAGTTGGCCACCTGTTGGCAATTTAGCTTTCAGATCAGTCTCAAAATGAGACAAGGCACAACTAGAATTAAAGGAAACCTACAATTTGAAACTAATCCATCAAGTCCTTCTCAAGAGAAAGCAATAACGAGAACAGTTTAAGGATAGACAACAGACAAAACACAATTTGTACAGCCTATCACCTTACTGGTTGCTATCACTTACGTTCCACACAACGACAGCCACGGGAGAGGGCAGTGATATAAGCTTCCACACGACTAGGGCCCTTGAGCTGATCTTCCACCAAGTATCTGACAAAAAATACATAGAGATCAACTAAAAATAGACATGTTACACTTCATCAAAACTGTGGTGAGAATCTGTAGAACTTGATATTATTAATAATTTAACCATCGTAGTACTCTCTGGTCCCAGTGTAAGTGAAGTTTAGGGAGCTGGCCCCGTTGTAAGTCAAGGTTAGAGAGCTGACCCCAGTGCAAACCAAGTTTAGGGAGCTGGTGACTTTCGGGACATATCTCTGATAATAACCACATCTGTATCGTAAGGTGATACTTATCCCTGTCATGATGAAGAAATACCCAAATCAACTGACCCCATATCATGGCCATAGTCTTTTCATTATTCAGAAAAAGTCGTTTAACCTTTAAATACATTCTATCCCTGTGACCTTGAAAGCAAATCATTGCTAACCTTGGTAGCAATTCATGCCAGCATATAACAGGTACAATATTAAGGTTATAGCATGCTGGTTTACAACACAACTGACCACTGTGACCTTGAAAGTAGGTCAATGTCATTTATAATAACAAAGCTGATAGCTCTTCATCCATGCATGCTAATAGGTAAACATTATCACATAAGGCCTCATGGTAACTGAAAATATGTTGTTAGATGATTTCAACACTTCTGATCCCTTTGACTTTGAAAGTGGGTCAAGGTCAAACATACTTACGTGTTATGAGATGATGAGATGTAATAATTTGTGATGGGTTGTGTCATGTCTTGATAAACACGACGACAGGATGGGTTAAACATTTGTTGGTCTCGACTTGTAAGGAATGTTCTGAAACCTGAAATGGAAGGAATCTCCTCAACATATGACTTAACTATTAGTAATAGTATAATTAGTATTACAGATATCTAGATTGATCTATGTTTACATGTGTTTAGGCAAAGACATTTTTATCTTCACACATATAAAAAATGCAAAGAAATAATACACAGACTTAAAAGATTGTGTAGTTATTCCTACAGGAATCATGCAATCACTGTCCTCATCTACATCATCTACAGGGTTCCTACCTATAGTAATAAGACATTACGGTGAATTACAATCCCCTACCAAATGTGAAATTGTATTATTTTTCATCATCCCATTCTGACAATGTTTCAATATTGTCTTTTGGATGAAGTTGCCTTCTTCTTACCTATAAGGCCCATGCGGTCATCTAACTGTAACTGTTTTTGTGGTTCATATGCGGCAATTATCTCGTTGACATCTTCCTCATGCATGGTCACCTGTACATATAGTAATATAATATAGATATAATATAAACTTTATCTACTTTACAACAATTTGAAACAAGCTTATATTAATCATTCTTGTTGGCCCAGATGGGAGCACTCTGGGATCTTACTGTGGAAGGAAACCAGAGTACTCGGAGAAAACTCACATGGTCAGGTAGGTGACCCCATATATTTCACATCTGTTACCACTACCCCATCTGACCACTCATGAAATATTGACCATCCATGGTATATATAATCACAAACAGAAAAAGGGGATTGATTATTTCTATAGAACTTGTACACTTAATTTAACAAAAAAACTGTTTCCCAGAGTTTCTGAACTCAAACATAAACACTGACAAAGTAACAACTTGTCTCATCTAAGTACATATGTAGCTCTACCTTTTGGTCATTTTTGAGGAAGTTCTGCAGGTCCTGGCAGTCCATGTAGCCTTTACCACCATCGTACCTGTAATAGACAAAAAGGAATAAAAATAGGACAAAGTACTTCTATATGTTTAGAAAATGTTATTGTATACAAAGTTAAGGTCTCAATCATAAAGTATGGACATTTCTGGTAAAGAATTTGTACAGTTGATAGGATACATACACACCACAGACGTACATCATCTAAAGTTCCATGAATTAGGTGTTTTTTGGATGGCTGGATTGTTTTCCTAGATTTATTTTTCAATATTCAGCAATATTCAGACAAAAGGTTACATATAGTTCACAAGTGGAAACCATTATCCTATATACTATCATAATCTTTGTCATCTCCATAAGGAGATGATAGAATTATCACCCAAAGAAATATTTCATTGATCTCTGCCCTCTGTGTAAGGAGATGATAGGACTATGTTCTGAGAAATATTTCTTTGATCACCGCCCTCTCATTAAGGAGATGATAGGACTATTTTCTTTGAAATATTAATTTGATCACTGCCCTCTCTGTAAGGAGATGATAGGACTATGTTCTGAGAAATTTTTGTATGATCACCGCCCTCTCTAAGAAATATTTCATCGATCACTACCCTCTCTGTGTAAGGAGATGATAGGACTATGTTCTGAGAAATATTTCTTTGATCACCGCCCTCTTTGTGAGGAGATGATAGGACTTTTTTCTGAGAAATATTTCTTTGATCACTGCCCTCTCTGTGAGGAGATGATAGGACTTTTTCTGAGAAATATTTCATTGATCACTGCCCCCTCTATTGGGAGATGATAGGACAATCACCATAAGAAATATTTCATTGATCTCTGCCCTCTCCATCAGGAGATGACAGAATGATTACCTGAGGAATATTTCTTCAATCTCTGCCCTCTCTGTGAGGAGATGACAGAATGATTACCTGAGGAATATCTCTTCAATCTCTGCCCTCTCTGTGAGGAGATGACAGAATGATTATCTGAGGAATATTTCTTCAATCTCTGCCCTCTCTGTGAGGAGATGACAGAATGATTACCTGAGGAATATTTCTTCAATCTCTGCCCTCTCTGTGAGGAGATGACAGAATGATTACCTGAGGAATATTTCTTCAATCTCTGCCCTCTCTGTGAGGAGATGACAGAATGATTACCTGAGGAATATTTCTTCAATCTCTGCCCTCTCTGTGAGGAGATGACAGAATGATTACCTGAGGAATATTTCTTCAATCTCTGCCCTCTCTGTGAGGAGATGACAGAATGATTACCTGAGGAATATTTCTTCAATCTCTGCCCTCTCTGTGAGGAGATGATAGAATGATTACCTGAGGAATATTTCTTCAATCTCTGCCCTCTCTGTGAGGAGATGACAGAATTATTACCTGAGGAATATCTCTTCAATCTCTGCCCTCTCTGTGAGGAGATGATAGAACTGTACAAACTCTGATTTGTCCAAGCGAGACTTGCCTTTAACAGACTTCTCTGTATCAGCTTTCTGGAAAATTCACAGATAAAATGCATTAGTTATCCAACATATTGTTCACAATGCAAAAACCATCAAGAGGTGAAACCTAATTCTTTCAAGTTCCTCCCTTATCCTTTCACTAAAGTGTACAGCTCTGACTATATAAATTTTAAACTGAACAATTAATTTTTTTAATAATGATATCATGTTCCACACTCCTACATACCTCACAGACATCAACACAACTCACTTTTTCTACACATGTCTGACAAAATACATCTCTACACATCACCAACAAAACACTTTAAAACATCTCTGACAAAACATCACTACACACATTCAATAAAACCCCTTTATACACCTCAGACAAAACATCTTTTGTGTAAAGATAACATCATATAATCCTTTTGTTTATTGAACTTTCAGTCATAGCCATAGGCTCCTAGTAATCAGCCTTATGTAAAGGATAGACAGAAAGTTCCAATAAAGTCCTACCATATCAGAGTCAGTGTCCTGAACCCTCGGAATATATTGCATCAAATGTTTGTGTTCTGTTATCTTATAGTAGTTAGCTTTGATGCTTGTATCTTTAAAGCAGTCTTTAAGCTATCAGCTTTTTTTATCCAGTTATTTTCATTTTTTTAAGTATTAGAGATTTAAAACTTTTACAATTAAATCAGGAAAACATACATGTATTGTCTTTTGATCTGAATAAACGTAACATCCCCAGGCTTATAACTTAGGCATATATCATAACTAAGGTAATTTTTAAAAGCCTCTGTAAAGGCCAGACTTTGAAATACAATATATTCTTAGTCACTAAGGTCAGGGAATCAAAATGATAGACAGGTGTTTGTATCACAGAAGTGTCAAAGTTCTATACCAAAAGTGCTCTCCACATGAAAGGAGCTGGGGTTTGTTTGTCTATAAAAGGTGTGCTGTAAGGGTCAGTTCTATATAAAAGGTCTGCTGTAAGGGTCAGTTCTATATAAAAGGTGTGCTGTAAGGGTCAGTTCTATATAAAAGGTGTGCTGTAAGGGTCAGTTCTATATAAAATATATGCTGTAAGGGTCAGTTCTGTGTAAAAGGTGTGCTGTAAGGGTCAGTTCTATATAAAAGGTGTGCTGTAAGGGTCAGTTCTATATAAAATATATGCTGTAAGGGTCAGTTCTATGTAAAAGGTGTGCTGTAAGGGTCAGTTCTATATAAAAGGTGTGCTGTAAGGGTCAGTTCTATATAAAAGGTGTGCTGTAAGGGTCAGTTCTATATAAAATATATGCTGTAAGGGTCAGTTCTATATAAAAGGTGTGCTGTAAGGGTCAGTTCTATATAAAATATATGCTGTAAGGGTCAGTTCTATGTAAAAGGTGTGCTGTAAGGGTCAGTTCTATATAAAAGGTGTGCTGTAAGGGTCAGTTATATATAAAAGGTGTGCTGTAAGGGTCAGTTCTATATAAAATATATGCTGTAAGGGTCAGTTATATATAAAAGGTGTGCTGTAAGGGTCAGTTCTATATAAAAGGTGTGCTGTAAGGGTCAGTTATATATAAAAGGTGTGTTGTAAGGGTCAGTTCTATATAAAAGGTGTGCTGTAAGGGTCAGTTATATATAAAAGGTGTGCTGTAAGGGTCAGTTCTATATAAAAGGTGTGCTGTAAGGGTCAGTTCTATATAAATTATATGCTGTAAGGATCAGTTATATATAAAATATATGCTGTAAGGATCAGCTATATATAAAATATATGCTGTAAGGATCAGCTATATATAAAAGATATGCTGTAAGGATCAGTTATATATAAAATATATGCTGTAAGGATCAGCTATATATAAAATATATGCTGTAAGGATCAGCTATATATAAAATATATGCTGTAAGGATCAGCTATATATAAATTATATGCTGTAAGGATCAGCTATATATAAAATATATGCTGTAAGGGTCAGTTCTATATAAAATATATGCTGTAAGGGTCAGTTATATATAAAAGATATGCTGTAAGGATCAGTTATATATAAAATATATGTTGTAAGGATCAGCTATATATAAATTATATGCTGTAAGGATCAGTTATATATAAAAGATATGCTGTAAGGATCAGTTATATATAAAAGATATGCTGTAAGGATCAGCTATATATAAATTATATGCTGTAAGGATCAGTTATATATAAAAGATATGCTGTAAGGATCAGCTATATATAAAAGATATGCTGTAAGGATCAGCTATATATGAAAATTAGTGACTAACTTTCCCATTTCCCCAGTTCCTTTGGGTTGAATCAACTTTCTGATTTTCAGAAATAATTCCCCATCCAAAATGATGTTTCAGACAAAATTTGGTTCAAATCCATGCAGGCATTATGCAAGATTAGTATTTTAAAGGAAAAGTTTACAGATGGCAGATGATGGATGGCAGATAGTGCACCACAACAGACAATGCAGGATAGCATGACTTGACCTAAAAAAAGGTGTAAACTCATAGTTCTGTATCATGTCCAGGTTTTTGTTCTCTACTAATTGGTGACCACTTATTTTTTATGTAAGTTAATTCCACCTTAGGCCAATGGGCTGTCTTTATCCTAGACAGAAAAGAATATGTCCTGTCTAATCACATCCCTGGTCCATTTGTAGCTGTTATTAGTGTAAATGACCAGGCTACCCCCATTACAATGCTGCTAATATATCAGGATATTGAACAGCAAGAAAGATCCAACAGCTGGACCAATGTCAGCAGCCAAGTCCTGTTAAAACACACCACTGAACTAAATACACTGTCCACTGATTGAAGAAGCAGAAAGATATTTATCATGACAGCTTTCAGGCCAGCCATAAAAATGTTGGTTATACATGCATTGGTAATAAACCATGATATCAAAATATTTATATATTTATATCATGCATTTTTTTTCTTCTAACCACATGGAGTAAGAAGTTTAATTCTGGGTTAGAATTGTAAATCTGACCTATTGACCTAAGCTGACAGGACACAAAAAGGGTTTAGCAACATACACCTTACATTTATATACATACATGTTATTTCTTTATAGCTTCTCTCATTGCGTAAGAAGACATGTGATGGACAAGAACCTTGAACTTCATTTTGACCTAGCCTTTCTACTTTAATTTAACCGTGGTAAGCGCCACAGTGAACATGATTTTATCAAGTCATAAATTATGGCCCTAAACAAGCATCTCAACCAGTGAAACAAACAGATGAATGACTATGTGCTTGACCAACACATTTCCAGAGAATTACACATTAGATATGAAATATATGTAATACCCTTTATATAATGCATGTAAAACACAGGCTCCAACAAGAAATTGACTTTGTCTGGCCTTTTTCTTAGTACACATCAAAACACAGACTCCAACAAGAAATTGACTTTGTCTGGCCTTTTTCTTAGTACACATCAAAACACAGACTCCAACAAGAAACTGACTTTGTCTGGCCTTTTACTTACTACACATTGAAACAATGGTTGCCTTATGTACCGATTACAGTTGGTAAAGATGAGACTCTGGGGTCACACAAAGATTGACAGTAAGGCTTTTTACATCTACATCACATTAACATTGCACTTTAGCTGTGTCTCAATATCATTAAATTGGGACATGATAGACCACTTGCGGGACATTTAGGGATAGATACAGAACACTTCTTAAAGACATTAAACAGCCTGTGGAAACTTCTTGTGAATATTGATGACAGTCTTTCGTTAAACAGACCTCATGAGCTACAAATCAAGGAGATAAAAGACCCAGATTAAGTCGATATGGATATTCAAGTCCATGTTGATATATTTTATAAAAACATTATGAAAATTCCGTCTTAAATGATGCAACATCTAAAACAGAACTATGGTTACACTGATATTATTAACAACTTTAAATATCACTAACAAAATCAGGCCTAAAAATGCTTCAAATGGGACTACAACCTCCTGACCAAATGATGCTATAAATCAGACATTTCTATACATTCTTCAATTTTCTTCTAATAGTTGAATTTATGATGGTGTTAAATTTCAGTACATATTTTCTTCTTTGTAAAGAAAATTGAAAATATAACACCTTCTTAGAATAACTTATGCGACGATGAAAAACATACTAACCTGAATCTTACTTCTGAATTACAGCTTTGTTTTAATTGGAATTGATATCAAATCATATGATGAAATACCAGACCATGAATCAATTTACCTGTGATTTCATTAGTCCTATAAACATCATCAGTGCTGACGGTGGATACAATGCCAAAACACCTGTTACTATTATATTAAGGCTGGGAAATTTTTCAGAGCTTTCACTTAATTAACTGGAGCTTTGGTGTGAATTAACACTACCAGAACAATATCAGGCTCAATACCACCAGAATCTGTCCCTGAAAGAATGTTTAATTTTCAGAGAGTTTACTGCAGCTTAGCATGAGTTAACAAAGATTAGCTATCAAGTAATGTTGGTATCCAATTTCCACTTCCACAGCCACTTCCTCTTAATAACCACCCCTCCTCTCCTCCCCATTGTTTCTGAGATCAACCTAAGCAATTCCTCTTAATAACCACCCCTCCTCTCCTCCCCATTGTTTCTGAGATCAACCTAAGCAATTCCTCTCAATAACCACCCCTCCTCTCCTCCCCATTGTTTCTGAGATAAACCTGAGCAATTCCTCTTAATATCCACCCCTCCTCTCCTCCCCATTGTTTCTGAGATAAACCTAAGCAATTCCTCTTAATAACCACCCCTCCTCTCCTCCCCATTGTTTCTGAGATCAACCTAAGCAATTCCTCTTAATAACCACCCCTCCTCTCCTCCCCATTGTTTCTGAGATCAACCTAAGCAATTCCTCTTAATAACCACCCCTCCTCTCCTCCCCATTGTTTCTGAGATAAACCTAAGCAATTCCTCTTAATAACCACCCCTCCTCTCCTTCCCATTGTTTCTGAGATAAACCTAGGCAATTCCTTTTAATAACCACCCCTCCTCTCCTCCCCATTGTTTCTGAGATAAACCTGAGCAATTCCTCCTAATAACCACCCCTCCTCTCCTCCCCATTGTTTCTGAGATAAACCTAAGCAATTCCTCTTAATAACCACCCCTCCTCTCCTCCCCATTGTTTCTGAGATAAACCTAAGCAATTCCTCTTAATAACCACCCCTCCTCTCCTCCCCATTGTTTCTGAGATAAACCTGAGCAATTCTTCTTAACTGACCCTTGACAGCTTCCAGATTAACCACAGCCATTTTCTCTTAACTGACCCCCTTATTTCCTCCAAGATTTACCACAGCCACTTCCTTGTAATTAACCCGTCATTGCTTCCTTGACAAGAGGCACTTAGGACCTATACAATTCACCTGACAAAGTGATTCCTGCTCAACAAGAGTTCTTCAGACCAAATCTGGGCATAATTGCAGCATTCCTACAGGAGTAGGATTTACAAGAATTCACTCTATTTCCCCTACTGGAGCCCCAGGGGGCTTAGACCTTCTATTTATAAAATAATGATTCCTCTTCACCTAAGAATGCTTCACACCAAATACGAGCAATGTGCAATCATTTCTACAAAAGGAATAGGATTTCAAAATATCCTCTTTTGGGTCCTGCATCTCAGGCCCCTGGGGATCAAGACACACCATTTATACAAAAATTGTTGCCCTTCCCAAAGGATGCATCAGACCAATTTTGTTCAAAGTCCCGTTTATTGTTTATGACGAGTGGTAATTTTTTTCAGGCCAAGTGAGCTAATAAACTACAGCCACTTCCTCTTAAATAAACCCCTCATTTCTTCCTAGATAAGCCACATCCACTTTCTCATAATTGTCTCCTCATTACTTATTTAATAAACCATTGACCCCTTTTTTACCCCAATAAAATACACCAATCTTCTCTGAGTTAACACCCCCCTTTCCCAAAGGTAATCAAGTCAATTTGAACACCTTATAAAGAGCTCTGCTCTGTTCGAAAAAACCATACAAGTGTCATGTTTTTCACCCAATGTTGGTACACATATTTAAAATCTCTAATTCTGTGTTGATTAGGGTTGTAATAGATAATTATTATAATACAATGGCAATTATTACTTATCATTCACTCAGTCTAATTTTTAACTTAAGACAACAAATTATCATGTAAAGCCAGGGTGTAGTCTAACTGGAGGACAGTGGCAGTACTGATGTGCTGATTATCAAAGATAAATCCTCGATGGATATATGATCAACTTTATTTCCAAGTAAATATAGCACTTAAACAAATCTAATAGATTATTATATTATTGATATATTTTTAAATTGAATTATAAATCTCAATCGCTGCTGAAAAAGTGATTATGTAACGATTTAGTAATTAACAATTCACATTGTGTGTATATTATATATTGCTAATATCACTAATGAAACTTTCCACCTGTCAATGCTATTTGTTTATCTGTAATCAATTCTACTTCATTGAGAGAGGGAACTGATGCAGAAATGATTTTAATACAGAATGAATAAGTTATGATTACATGGTAAATATTTCCCTCAGAATTAGGTCAATATCACCCATGTTATTGATAATTATTCAAGTCCAGCAGTAACATATCCAATTAAGTCATGTTAGAAATCACAGGTCTACTATAACCCAGCTGGATCTCACAACCGTTACAACTCCATACTGTTTACACTGTATTACGGTCTACTTAACTCAAATGTATTCATATTAAAGACATTTGATATGTAACAAGAGACTGTGTCAGCTTGACTTGTACCTAGTAGTTTCATAACTCATGCACATTTATAATTATATTCACTGGTTTTCATCAGATTTTTTCCATACAAAAAATCTGAATTGTTAAACACATTCTTGCTCCTTCTTCCAAATAGTATCAACTTACATCAAAAAGAGCTTTCACATATTTCTTATCCATGTCAGCATTCAACTGCTTCAGAAGCTTCATCACCTCATCAAAATCCAGACTGCCATCATTGTTTTTGTCAGCCATGTTGAAAGCGTCTTTGATCCATGTAAATTGTGTTAAGAAAACAGTACAAGGTGTTGGGCTCCAGCTTTGAGCATTGATCAGACACCCCAATAAAATATAAGTTTTTAAAATTATCAGCAAAGAAATGGAATCTGGTCCTGGCTTAATTAGTTCAGTGAAGATGTCAGAAAATACAAAAACAAATTATGGACAGAGACAAGTAGTTACCTAATGCACATGATTCTCATGTTAACTAAAAAAAAAACAAAACTCTTAAAGATATTTGTTTTCAGCTGTTTTTAAAAAAATGTCTTAAATGGAACACCAAATATCAATTAACTTTGGGAAATATTCATTTCAGTCTGCAAATGTCAGTGGCATTACATAGAAATGGTTTACTGCAGACCATTCTCGTTAAACGATGCTACAAATATTCACTTGTTAGTCCACAGATGTGAGGACCTGGCAACAATTACGGGAACTCTAACAGCCACATGTTCAATTTATGTTTGGTAATGTCTAAACCAAAATAACTCCTTCAATTTGCACAACATTTTTAAAAAAGTTTTAAAATAACTTTGTATAAACTAAAATTGACAAGTATAGTCATAAATCCATCGTCTGTAAGCCAAAAGAAAGAGTTTGATGAAATAATTTTGCGGAGTTTTGTGGTAAGATTTCCCAACCGATTTTTGGCATACCTAATGATATCCATCTCAAGACTTGTTTCTATGTTGACTTCATTTTAACAATTTAAAGTTAAAATTACAATTTTGATGACATGGTGAGATTTTCTTAGGTCTTTAATAGGGTTGCTATATTGACAAGCCACTGCTTGTCAAATCTTGGCAGTAAACAATGTTAATATCTAAATCAACATTGATAGGGCCACAACAAGTTGGGGGACAGATGGGTTTCATCATGTAGAAATGTGTATCCATGATCGTCTAAACCACCAGTGATGATGTTACATAAAGGATATCTATCAGCCTGTTGCTTCTGGTCCATGTACTGTTCCATGTGAATCGCAAACTGGATGCCCTTGACCCACATGTCTCGCTCATAGATGGAGTTACTATACAGGTACAGAACTTCATGATTGGCTCCGAAAATGACTGCAAAGCAACGCCCTCTCTGTCAAATACAGAAAAAAATGTTCAAGGTTTACAAAATTCCATCTCTAAAAGAACAAAAAGTTATAATAATAATTACAAAGGTCAAGGTCAATATAGGTATACAGAGAAACTTCATTATGGTAGTTAGGGTTGCAGCTGTTGTTTTTATCATCTAATTAGGGTGTCAGTGGATTGGCAAAACCTAACCTACATTAGCACCCAGAATCAAGATTCTGATGTATTTAAATTAGTACCTTCTATAATGTGCAGTATAGTCACAACGTGATTACTAGGTACTCTCTCTTACCTAACTGGGATTCTGATTCAGTAGTAAAGTGTGATAATGAAATGTTTTGGCTAGCCCAGCTAGCCACCATCAGATCCATCACTATGTTGATGTTTCATTTTTTTGTTTCTTATAAACCGCAGATGTGTTATGCAAAACAACAGTGATATATAAATCTGGTCATTAATAAGACAGCTGTGGTAAACACTAGACTTTATAGCTGTGTTAGACAGGATTGGGTCATTAATAAGACAGTTGTGGTAAACACTAGACTTTATAGCTGTGTTAGACACGATTGGGTCATTAATAAGACAGTTGTGGTAAACACTAGACTTTATAGCTGTGTTAAGCACAATTGGGCCATTCATAAGACAGATGTGATAAACATTAGACATTATAGCAGTGTTAGACACGATTGGGCCATTAATAAGACAGATGTGATAAACGTTAATCGATATAGCAGTTTTATACAAGATGGAGCCATTAATAAGACAAGTTCATAAGATAGATGTGATAAACGTTAGACAATATAGCAGTGTTAGACATGATTGGGCCATTAATAAGACACATTCATAAGATAGATGTGATAAACGTTAGACAATATAGCAGTGTTAGACATGATTGGGCCATTAATAAGACACATTCATAAGACAGATGTGATAAACGTTTGACAATATACCTGTGTTATACAAGATTAGGTCATTAATAAGACAGTTGTGGTAAACACTGTCAATGTACACAGTAATCAACAAATATGATACTTTGATACCTCCCTGTTAATTCACAGTTACCTCCCCTGATACCCCACATATATAATCTATTTCTGTATTTCACTACTTAGGCTTTCCTAATGAAAATGAATTAGTGAGTCATTCTTTATTAAAATACCTAAACAAAAGGTAATAACATATACAATATAGACAATAATACAGACTACATTAATCAATGATGCATAAACACGTACAATCTGAAGGCCTAGGTTGTAAATAGGTTACTACCGTAATACAATTCAGTGTTAAATATGTATATGTATAGATAGATAGCGATATGTTACACATAGTGAAGTATACACCCTAAAAGCATACTGTGGTTGCCCCATGTAAGAATTGAAAATGAAAGCACAAAAAATGCATTTATTCTCATCTGGGCATCGTTTCCATCCCGATTTCATGAACTCAGGTATATCTGTCCAAAATGTCATAACATAATATCAATGTTATTTCTGCTAAAAACTTCAAAATAACAACTTAAGTACAAAAGTTCCAATCATAGCAGTACTTAGACATCAACAGAGAGCTGAGAATCAAAAGCTGTATTAGATGTAAAAGTTTTTCGCAAACAGGGCTTGGCTAATGCATTGGCATAAGAAATGAGACACATGTAACTCAATGCCTTTGCAGTAAAGAAAGAGGCAGTAACAGAGTGAGGTGAAACCAAACTTTTGTTTTCACTCCAGGATAAATTATACCGACAATTTTTGACCGCCAGCATCATAAATGACACAGCCAGAGAGAAAAAAAAGCATGTTCATGCCCACAACTTCACGGACATTGGTGACTACACCAATTTCACAAAAATCAGATGGACAAAGCTGCAGTTATCTAACCTCTGAACCCTTACAAACAGACAGAAATACAACAAAATGCAGAAGGAAAGTTCTTAATTCAGGAATAGTATTGAAGCTCTTTTAAAGAACAAAACACACCATAGCCCATGCTGGGGCTCACATTAATGACCTGGTGATGACCATTGTTAAAGATATTAACTACCTACCTAGGCTAAAGGGAAATCCCCCCAGCTAAAGCCAGTTTTATATTTTGTATATCAAATAGAAGACAAAAAATGTCACCAGAACACTGACATTCGTTGGTGAGACAACGTTCAGAGATTGACAAGTCAAGGAGCTGATAAACCTTTAACCAACCAACCCTAAGAAACAAGGACATATCATTTGTGTGGTGAGTTTCTACTGAACCCTGACCCTCAGGTGACCTTAGACTGTCTAGGTACACAAACTGTGAATTCTCGTCAGTGTATCAGTACATGTTGACAAAGACATTGTGTTTTATAGGTATATACTGTGTATAATGACAGGTTTTATACCAGTTGTATTATCCCTATGACCCTTATGACCTGTAGGTAATAATATGCAGCTTGACATAACACTACCTAAAAAAATTCCTATACAGAATGTCCCAGTAAATTCCTGTGTGTCCCTTTATGTAACTGATGACCTTATCACCCAAAACAATAAGCAGATACAAAGTTAAAATAACTTTACCTTACCAATGAACAGCTATCAGTCAGTCTTTAACATCAATATGAATACAAACTAGATGACAGATTATTTATCTGATAACATGATGGCATTCAATAAATACAATTTTAGGTCCGTTTAATAGTTATATTAATATTTCAGATATAATCATAAAATATGAATTGATCTTTTAGATCAAACTGAAAAGTTTTTTTTCCTTGTATGTTTAGTTACTGATTTTCTTATGATCTATTGTGTATCTATTATCCCTGAATTTAATTAAGATTAACACAGAGTTAATAGAAGTTCATAATGCAAAATATAAAATATAGTACAATCTCACTGAAATATCAGATCCTAAAATTATAGTCATCTAGTTTTGTACAATCTTCATTACATACATCAATGTGTACACGTTACATAGCACATCTTAAAAGTCATACTGTTTACATCTGTTGTTTCCATATTGACAACAGTACACTGAATCACATTGACACATAGGGAAAATGCAGGGCAGAGTGTACAGGGGAAACTTGCATTGTTGGGCTGGCAATGCCAAACTTTAACATCTGATCAGGGAAACCCTGGTCACCTAGTTGAAAGGCGAGTAATTTACTCCTTATGATCATGACCACCCAGACATAAAGTATCTACCATATTTTGTTTTGTAAAGTTTAATTACTGGTTCAGTTCAAAGATAAGAAATATTAACACTATGTTACCATTACGATACAGAATGAGGACCCTCTTCTTGTCCAAAAAGATTGCATCTGACACAAAATTAGTTTCTGTAAGGCTTAAGCCTAAGGAAAAGATTAATTTCTGTTAGGCTCTAGATATAACAGGTAAGAACACATACAGTAGGAGACTTCAATATTTCTATGTTTTCATAAACTAAAAATCTAGAAAATATATTTCATCTTCAAATCTCCACCAAACACATTTATATACCTGAGATAACATTGACCAAGAGGAACGATGGGTGTCACCATTTTATTTCCTGTGTAAGTCTTTATTTTTTGTTAAGTATGTTTTATAGCTTATAGTACAGTTAGTTTCCAATAATTGATAATAAAACGTTAGATTAATGGTATATGTAGCACCATTAAATCACAAGTTGAACAAGAGAATGTCAGAGTCCAACAGTCCCTGTGATAAGGTTACTTACCAGATCTGGTGTCTACAGAAAATAAACAGTACATTTTACTGTTTTTTATTTTGTGTCTGAGTTAGAGTGGTAAAAACCGCTATTTATAGCCCTCGTTAGTATCTTGATTGACAATTTCAATGTAATTAGCAAGTAAAGAGACACAAAAATAGTTTTGGAAAATACACATTAAGGTTTTTCATTTTTTTTTTTTTGCTTTTCACCATATTCATCCTGCAACCCAGTGAGAAGAGGTGAGGGAAGGTGGGAGGGTGGGGGGGTGGAGGCACCATCTCACCTCTAACTCAAAGTCAGGGGGTAGCCTTATCACCAAACAATAAGTCCTAGGGAAAACATTATTTCTTACACAAAATCTGAAGTTGGGCTTATCACTGGGGCAACATTACATATGTAAATAAGTCCACTCCATGCATCAAAGTTAATGTGTTAGTCACCTGGGTTTATCACGACATAAATGGTATATATACAGATCAGAGTCACACTAAATACTGTTAAGCAACGAAAGGTACCGTTTGTGTTGAGGTCATAACAGGTCATATCAAATTGGAACTCAAAATGTCACCACACACACAGGGATAGAATAGTGTACATGATTATTTTCATCCCCGGAAACAAACGTAATTTGTATCCATTTTGTTTCAATCAACCTTCATCAGGAATACAAAAAAATCTCACGATAGCTAAAAATTACGTCAACAGAAAGAGAATCGTTTAAAACAATGGATGGAATTACAGCTAGCCTGACTTGGTGATAACTATAGCCTCTCTACCGACCATTGGACCTGACTACCAGTACTAGTACAGTACAACAATCATCATAGCTTTGTCCTGGTAGAAATTCTATACAGTAAGACTCACATCAAAAGGATCTAATCTCTTGGAGTAATCCTTTTCTCCGTCCCGAACTTCTCGGATCTTGGAAATTTGCCCTGAAAAAAAAAACTAGAATTAATCAGTTTTCATACATAGGAATTTGTCCGGGAAATGTGTTCAAACTGAACAACCTAATGATGCAGTTTTTACTTAAAAGCAACAAAATGCTTTCACCTAGCATTCATAAACCACGTGAATGCCAACTGCTTAAAGAAAAATTCAATGAAGCACGCAGGCACCTCCTGTTGTTTTAACTATATGCCCTGGAATGCCAACTCAGTTCAATATTTCAAATTTCATTTTGTTTTAAGTGGTGACAAACTCAGTTTGTTTATATTACAAGCAAGATTTCTACTCCTTTGGCAGTTGATGAGTTGGTAATACAGAAGCAATGTCATACAATGGCAAAAACCATGTCATCTTTTATCTCAGTTATCCCCCTTTGAAATAGACTGCAATATTGACAGAGTAGAAGTAATACAAAGCTTAATTAGGATTCTGATATGGGGAATGAGCAATATCAATCATACATAATATCATGAAACACAAAATTCCTCTTAATTGCAGAGAAAATTATGCTTAAACTGGTGAGTAAACAGACTTTGTTTGTTATGTATTTTCTTTTGTAAATATTTGTTGTATTTTGTCTACAATAATTATTACTTATTATTACTTCTAAATCCCAGACAAGCCTTTTCCTAATTCCAGACCCAATAAAATATAAAACAGATTATACTTCAGGACACTTCAGGCAGGTCCACGTATGATTTGTCTGTAAGGTCCTGACTCATATTGACCTTTTTACCTGTGTGTTTACAGGTGTATACATACAGTATATTATCATGCTGTGAACCACACTAAAAGATCTATAACATCAGTAAAACTTTATTTTGAGATTTCGTGTTGACATCTGTATGTGTTCAATGAGATATGGATATTTTAACATTTAAAGAGTATAAATAGTATTCTAAACACTAACTGAATCATGCCACCATTCATGTTCAAATGTAAATATCACGTTTTACTTACAAAATGTTTTTAGAACACAGAGAAGTGACATCGATGAAGAACAAACAAATGTGATAAAGGCTTTTTACAGAGTTGTGTAGGCACAAGGTCCGGGAGTATATAACCCCATTTAAATTTCAAATATTAGGTGTTGCCATTTATGATACGATGTTGTTAAAAAAAACATAATTTCCTCGTGTATTGATAAGTTTTAAATCAGGATTCAAAAAGACAGAAGTGTTATTATAAATGTATTATCAACATATCCTACTGGGGTTCTGACATCTGATTCACTTGACTAAAGGGAGTGTTTGCCTATCATTGAAATCCACTCTTTCTACCAGAAGTTAAATTGTTAAAGTTAAAATTTACTGACAATACTTGAACAAGATCAACTTCAACCCCCGCCCCCACCTCTGCCCCTCTTCACCCACCCCCCAGTTTTTTTTAATTGATACCAGATTTCTTGCTATGGTGCATGTTTGTCGCTTTTATGTCAGAAGGGGACACATGAAATTCCAGCAATACCCCTTAAATCCTGATGGAGTAGTCTCATTATATCTATACAGTTTAAGTATTTCCTATATAGACATGCAATAGAAGTAGAGAAACCTGCTGTAATGAATGACAGGTGGTGTAGAATTACGGAGGCATGTTTATCTCTCATTATTACTTTATAATAATGGCAAAACTTCACCATTATGTATAAAACACCTGTTGTAAATATTTACTATTTCTATGTAAAGCTATATCCTATCATGTGAACAGAGTTTTCATAGCCATTTATATGTGATATCTTACATCACTCCACTGGAATACTTGGCTGTCCATCAATTTTTTTTAAATGTGCGCACAGCATGTTTTCACAGACCTGAATAAGACCTGCTCATTTAATGAAGGATCTGGGTTAGTGAGAGCAGCACTTGGCAGGGCTGAAGTAGATAACCTACAGCTACCTCAGAGTACTCAAACTTTATAAAGAGATTGTACAATTTCTGGACTAGAAATATATCATGAGCATATTTTTTTAATCATTTTCATTTTTATGAAGTATTTATATGATTTGGTCATCAAAGATCAAATGTAATTTAACTGTATATTGACTGCTATTACGAAGAAAAGCATAAATTCTCAGTTTTAATTATCTAAATGAAATCCTGTAAATGATAAGTATACATATTTTGATGAAATTTACAGCACTCCTTATAAGGAATGTTTTTAAGGCTGCCAATGCAGACAGCTTTATCACTTTCACTTCACAGGCAACACAAATGTTACATCATATCTCATATTGTATGCTAGTGCATGATATGCATCTCACTGCATGACACACCAGTTGGAACAAAACACTCCGGGAGATAAGACGACACATATGTCTGTTTATTTAATACATATATGTATACGTACAAGAGATAAATTTTCCCACACAAATTGTTATGAAATATGGTAATGAACTTTTGTTGTCACCATCTCGAATGTTTGAACAGTTAGGTTCATACAACGCCTTACACCAACATGACACAACTTCCTCTGGATTAACAAGGATTCATTGAAATATTTTCAAACCATTTATTTACCAGATATGGTTCTTCAAGTATTCAGGGTATTGTGCCACTAATACACAGTATATCAAAAATGAACCCTGTTATCCCAGCAGGAATATTTCAATACTTACAATGTCCGATTGTAAATCTATTCAACATCAATATCATTTTATGAAAAATTCATCTTTTTCTGTATGATAATGAGTACTCAAGTACAGACCTGTCTAGGAGATTTTAATTTTTTAGGGGTTTTAAATCTTTGTAACAGCAAACATCATATATAGACAGTGTCAAGAGCTGATTTAGCTGTTGATATATTTAATGTAATGCCATCACAGTGAAATGTATTGCATGGAGGCAGTAGCAGGACACCCCATCCTGTCAAATTGTACTAGAAAGGACTGCTGCTACTACTGAACACAAAGTTGCAGCTACCATTTCTATATATTTCGCTTTGTGTTGGTACCGTTTTCCACATTGGTTAATTCTCAAGGCTACACTATTACTGAATTCAAATAGACCAATCCTTCATACTTCGCTGAAATATGAAGGCAAAAAAGAGAGGCCTTTAGAAGCACTTGTGAACCTGTTTTCTGTCAGTGGATATTTACAAGCACGATAACCAGACCACTTCAACACATACCACACTACAGCTGATATGACAATGTCACTTTTTATTGTAAATGACACAGTGCTATATTCCTATTGAAATATTTTCTTCAGAAGCCAAAAAATCAATTCCTATCTACGATCAGCAAATACCCTTTCATGAGAAGGTCAGCACTTAGCTGTGTATTTACAGGGTGTATTTGGATCAATTTAAGATGAGGAGTATATATCCCAATTTCATTCAATCCGACAGGACACAAGCACAGAGTAATAGTAAAGCTTAGTTGTCAGCACTTCATTTAGGAATGTAAATCCCAGCATTCCCATCACTCCTGACAATCCAATACCGACATGTTCTCACGGTAGATAAGTTTGTAGGTTTTACAGCCATACAGTTCTATTATGATAACACTGCATACATACTGCTTTCCCTTTCCATTAGTACCCTTATGTTACAAGCTTCCCAACTTATTACTTTACGTCTTATAGTACCAACAATTCATTACATCTATATATTGACACATGCATATTATTACCAATCATAAATGTCAGTTATGGTACCATAAATGACACTAAGTGCGTGACCATTGTGACATCAGTATATTGGGCAAAAGATATCAACCGTACATTATCAAAATGATTGCTTCACTTGAAGGATTAACACCAACAATGATGACTATTTCTATTGTCCAAATCCAGTTATATTTATATAAAGTAAAAACAAACTTTGGGAATGTAAATATAAGCAATGAACTATTTTCTAATGGAATTTCATCAGTGTGCAATTTGATGTTTGTCAGAAAAAGCCTTGTCATTTATAGGACTATAATACAACAGAGTTCAATGCTTCAATATTTAAGAATCGTAATAAACAAGGAAACCAATTAAATCATGACAACACCATCTCCAAGAAGTAAAAGAGAGATATTTTTAGATGAAAAAATCTGTGTCTGTTTTACGAAGTTAAGAGTACTTACATGTAAGTCTTTTTTTGCGGAAGCGTTTTTCGGAGCCGGTGTAACGTAGGACCATATCCTTTGTGTCTAGGTAGAAGGTACGTGGGTACAACATGCCACCACTCTTGACTTTATGGAGCAAGGTGCCACGAGACAACTCATGGAGAATTCTGTCCACTGAAATACAAAACAAAGAAAACTTACAACATTTAAACAAAGCATTTCAGATTTGCAAGTAGATACACCTGAATGGTAGACTTAATCCAGTTTGAATCCCTTAATAGCAGACTAGCCTGGCCAAAACCTCTTTCTCTGAAAACAACATTTCATGAAAATACATATTTTAGAATTTGCTTACCAAGAAATCTCTATTGGAGTAGGAAACATTTGACTGTCTAACCCAAGGATTTCCCAAGCTTGGGGGTAGGACAGAGAAATCTCTATTGGAGTAGGAGATATTTGACTGTCTAACCCAAGGATTTCCCAAGCTTGGGGGTAGGACAGAGAAATCTCTATTGGAGTAGGAGATATTTGACTGTCTAACCCAAGGATTTCTAAAGCTTGGGGGTAAGACAGAGAAATCTCTATTGGAGTAGGAGATATTTGACTGTCTAACCCAAGGATTTCCCAAGCTTGGGGGTAGGACAGAGAAATCTCTATTGGAGTAGGAAACATTTGACTGTCTAACCCAAGGATTTCCCAAGCTTGGGGGTAGGACAGAGAAATCTCTATTGGAGTAGGAGATATTTGACTGTCTAACCCAAGGATTTCCCAAGGTTGGGGGTAAGACAGAGAAATCTCTATTGGAGTAGGAGATATTTGACTGTCTAACCCAAGGATTTCCCAAGCTTTAGGGTAGGACAGAGAAATCTCTATTGGAGTAGGAGATATTTGACTGTCTAACCCAAGGATTTCCCAAGCTTGGGGGTAGGACAGAGAAATCTCTATTGGAGTAGGGGATATTTGACTGTCTAACCCAAGGATTTCCAAAGCTTGGTGGTAGGACAGAGAAATCTCTATTGGAGTAGGGGACAACTACATGAGTACCACTAAAGAACTATTTAGTACTGTAACATACACTAATTACAGAGGTAGTTTTTTCATTGGTATATACAGCTATCATGTTTAATTATTGTTAATTGTTTACATTTGACATTCACATTTGTAACTTTCAGTTATGTTGATATGAATGAATATTCTGTATATGCTGATAAGATAACTTTCTCTGACCTGTAGCTATATATTGTGTGGCTATCTCTGTCCAGCCAGGATACTCTCTCGTCTCCAATAATCAATCTAACTATAACATAGATCACCTAAAGGACCACGGAAGTTTACTATCTCTTCCTTCAATATCAAGATCCCCTGCACATTTCTATATCATTATCAGTTAATTTCTGCAGACAAGATCACATAAACGTTCTAAATTCCATAAACCCCCAAGAGCATATTAGCAGATTAATGAATAGGTCTTTATGTTGATTTAACAAGCCCATAGTTAATAGTATTGCTGTCAAAAATATGAAATGCCATTAACTGCCAATTTACTGTCACTAATTACTGATCATTATATAATGAGAATTAATTATCTATGATTAATTGATGCAGAATGTAATGCTATCACAGAAATTATTATATACCCAGGAGAAAAATAAAAGCATTTATGCATTTAGAAAATGTTTGAGAAATATATTTGTAGGGGTCAGTCCTTGGTAAAGCTGTTGTACATATCTACATATGTAGGTGTCTCCTAGGTGAAGTTGTACATATCTGCATATGTAGGTGTCTCCTAGGTGAAGTTGTACATATCTACATATGTAGGTGTCTCCTAGGTGAAGTTGTACATATCTACATATGTAGGTGTCTCCTAGGTGAAGTTGTACATATCTACATTTGTAGGTGTCTGGTGAGTGAAGTTGTACATATCTACAATTGTAGGTGTCTCCTGGGTGTTGTTATACATAATAAACCATGAATCATTTAGAAGTTTCTGTGACAGTTACAGATATACCGGGGCTCACCTTGCTGTCTGTGGCTCTCCTGTACGGCCAGATCTTTGGAAGTCATCTTTATAGGTCTATGTGACATGACAACTGCCATGATTACACACAAAAAGCACACTAATTGACACTAAGATATTAGAACATCACACTTTTGTAGTAAAGAGCCCCCTGGCAGATGCATATATCCATTGAAACAGCAGTGCAGACTATAGGAAAGTCTACTATGTAACACTTCTCCTACTCTCCACAGTCCTACAAATCTACACAGTACTTTCTACTCAAGCAGTGGATGGTTTGAAGACTTATACAGATGTAAGATCCTATCAGAATCTATACCTAATGTACCTGTATACACATGCGTCACACAAGCCAATGCTCCATGACGTCGGACTTTCCCACATATCTACCGTTAGCTTCAATTTTACGTTGTTTAATGTTTGATCATGTCCCCCGTGGCCCTACAGAGCACACATACACAATAGGTAGGCTGATTGTACTATGTATCTATACAGTACATTGATGAACACTAAACTAATCATATTTTTCTAGTTTTAATAATTGATGGGACAGAAATCAAATTATGCTGTTTATATATTGATCATCTGTATTACCAATAGCTTATCTTCTAGTCATGTATGAAATAGAATTTCTGTGAACAACAAATACATTGTCTAGGGTTGAGGCTAACCCAAACATAACATGTGCAACCTCATGCCAACAACAAAAACACAAAACTAAAATTTACACTGTGTTTTTTTATTATGCTGACTTATATAATAATTCATCACATTTGATTACAAAGACAACTCATTTCAAAACGGTCTGATAACATATGACAACTGAACCTTCAACATTTCAAAACACAGTCTGATAACATATGACAACTCATTTATAAACACAGTCTAATTACATATGACAACTCAACCTTCTCTGTACCTGGTTGTGAAAATCATTTTCGTAAAAGCGTACAACCCTACCTATTTAAGAAAACAAGTTTTTGACACAGTAAAAGTAATGATCATAAAAAGAGAGTTTCATTTCAAAGTTTATATTTTCAACTGAATGTGTTTTCCCCTGTGTTACACGTTATGTATATCTTACTATAAATTACCTCCCTTCTCTTGGGATTAATAACTTCATTTTGATGCCTCTCATCATCAGCTGTTTCATTTTTATGAAGTTATTGACATGGAATATAGAGTCTATCAAATTACTGTACTGAAACCAATATTTCATGAAACCAGGAGAAGCTTTGAAAATTTTACAGGTAAAAAGACACATCTATTCTCTAGTTAGTTGACATTATTCCTGGCTTAAACTGTTCTTCATTGCAGTCGATGGCGTGGACACAGTATTCAGCCATGGGTGGTATTCCTGCTCAACCATGTGTGATGGTCAATGATGCATCTTAAACCTACATATTTGAACCAACTTTTGCTGATTTTCTACTGTCATAAATTCCTCTGTAGATTGATCAGTGAGATAGCTGTTTCCACTCACTCTGTGATCCTGATCTGTAATCTATTTGATCAATACACCCTAAAGCAAGATCAATAGATGTCTACGTTTAGTAATGGAAATATTAAAATTAACATTAAAGAATAAAATTTTGTCAAATCTTGTCATTTATAGTCTAAACAGTGAACATTAATCAATTTCATTATACGACTTGTTAAACTCTTTCATATCCAATAAAATTATTGTATTTTCCTTGGCTAAATAAAAATTTTGAATTTTCTACCACACCTTATGCAAACAAACATTATATAAATAGACAATTTATCTAGGGTAAAAGGTATGTAATCAAGATGTAAATTTTTGACCATCCCATCCTCAGGATATTTCTATATACAGATGTCAAAGTTTTCTTTATTTAATTACCCTGATAATTGTCAATGTCTTCACAGCCAAACAATCAAACACAATCAGGGACACACCCACTTTAGTGTTTCTATTGGGATGTGCACACTCACACAGTAGAAAAGGTAAAGAATTTTTGACCACCAATACAATGGAATAGATTTAAATTTATACCTTTAGTAATGTCAACTAGGTACAGGTAGGACCCTTGGGCCATTGTGCTTTACTTCGAGCTCTTCTGCTTTATATAATCTTACCTATAGCTGCCAAATTTGTGATCAATAGACTATTGATCCTATACAACATATACTCCCTGTATACAGAGTTAAAGCCTGTCACAGACTGAATATGGATGTTGTATCCCTGTATACAGAGTAACAGTCTGTCACAGACTGAATATGGATCTTGTATCCTCTGTATACAGAGTTAAAGCCTGTCACAGACTGAATATGGATGTTGTATCCCTGTATACAGAGTCACAGACTGAATATGGATGTTGTATCCCTGTATACAGAGTAACAGTCTGTCACAGACTGAATATGGATCTTGTATCCCTGTATACAGAGTAACAGTCTGTCACAGACTGAATATGGATCTTGTATCCCTGTATACAGAGTTAAAGGCTGTCACAGACTGAATATGGATCTTGTATCCTCTGTATACAGAGTTAAAGGCTGTCACAGACTGAATATGGATCTTGTATCCTCTGTATACAGAGTAACAGTCTGTCACAGACTGAATATGGATCTTGTATCCCTGTATACAGAGTTACAGACTGAATATGGATCTTGTATCCCTGTATACAGAGTAACAGTCTGTCACAGACTGAATATGGATCTTGTATCCCTGTATACAGAGTTAAAGGCTGTCACAGACTGAATATGGATCTTGTATCCCTGTATACAGAGTAACAGTCTGTCACAGACTGAATATGGATGTTGTATCCCTGTATACAGAGTTAAAGGCTGTCACAGACTGAATATGGATCTTGTATCCCTGTATACAGAGTAACAAGTCTGTCACAGACTGAATATGGATCTTGTATCCCTGTATACAGAGTAACAGTCTGTCACAGACTGAATATGGATCTTGTATCCCTGTATACAGAGTAACAGTCTGTCACAGACTGAATATGGATCTTGTATCCCTGTATACAGAGTTAAAGGCTGTCACAGACTGAATATGGATCTTGTATCCCTGTATACAGAGTTACAGACTGAATATGGATCTTGTATCCCTGTATACAGAGTTAAAGGCTGTCACAGACTGAATATGGATCTTGTATCCCTGTATACAGAGTTAAAGGCTGTCACAGACTGAATATGGATCTTGTATCCCTGTATACAGAGTAACAGTCTGTCACAGACTGAATATGGATCTTGTATCCCTGTATACAGAGTTAAAGGCTGTCACAGACTGAATATGGATCTTGTATCCCTGTATACAGAGTAACAGTCTGTCACAGACTGAATATGGATCTTGTATCCCTGTATACAGAGTTAAAGGCTGTCACAGACTGAATATGGATCTTGTATCCCTGTATACAGAGTAACAGTCTGTCACAGACTGAATATGGATCTTGTATCCCTGTATACAGAGTAACAGTCTGTCACAGACTGAATATGGATGTTGTATCCCTGTATACAGAGTAACAGTCTGTCACAGACTGAATATGGATCTTGTATTCCTGTATACAGAGTAACAGTCTGTCACAGACTGAATAAGGATCTTGTTCCTCTTGTTATACTTAGTTACAGCTTTTGAACATGTTGTTGGATCCCAGTGCCTGGTTACCCTATATAAGGTGACAGGTGGTCAGAATATGTTGTATATATATAAAGGATCCCAGTGCCTTAGTTACACTATATAAGGTGACAGGTGGTCAGAACATGTTGTATAAAGGATCCCAGTGCCTGGTTACACTATATAAGGTGACAGGTGGTCAGAACATGTTGTATAAAGGATCCCAGTGCCTGGTTACACTATATAAGGTGACAGGTGGTCAGAACATGTTGTATAAAGGATCCCAGTGACTGGTTACCCTATATAAGGTGACAGGTGGTCAGAATATGTTGTATATATATAAAGGATCCCAGTGCCTTAGTTACACTATATAAGGTGACAGGTGGTCAGAACATGTTGTATAAAGGATCCCAGTGCCTGGTTACACTATATAAGGTGACAGGTGGTCAGAACATGTTGTATAAAGGATCCCAGTGACTGGTTACCCTATATAATGTGACAGGTGGTCAGAACATGTTGTATAAAGGATCCCAGTGACTGGTTACACTATATAAGGTGACAGGTGGTCAGAATATGTTGTATATATATAAAGGATCCCAGTGCCTTAGTTACACTATATAAGGTGACAGGTGGTCAGAACATGTTGTATAAAGGATCCCAGTGCCTGGTTACACTATATAAGGTGACAGGTGGTCAGAACATGTTGTATAAAGGATCCCAGTGCCTGGTTACACTATATAAGGTGACAGGTGGTCAGAACATGTTGTATAAAGGATCCCAGTGACTGGTTACCCTATATAAGGTGACAGGTGGTCAGAACATGTTGTATAAAGGATCCCAGTGACTGGTTACCCTATATAAGGTGACAGGTGGTCAGAACATGTTGTATAAAGGATCCCAGTGACTGGTTACACTATATAAGGTGACAGGTGGTCAGAACATGTTGTATAAAGGGTCCCAGTGACTGGTTACCCTATATAAGGTGACAGGTGGTCAGAACATGTTGTATAAAGGATCCCAGTGACTGGTTACCCTATATAAGGTGACAGGTGGTCAGAACATGTTGTATAAAGGATCCCAGTGACTGGTTACCCTATATAAGGTGACAGGTGGTCAGAACATGTTGTATAAAGGATGCCAGTGACTGGTTACCCTATATAAGGAGACAGGTGGTCAGAACATGTTGTATAAAGGATCCCAGTGACTGGTTACCCTATATAAGGTGACAGGTTGTCAGAACATGTTGTATAAAGGATCCCAGTGCCTGGTTACCCTATATAAGGTGACAGATGGTCAGAACATGTTGTGTAACAAATGCCAGCAACTGGTAAGTACCCAATAAAAGGCCTAAAGTGGTCAAGACACTTGTGTAATATTAAATAGCCTGCTGGCCACATATATAAGGTTGTCTGCCATATCTATACCCATCACTCTGCCTTTACCTGCCCTGTATATTACCATATGTGTACACATTCTTCAATCCTTAAAGTAAACATAACAGATAGCCTAAACACTTCTACTTGACACAACTTATGACCTGAGGGTATAAGCTAGAGTTCTCAAACTTCTACCTACAGAGACTTGTCAGGTATAGAGAAATAAAAAATGAACTTGGAAGGTCACCATAAGAAAAGAAAACAATGTCTA